TAAGCTGCCAGTAGATCTGGAACGGGATGTGATATGTGACAGGCCATGGTACCCGTTGCGACGCTCCAATTTCAAAGGCCCTTCACCGGCGCCCAGGATCTCAGCAGTCAATTCTTTGCTTCCAACCGAGGTGTACTCTTCCTTTTCCACGGCTACGCTTCCTGGAGGGGGCACCATAATGTCTATCCGATGCGGGGAGCAGGATTTCTGTGTGACCGTATACGACTTTGAAACTTTTTTTTTGTAAATCTGACGAGAAAACGACGGGCTCATCACGGATAAGGACGGACAAGGAGCTCCCTCCACAACGCCTCATCTTACTCTGCGTCGACTGCTGCCGCCATGTGGGAGGTGAGATGCGACCGCCAGGGCCAATGGCCATAGCTCCATGCAGCAGCCACTAATAGTAAACAAGGGACATGGCTCAGCATAAGGTGGAAGTTTAGTTTGGAAGACCTCGAGCCGGCCAAGGCCGGGTTTCCTTCAACTTCAGAGGCAACCCAGACTTTGCAGGGTACATCTCACCATGTTACGTGAAAGCGTGTTGCTTCCAAAGGCAAATTCGCCAACCGTTTCCATGCATGCAGACTAACTTTGCTCTGCGATGCACCGTAAATCCGGAGCGCAAGGGCGTAATGCAGCTACAATTTCACGCCCGAAATTAACCATAGTAGCCACAGCCCTACCAACCTCCTTACCAGCCACGGACCGCCTCGACTGGTACCTATGGTAGTAGTAGCAGTAGTAGTGGTAGGTGTGCGTCTTGTGACAAACCAGGATAGCCGAAATGGTGGAAGTCGAATCCCCCCCTGGCTCGGTTGACCAAAACCCTTTGTCACTCTCATCTAACTTGATGACTGGATTTACCCAGCGAAGGCCGGCTTGGCAGCAATGGAAAAGTCGCAAACGAGAGGCGTATCCACATCTTCACCGGTCACCCAAGTTAAGCAACTGCAATATGATCGCCCCGGCACGCAGATGGGGTGGCTTTCGCTAAGCTACCCTGCCACCCCTTGCTAACGATGCCGGGGGGTTATGACACGATGCAGCGCGTGTGAGAGCTTGCGGGCCACGCCGCACCCGCGCGCCTTGGAACGAAAACTGAACTAACTGTCTTGTCTTTTGGCAGACGCCTGTTGGTGAGGGCAGAACCGGGCGTTGGCCCAGAGCCAACCCCAGCTAATGTGGTGGTGTTGCATGTACTTTTTGCCGCCTCGGCTTTCCGATGAGACGAGACATTGTCATCAGCCAGCGATATCGCTGAGCCATTGCTGTCTTGGTGCCCCATCGTCATGGTCAGAAAGCAAGGACTGCGGCAATCGGGATAGCCTGAGACCTCCTCGCCGTGTTCTGTAGGCCACATCTTCCAGTCAACCTACATGCTGACCGAGAACGCCTCAGCATCTGATGTGTCCTACTCAGCGCCCAGAACAAGCCGTCCGCCCTGTTGTTGCACCAGGTCCGGAGCCCGTTCGCCCCCCCATCGGTGTCGCACAGCGCCCAAGAGGAAGACCGCCCAATGAGCGGCCCGTCGTGCCTGACGGTCCCTCTGACGCCTACGTTGCAACGCATTCATGACCCGGGAATTCCAATATCTCATGTACGTTTGTGCTGGCACGATGCCCGACATTTTCTCTACTTCACGTCAGCTGAGACGCACAACATCCCAGTTTGCCAGCAGATAGCCGCCTGTAGTCTTCCGCCTGCCATCATCCGCGCAGAGAACGAGAGAGACAGAGAGAGCGAGAGAGAGGGAGAGCCTGACCACAGTCAGCAATCAGTTGCCCAACTAACAGAGAAAACAAGGCGCAGCAAACTCCGGTGACATGTCATTGAAAACAGCATTGTCACTTACACACCCCACGGCCGGAACAATCCATTCACCATCTCTCCAACCCCTGGAGAACAGAAAAAAAAAAACGAAGCAAAACACTTCAGATGACCATCCCATCGTGCACACTAGATGCCACTAGCCCCCCACCCTTCCGCTCTCAAGTACATGCCTCCCACGCCGAGCAGGTTGTCATTCCAAGATACCACACCGCCGCTGCTACTCCCCCAGTATCGGTGGCTTGAGGGGGGGAGGGATGGACAGGCCTGACAACAAGCCAGCGGGAACCAAAGATCCTTCTTCGAAAGTTGTCAGTTTCTACAAAAGACAAACAGCACAAGAGAGCGGTCTCACCCAAAAAAATCCTACCCCACGCTAATGCCCGTCCAACTAGTATACGCCGTTGGCTTCACAGCATCCCTGACCCTCGTCGTGTTCCCCCCGGTTCCTTGCTTTGTCTACACCTGATCGCTCACCGAGCACATCATCATCACCCTTTTGTTTTTGGCTCGTTTGCGTCAGAATATCCGAGCTTGAGACGAGTGGGCGGTCTCGGGCCGCGTGGGGATGCTCCCTAACTCAAATGCACCGTCATATCTTTATGGCGCGTGTTCTCTCCCTTGAACGCTCACTCGACAGACAGTAAGCCAAACAAAACACATGCAAATCGGTATCAGCAGGGCTGGCGGAGAAAAGACGGATACTGTACAGTTGCAAGCGGGTGACGACGGCCCAAGGTGAGATTGGCCAACTAAAAACATGCTGCCCGATATCACGCCTACAGATTGTTTCCATGAAATAAACAGGTAAAGAAAAAAAAAAACATCTCAAATCATGTCTCGTTTACAATTACCCAACTACAACCCGCGCACACATCGACATTACACCGCATCCCTCACCGGTCACCCTCCCCCACATCCATCATCCATCCTGCTGCTATGTTACCGAGTACTCCTCCTCCTCCTCCTCTTCCACCACCAACCATTGCAAGACGAGGCAGTATGTTTCACGGCACTAGGCAATTCGGCAACAACCTTGTGACGTGTGGTGGTGCAGACTAAGATCCCCCTCCCCATCAACCCCCCATCCCCTTTCTCGCTGCAACCTTTAGTAATTTAGCCCATTATCTAACTCGGTATAAGGGTCGGAGGGGGAGCAGGCAAGCTACCTAACCTCCTTCCTATTGCCGCCGAACATGTCATCTCATCTATGGGATTGGAGAGATTGTGGTGGGTTTGCAAGGAGACTCGGCACTGCACATGAAAGTGTGAAAAAGTGCAAAAGACATCTATCTACCTCTCAACGGGCGTCAACAACACTACACTAGAGCAAGGCTGATGAGCTGGTAAAGATGTTCAAAATAGTGGATTTTCAATTGATTCCCATATTTCCTGTCTCTGCCTCTCGTTTTAGAGCTTCAACGCCTGTACTGTGTATACCTAGCGGTTCTCTGTTTGAAGTTGATTTTGTACAATTGTGCCCCCTTCAGTCATCTTCTTCCCAGGAGAGGGGCCAAAAAAGAATGACCACCCGGTTTCCTGGCACAGTGGGACAACAAGCAAGGGGGGGGGGGGGGGGGGGGGGGTGAATAAAAGACCTTGCAAAAAAAGGTCATTCCTCTCTCTCTCTCTCTCTCCCATAGCTACATAAAATATGCAAACACCCGAGACATGTACCCTGAAATGACTAACCCCGCTGTAAAAGACATTGAGGGTGCATATACATTCCATAACTCCTCCCTCCATAGTAAACACCTCCCCCTCCTTATCTTTGGCTGGAGAACAAGATAAGGTAGCCCGAGAAAATCAATAAAATATAAATAAATAAATAAAAACACCGTAAAGCCTGCGCCGGGTGAAAAGCAAGCTGCAGCAGGAAAGACGTGTCCGGAATCCAAAGTGTATACGTGCGTGCGGAGACTATCGTAGTGGTGGTCGTCAGGAGCGAAGAAAAAAAGAAGGGAGCGACCGTGGTCTAGGGGTCGAGCCAGACGTGGCTAATGCAAGGCCGCGGTGCCAATGTGGTAGCCTTCACTAACTCCCCCCCCCCATCCCATCCCTCTCACACGGTAATGGAGGGGTGCAAAGGAAACCCGTCCATCGCGTGTCCGTCGACCGGGGGGGTCATCGCCTTGGCCTTGGCGCCGGGGTATGGTCCATGGTCCTTGGTCGTCGGTGTAGGCGCCCGAATAGAGTTGAATAGTCCGCCAAAAGCCGTCGTTTTCCTCTTCCCACTCCCCCGGAACTTCCCGTCCGCGTGGTATTGCGTAGTAGTAGTAGTAGTTGTTGTTGTAAGGTGCCTGTTCGTTGTGTGTGTGTGTGTAATGTTTCTCGTTGTTCTCCCAAGTCTGTAATTTTCCCTCTCCCATATTTGTTCCATGTAATGATGTGATGTTCCCATACCAACGCCTTGTTTCTCCATAGCAATGCTAACCCGTAAAATCCCTGCAAAAAACAGGAGAAAAAAATTAATAAAACGCCTTGACCCGAGATACAGGTCCGCTCCTGCAATGATGAATCCTTTTTTGTTTGTTGTAACAGATCCCTCCTCTTTGGCCAAACCGAGGATAGGTGGGAAAGATGAATGCGTGAGGCTTGGGTCGAGACTAGCGATTATCCCACCCAACCCTCACGTATCTGCAACTGGCACTGCGAATGGAAAGAAAAAAAAAGAGACATGGAGCCGGTGGCAGCGCGCCGTCGATTCTGTAGAACGATTCGCGCGCCGCGGAACGCTGCGTTAGCGTGATGCAGCCAGTCGTTGACCGGGGGTTGTCGTCCTGCAGGCCGTCCCATCCTTGGTCGTCGTTGAGAATTTTCGTGGGTGGTTGTGAGTGAGTGAGTGTGTGTGTGTGTCTGTGTGTGTGCGTATCTGTATGTGGGTGACAGCCATGCTGGACTATCCCACTGAACAGAAAATGAAGAATAATGATAGCCTGTTGGGAAGACCCGCTCTCCATCCCATGTTTTTGGGAGATGTTCATTCCCGGGAGGTCGGAGGAAGGGCTGGAAAGAAAAGAGAAAAAAGGTTCGAGAAATGCGATATGTGATGGGCCGCACACGCGGCGCCCCTCCGATCTGCGCTCTGCGTCTGCGCCTGCGTGGTTTTCCCAGAAACGAAGCCAGGGCGGTGACTGACTGACTTGACTTGACTGCAGTCGTGAGTTCGATTACAGGCCGATGGGCGTGTTGTTGCGCCGAATCATATTCTCCCACGGGATCGGCGCTGAAGGTTTGCATTCACCTATACCACGAGTTGTCAGTTTGATTATCCAGTTCAGTACGGTAAACAACATGAACGGTGCTCAGGCGGGTTGGTGTCTTCTACTACTACCGGGTGTGTGTCATGATCCAACTTCTCGTGCTGCCCACCCACCCATGCTAGTCCCCAATTCCAGGTGCTTGGAGTCGGGTGGGCAGCCAAAGGGACTTTTTGTAACAGACAAACCCCTGTAGCGTGAAGTGAGGGAAAAGGAAAACGCCCGCCCAGGAGACGGAATGGAGCGAGGGCGGATAAGAAGGGACGTGTAAAAGCGTCAAGACGTACTGCAAAGCTCATCTCCCCTGTCAATAGGTGTCAGTTTTCTGGTCATTCAGGGGTTTGAAAGGGAGGAAACAGTTGGGTTGATCCGGAAGATCTACAGTGGCAGAGAGAGGGTTGGTGGGAAAAAAGAAAAGAAGCAAATGTGACGTACCTGTACTCAAAATGCGTGACGCATGGTTGACAGCGCTGTTGGGTGCGGATGTAGACAACGCACCAGCGGGACACAATATACCGCTTGTGAGTGCAGCGAAATTCTCTCTAAGTAGAAAAAAAGGTGGGTGAGGTCAGTCATTTGTGACCATTTCTGCTGGACTCGAGATTCAAAAGACGTACTTGGGTGTAGTCGCACATATTTCAGTTGCAGAAAGCTTGGTAGTACCGTGAACGAGGGTGAATCCAAGGCCAGTGAGTTGGTTTGGGTGTTAGTCGAACAGCAGTGCAGGTGGCAAAGATGAGAGAGAGAGAGAGAGCCAAGTCTGCAGTGAGAAGCCGAGAGATCGGGAGTGAGGGCGATTTGAGTGAAAGGCAAGAAAGACGATATACCCGAATGTCTTTACACAGCTATATAATTCGTGATGAACGCTTCGTAAAAGGTAAGAGAAAGGTGGGCTGGATTATGTATTTAAACTTCAGTTCGTTGAGATGGAGGGGGGTTTCCTATGTGAAAGTGGTGGTTGGAGGAGGCCACGGCTTCTTGTATATAGAAGAGCAGTGTTTGGGGGACCCCCAGAAGGAAAGGGAATGAACAGAGTGGACAACGCTAGAGAAGGGAACCCACGCAAGGAAAAAGAATGCGTCCGGGATCATCTTACAAGCCTGGTCCATATATAAGTACCGCTACGTCTGGGTATGTAAGGTGGACAAGACGGGACGGGGTGCCAAAAAAGCCAGTGTGTTATGCCAGTGCCAGTGTGCCAGTGCACACAAGAGAGCCACTGACCGAGCCCAAAACACACACACACACACACACACACTTGAGCCTTGAGCCCGAGCAAGCCCAGCCCAGCCAGAACTGCGGGTGGGTGGACAGGCATCATGGACCCAGATTTTGATTGCCCATGTTGTCTACCGGCTGGTTTGGAGCATTGGGCAGAAAAATTGGGAAAGAAAAGGGAAGAGTGCCACCATAGGGAGGGTGCGGTGAGGTCCTGGTCCTCTACACCCAGCGTAGTGTGTTCAGGTCCGCTCGTCTTCAGGCTCAGGCCGGGCCGAAGGGGGGTGTGCGTAAGTAAGTTTTAGGCCAGGCTGGGGGGGGAGGGTGTGCCGTGCTCGAGACCCAAGTACCGTACACGGTGCATGCTGCACAGCACTGGCGGCTGCTCACATACGGGGTAAAATAAGGCCAGCCGAAGGATGACATGGTTTGCCGGACCCTTTGCCCTGGGCTCTCTCTCTCCCTCTCCCTCACGTTGGTGGTGCTTCCGTTTGTTGCCAGCATCCAGTATCCAGTATCCCTCGGTCTGGTCTCGCCAGGCCGGTCAAGAGTTTGCAGATCTTGCCTCGGTCTCGCCAGGCCGTATGAAGTGAGTCAAGGGGAGGGTGTCTTGCTTTACTGGTCTGCAGTGAGCAGATGAACGGACCAAACAGAACCTCAACTAGGCCAGGAGTACTTGGCCACCGTCCCTCGTGCAAGGCACCTACGTATTATCCCGTCCCTGTCTTGTCATAGGGTAATAGGTCAACCTATAGTACAAAAGCGATTCCTGACACTAGCTGGCACCAGGGATGATCGTCCTCAGCGGACGGACGGAGAGCAGCAGCGAAAACAGGCACCCGGTGAGCTCCCACCCCCTGGGAGCTATCATTGCTCTGATTTCGATTTGATAGACACGCAAGGTTGATGAGAGGGGAGGGGGGGACACCAAAGAAAGAAAAAAAAAAAAAAAAAACGGGAGAGCAAGCGGCGTTTGCAATGGGATGGCGGTGTTAATCCCAGGTCCAAATGACTGACGCCATACCAAAAGGAGGAGAGCAGAGAAAAGAGAGTTTTCTCGCTGTGGGAAACTAACCCTCCTTGGGAGGCGTCTTCGGAGAGGGCCCTCGTTAGGGGGTAATCCCGGCATCAACAACGTGCCCGTCTCGCCGTTCTGTTGCCTCCTCCTGCTTCCTATTTACTGTCCTTGTCTGCCCTCTTCGCCAATTACCAATCGATGATGGGCCCGTCCCCCAGACACATGACTTTCGGTTTCCAAACAGGGATTATGGAAGCAGAAGAACGTGCGTTCTCTGGTTCTCTGCGGGCCATCATGACCCAAAATCCGCTTGAGCGTACCAGGGACCCTCGTCCAAGGGGGGGGGGGGGGGGGCAGGGCAACTTTGCAGGGCTGGCTTGAGCGTCTCGTTTCCATCTCCATTGCGCCAGGGGAAGGAAACACTCCGGACAGAAGAGTATGGACGGTATGGTATGTGTTACTGAGGGGCAAAACGCATCATCCCTGACGGCATTTTCCCTACAACTGGTGGCAGAAGTTTGATACTGGTTGCGCCAGATTCCAGACAGGGATGACGACGAGAGCCAAAGGTTAAGGTACTCTGCTCTCTGACTGAGTTGGGTTCGTTTGGCTTAGAGGGGGGTGTGGGACACGGCACTGCATACGGATATAGTTGTACAAATAACTCTCCGCAATCGCGTCAAGGAGACGCGAAGAGAGAGAGAGCAAAGTAGCACAGCAGGGCGCAAGTGGATGCTAGAAGCAAATGCTGGCGTAGCCTCCCAGTGCCGACGCAGGGCTTGGCTCGATGGTTGAGCGGCACTGGTTAACGGACGACAGCCGACGATGGGCAAATTTAGACAGTTCCCCTTGCTAGTCCTTTAGCGTGACCTCTTTTTTGCTGGTGATTCTGGCCCCGATTATGCGCCACCTGAGTCAAGCAGCATTTCCCATGTCTAATGAGAATGTGAGACACTGGAACCTGTGGAACGAGCATTATGGCTGTAGTTATGGCTAAGGGTACCTGAAGAGACGAGCGGGTGGCAGAATCTAGCTGTCTCACCTTTTTCTGTATTCTTATACTCCGTAGATTTGGAAGGGATGTATTCCGATCGAAGTACCCTTCATTCCATGGTAATTTGACGACGAGGGCCAAATGAATGACAAAATGTAACAGCATAATCCGTAATGATCCAACATGCCCCCATAGTTAACCGTGGTCAAGTTTGTCCCCGTACATATTTTATACATCAAAGTGTCGTGGGATAGATGGGTTGGTGGCGTTCCACGCATCGGCAGTCTCATCGTCTTTCTGCGTGTCAATCTCGTCAATCAAAGGGGGGTACTACAATACGGACAGTAAGTACATCAAAAGTTTCAAGGGCACCCAGACGCCACACGTGGCTATTTGGGTGTCCCCCCCTGCGCTGGCGGAGATCACCAGCCTGTTCGTCAAGCCGAAACGATGGAGAAGCCAATCGACTGCCATTTTGTGTCACTTTTCGAGTAGCTCATTTGCAGGCAATCCAGCACAAGACCCTCTCTCATTAGCTATCAAGGTGCCGACGCTAATCCCGCTGCAGTCTTGAAGGTCTGAGTCGTTGAAGAAACTCCGATGCAGATATCGCCATCTCCGATGGGCGGTAAGGTCACCGCCTCTTCCACGACTAACGACATCTTCTTTAAAGGCCCTTTAGGCATTAATCCGCCATCGTATTTGCTGGGATCGTCTTGTCATGGCCCCATGAAAATGATGAGCGTGCTTTATCCACCCACCGGAATAACCAATCTTGCTCTTTTCTCTCTCTTTTCCCGCACACTAACACCTTTGAGTTGCCCCCTGCTTGTAGGGGGAACCAAATATTCGGCTACTACACTGCAAGAGTTGTCCCATTTTCGGGTCGGTTTCGAATTCGCCTTGTCTTTCCAACCACAAACTGCCCTTGGCTCTGTTTGGCCGACGGGGTAATCCCTTCACAGCGTGGGAACGTCATTTCCACCGCCGTATGTCATCGAGGACGGGCCCCATTACCGCTCAACAGTCATGTAGTTCTGCCGTCAGCCCCGGTACATGCCGCCCGGCCCGTATGTGTGGTCTCGCAGACGGGTGTTCGTGCCTCGTGCTGGACAGGGAGCTCGCCTGTCCTTTGACGAGAGGATCTTCCTCGTTGACAGACGAGAAATCGTCTGACCCACCACGGCTAAGGCTTCAAGCCCACCGGGCGCAACGGCAGTTCTCAGAGCAGCTCTGACTTTATGGCTCAATGTTTAATTTCCTAGAGCTCGCAGCGTTGCATCTTTCGTCAATAAGACGAGAAAGTATCGGCTTGGTGTTGACTCAACAAATGCTCACGCCGACATGGACCAGCTCCCGTCAAGATAAAAATTTTAACCATCTGCTACGGCCCATGTCCCTCCCCGGACAGGATCACCGTGCGCTACATACCGACGGCTGCACTGGAAATCTCAACGGTCAACCCCCTCGTAAACCTTCGGCCCCAACGGTTAACCTCAATATAGTTTGTTCTTTGTTCGGCGGAGTTGCACCGAGAGGTAAGCCCCAGACTTGATGTCCGAGGAGGCTGGATGCGACAGTCATACGTGATGCTACTGTTCTAGTCAACTTTGTGGGCTTCTTTTGAGTGGACGCCTTCGGCGCCTCCCGTTGCTTCTGAAATGAGATCGACTGCTTTCTTTCTGGCGCTGTGTCTCTGATCCTATCAGGATCGACATGATGCTGTTCACGTGGTTCGCATGTCTCAGTGTAACACACGGGGTCTTGCTTTGACCGGGGTGTGGACATTGCGTCCTGACGAAAGAAACCTCTACAAGGTCATTTCAGTATGTCACCGCTTTGACGACATGTTAAACTTTTCTCCTCGTTGGATTTGACAGGGCAAGTCTGGACTTCCTAAAGACCCGAGCTCGCCCTGGGCATATCGCAAATTTGCCAAACGTTATTGACAGGATGGGCAGGCACTTTTGAAAACTGTCTCTCATATGATGACGTTCCAATACTACGGCCGAGGTATTCATCCGATGGTCTATCGCAATGTGATGAAAGGACGTGTTTCTATACGCCAATAAGCTTGATGCAGGCCCTTGTGGGTTGAAAACCATCTGCAAGGTTACCAATACCTTCCTTAAGCCCGAGCCACCCGTCGGATGCAAATTCCCAAGACGGCTGAGTAACAGAGTGCCGCTGCAGCTATCCATCCTGGGCTGTTTAACCTTTCGAAGGGGGTCGCGAATCCTCTTGACCACAACGAGAGGGCCGATGGACTCCTTCGCTCCACACTCGGTCAAGGCCTCCAAGGGCTTGGCCCCGCCATATCCTGTCCCAAGTGACTTTTGGGACGCTGTTCGTGAGATTGAACACCGACGAGTCAGGCGGCACCCTGGTCTTGAAGAGCTTGTCACCCCCGTTGGGAGCTTCTAGCTCGGTTCTAGCGTCCATAGAGGGGAGCCAAGGACCAGAAGTCGGCATCACCTTCTTGCAACGGGTGCATTTTCTTTGAAGCTGTTTTTCCTACTGACGCTAGACAAACAGGGCTGGAAAACGAATGACCCATGAGACATTTACCGCACTTTTTGATGCATTTGAAACAGGCTACCTCAGGATCGACAGAGCCGAATGGCTTCATCAGTGACCTTATCCGTCGGTAGCTCCCTGGAGTTCGGCGGCCAACTCCGTGTGGGCCGTTGACATTATGTATGTATCTCTGTTGTGCTATGCACACCGATAACAAAAGGGTGCTTTGGTGTAGAGTGTACTACTCAGTACTGTGCTGCTGTCCCCCCTGTTCTACCCTAGCCTACCCAGGTATTCTCTCTCGAGTAGTGCTATGGATCACGACCGGCCGTTCCGTTCCAACGGTGCAGAAATCTCTTTCCAACTGGCGATTGTAATGAACAAGGGGACATCATTCGCCATCTTCTCCCTGGCAAATCCCACTTGCTCATCTGTTCGACTATACGCCCTGCTGCTCGTCTAACCAAGGGCAGCAAAAGGTCCCAACAGCCTGGCACATGAGCATCGGTGGCTGGCGCCAGTGCCGTTATATCCCAGCCAAAAAGAACTGCTGAACCAATCAGCGGCTGTCCCGACTGGCTGTCTCTGCGACCCAATGACATGGATCCGGAATCTCATTCGTAAAAGGATTGCAGGCTGTATTTCCGATATGGGTATTTTCACTGGGACTTCATTTAACAATGCTAGAGACCCTGTACGCCGTCTGGTAGCTGTTACAAAAATGAATGAGGCTGTGGCATGCCGATATCCACCATCTCAATCTCGTTCTCCCGGCGAAGAACATACGCGTAGCAGCGCAGGGGGGGGGGGGGGGGGGGGGGGGGGGGGGGGGGGGTGGTGAGGTGAGCTAGCTACTATGTCCTGGCATGGATATCTATTCGGCCGATCGCCATGTGGATTTGCATCAAATACCTATAGTAGGACCCGCCAGCCGCCGCTCCGTTGCGTTCGGACTGTCCAGGAGCAGAATATGAAATGGATGGATGTGTTTCTGATGAAATGTGACAGCCAGACTTGCAGAGTTCTTGGACGAGGGCTCAAGCTGTCGTCACACTGGTCCCATGATGGCAAGGCCACCGACGCCGCCCTGAGGAATGGCTCAGACCCGCCGCCCGATGGCCACCGCTCGATCTACTAATCTGGAATTGCCTTGCAAGTTCGGCATTCCCAGGCAGCCTTTGGAGTCTTGGATTGGATTCCCAATCTGAAAGCTCGGCGGCAGTTGGGCAAGGCTTAATTACCGATAACGAGCGACTGAGTCAGTACCCGGTCAGAAAGGCTACACCCGTTGTTTGATTGATTGATTGATTGATTGATTGCGGCACACATTGTTTCCTTGACCCCGACCAGCTGGCTCGCGGGCGGTTCGTCCCACCACTCCCGTTCATGTCTGTCTGCCACTGTGGGGAAGGAAAATGAGGCGGGAAGATTGCCCCAGCTGTGCCACTCTGCCGGGAGCTTTACGTCCCTCGAACAGGCCGCTGAAACCTCGTTTGCAGGAGGCGGAGCTCTCTACTCGTCTTCCTATTCCGGATTGACTGTCCTAGGTAGTGATTGGTGAATGCCCACTGTAAATTATCAATCGGCACTTTGGGAACCGAACCTTGCTGGCGATTGCTCCGGCGAGTCCTTTACACCGAGATCGCCGATGATGGTGTGGTAGTTGATCACCAGCTTCTTCGGCGAAGGACGAAGGTATTGAACAGGAAGGTACTAGAAGCGGTGTACTTTCAACTGTCATGAAATACATGCTCGAATTATGCTGCGAAACCATCTGGTTTTATGAAACAACATGGCGGCTGGGTATAATCCAGCGGCATTCGAAGCTTCTACGGGTCGCCACTTCATGGCATGTATCCTTCTATGGAAATATGACGTTGCTGCTGGAGCTCCCTTTGACAAATTAACAGGCATTAACAACGTTTTTGCTCGTCCAGTCCTCCGTCGGGCTAAAGGATACAGCATAACAAGGATTTCGCAAGCTGACTATTCATCTACTGTGACGTTGGTCATGTTCATATCGTTCGCATCCTAACTAGCTCCATCTCCCAGTGTTTACTGCCCGAGGATCAACAAAGGTCTATCATGTTCAAGTTGACATCCAGATGAGAAGGACTGGCAAGGAGACAGTTTGAACAACCCTGTAGCAACCCTGCATGGAGGCGAAAGAGCATCGTCAGTGGCAAGAACGACCCAAAATCTTGCGGAGACGGCCTAAAATAGGGACTATCCGCAGTTGCATCTACAGACTAGGATCATATTCTGCTCTTTGCCGAACCCTGAATGGATTGTTCTCCGGCTCGGTGTGGCAAAACGCTAATCAAACAAAAGTCCCTAAACTTGTTATTCGTTTCTAGCCCGTTGATGATTGTTGGTATCCTATCCACTTTACTGTAAATCAAGGCATAGCAGCCCAAAACTTCCGTTAATAAGTCAAGAAATAGGTTAACATGGCAACTTGCGTTACTAATGACGCATTGAAACTGTGTGGAAAGTGCCATGAATTACATCACTTGAGAATTAAACTGTTTGATGTAAAGATATGTTCCAACGTTGAAATTGCAAGCTCGCTTTCTACTGGCCACAATGGCTAGAACTTCATCAGTCTAGGCATTCTAGCTCTTGGCCTTTCGTCCCAGCCGCCGTCCTGTTGCCCTTGAACGAAGCTAGCTAGCCAGTCCTTGAACTTGGTCCAAAGTGTCATGATTCCAGCGCGGAGCCAGGACAGCACGCCTCCAAGCCAGCTGAGTAGCTTGTCCCACGGCATGAAATACACAACCGCGGCGACTCCCGCACCAACAAGGAGCGCGGGGCCGGCGGCTGTGATTGCTGCTGTAGCCTTTGCGTATGCCGCGCCTGCCTTGATGCTCATTATCCCGTACTGATAGTGGAAAAATACACCTCCCGACGCTGCTTTGATGGAAGCATCAAACTTCATGCCACAGCACACTATGCCCAATATGGCGGCCACTCCGGCTCTCCATGTCTTCCACCATTTCCTGCCCTTCATACGCGCGTTGCTCATCTTCTCAAAATGACTGTTGATATCATCCTTCTCACTGTGGCTGAAGCTTCGATAAAACTTCTGCTGGGCCTGATCCCAATGCTTCTGCCCCGGATCGATTCGAATGCCCACGTTTGGCCCGAAAAGAAGATTCCTCCCTCTGCGACGCTTCGCTGACCATATTCCAAGTTCGACATCTTTGAAAGTCGAGGCATCATCAATGGACAGCTGAGCACCTGCGTTGGAGCCAAACCCGCATCGCATCACAAGAAGCACCTTGATGTTGGGCGGTGCATGAAACTCAATCTGGTCGAAATATCCGCTGACAACAAGTACCAATTCACGATACTGGTCTTCTTCCTCGAGATCATTGAGTGTGGCCTCGAGAGCGATATCCGTCGTTACAATGACGGTGGATGTTTCTTTCAACACGTTAGCCGATAGCCAGGTTCTTGGGGGTCGCCGAGGATGCCAAGGTCGCAGTTACTCACTTTTCTAAAATTTATATCGCTTTTCTTCAAGGCTACGACACTCCTGCGAAAGACGGGACACACTTTGCGGGCTACATACCGCAACGAACACCCTGTTTTCGGCCTTTGTAGGTCTCCTGAGTCTTTTCCCTGTTTTCTTCGATGTCTTCTGAAAAGACTTCATGTCAGCCTTGATCAATGAGTACATGGCCAATGCCTCAACAATAACTTCGTCTTCACTGATGTTGTATGAGTCTTCAGCAAAGGTCGAAAATTTGTCCGAACACGATGAAGACATTTTGGCAGTGGCTTTGTTGGATAGTGTAACGTTCCGAACAACACAGGACAGGAGGAATTGAAGAGGAGATCTGAGTAGCTAGATATGTAACAAGAAGTCGGTGACCACAACGAAAGGACATTGACGATGCAGGCCAAACGATAAATTGATGACAGAGTTGAGAAGAAAGCAGACCTGCTTTGTGAGGGGACACTGGGCCTATTTATAAACAATGGCTACTGTACAGACATGGGATCACAGCCAAGATTGCAAGCTACTTTCTCATGGGCATAAGTTAGGTCTCTCGCACGCGTTAACTATCAAGACACCATGTTTTTCAGATCTGAAAATCAGCGACTAGCCGACGGAACACGTTCCTTGGATGTTCATCATCCCGTCGAGTGCGGCTGGGCTACATTACATACGCAGCTTGCGGGGTTGTAACCAATGAGAAACAGACACTGCGTGTCGTTTCCTTATCTGATGTTTCTTAGAGCCTGATGAGAATCTTGAGCTATTTGCGGCTTGTAGTATGCCTGTGGCCCAGTCGCAGTCGATGGCATGTCCACAAACTACTGCCTAACTAACACGGGAGCGAAGCCTCGAATACGTCTTGTCCATGTATGTGTTGGATGCAATGCAAAACAATGCAATGCAGAGAACTCGTCACATGTACTCTTTCAAAGCCAGCGGTGAATTGATATCGAGGCAATGAATCGTTGAGCTGGGCCACCTCTGCAAGCCTTTGACAGAGCCTTTTCTCGTACTCTAGGTGATCGACGCCGTCGTGTCCATCAGCCAATAGGGTCTGCTGACTCTCGAGAACAAGGCTTATACCTAGAGCCAATCAGCTTAATAGGAACTTTAATGCAAGTTCAGTCGCGAAGCCATCCAATCAACTTATCGACCAATTCTTGCAGGTAGTGGCTGGATATGTTTAGAATGCAGGTGACTTTGCGGGGATACCCTCCATCAGCAGGTTAGCTGCATCTGAACTCAACAATGTGGACGAGAACATGCACATTCCGGTAAGGGCATGGTAAGGGAACTTGGCGACGTTTCATTCTATCTTCGCAACTGCGACCGACTCGGTTCATCAATTCCGTGCGGCTTGCTGTTGTCAGGTTTTTGAAGCTATCGGCTCCTTCTATGGCGGATAGACCATCAACTACAGAAACCGCACCAAACATTCTGTCTTGCCAAACACTCACGCCTTGGTGAGGTCCAAAGCTCTTGCAAGCTGAAAGAAACATCACGCACTTCACGCTATGGACTCAATGACGTGCGACGAGGTTCCTCCAGCGGCAGAGGCCAATCCTTCCCGACCTGAGCCGGGCGTATCTGTGCCAGGCCAGGCACATTCCATTCCGATACATTCCAGTGTCTACATCAGACCAAGCAGTTCTAATCGAACGGCTATGACCTCTATAGCCTCCGGGAGCGCCGTTCAAGGCTCCCACTCGACTCCGGTTCAACAGCAGACACTTGCCCTTGGTCAACCCCCGCTGGTGGCTTCGCCAAGCTTCTCCCACCAAGAAAGGCAACCTAGGAGTCGAAGCAACAAGGAGTCGAAATATAGCTCTGAAGAATGGGAATCAAAGAAAAACATTATCAGAGATCTATACGTCGTCGAGAAACGCACGCTGGATGACGTTCAAAAAATCATGGCCACTCTGCACAGGTTTGACGCCTCGTAAGTCGACCACTTTGTTCCCAACATGAACCAAAGCTAAACATCGTCTGTTGAATTAGACCCCAAATGTACAAAGCCCAATTTAAGAAGTGGAAGCTATACAAGAACGAATCATCCCAGTTGGAAAAACGTCGCACAGACGATACCCCTACAGAGTCACGCAAACGAGCCCGAGCTGCAACGTCTCTAGACGAGAGACCAGAGGAGAGTCCCAATGTCTTGACTTTTGAGCGAGAGATGATGAGCTGATGCTGGAGAGCGAAGAGAACAAGCATCTGCAGTGGATGCTTTCCTATATAAATAACTATTTCAAGGTCCTCTTCGATAGAGGTCGTAATGGAGACAAAAGGAGCGGGTGGGCCGGTGATCGGTTCAGACTGATTCCACCAAACGGTTGTCAAGACCACTTCAAGGAGTGGAAAGCAGTAGCTGACCAGTCGCACGGCGCTTCTGCCCTCATCAGGCTACACGGTGGACCTAGCGGAAAATATCATGGAACGCTCCATATTGTCTTCAAAGATATCGACAAGCTGGTAAAACAGGATGACCCCTGGATGCTTGTGTATCTATGGAGAGTTATCCTGTATCTGAGAGGCATTTCCTTCCGTGTTGAGCACCACAAGTCGTCCTATTCATCTATATCACGAAGTCCTCAGAACGGCCACCTGGTCGGACATGTTATTACAGGTGTTGCATATTGTATTGCCAACAACCATGGAAGGGAGCACTACATGGCACGCTGCCTCCACTCACTTCGTTCGTTCTCTTTGCATGACATGAAGCTAGCGATTGAGCAGGTCTACGTCTTGTGCATTTAGACATTCATGGAATATCTTGGAGCCGCACATCCGGTTGTCTTATCCATGGTTAGTCGATTCCTCAAGTACTGGCCAGGAGAAGTCGAAAAGGACGTACTGCCAAGCTACAAAAAGCTTGTGTGCGACGCTGAAGCAAAATTCGGACGCAATCATCAACAAACAATCACGTTTCTCACAGAATACATGTACACAGCACACTACCATGGTCACGATAGCGTCTTGACTCACCGTTTGGCTTCGGATCTTTGGAGAAGAACAGGCGACCCTCGCTCTGTACTGAGCTGGGGACCCGAGACCTATGCTCACGTGCTGGCTACCAAGCTTTTGGCACGGATTGACAAGGACCGAGGAAGTAACGAGAGCTGGGAAAAGCGTTTGCATGATGTTGCTAGGAAGCTCCGCAACGGCGACCGGGAGTGCCAGACAAGAGCTTTGCAGCTACGGGGCACGATGGCCCAGTGGTATGAGAAAGCGGGAATGGTGGAACAGGCTCAAAGGGAGACGGAGATCGCTGATGAAATCAAGAACTATATGCGAGTAGTTGCCACCGAACAACACGATTGGAGTCGAAACTGGACATTCGGAAGAAGTGAAGTTGTCATGTGAGAAGAACCACTTGATACTTCTTTTCTTAGCTATGCCCACAATCCTTTCCACTGAAATTCTTATATTAGGTCAATACTTCAAGCTCCTTAAACATTTGACAAGCCATGTAGCTGAATTTTGCTTGTTGGCTTTCATGTTACGACAACATTGAAGTTTAATTTTCCTTACTTATTATTATATATGGTTTCTTAACGAGCCATCAGCTGTGAGCGAAACCTGTGGTTATCTATGATAGCACTGCCCCATCACCTACAATGACAAGACAAGGTCAGATGGAGGCGGCGACTACGGCAGTAAGACTTGTGTGGGATCGGCACGCGAGAACTGCAGATTCGACTTTGAAGCCCCGTTCTCTAGTAAAAAGGGGACAGGTAGCATCCTAAAGCTGCAGCAACGTACTAGTCCCGAGTCCTTCACTTAGCCCAGTCATTGACCTGGACCTGACCGAGGAGAACAGAAAGGAAAGACTTTTCCAAAAGGCAGCAGTAATCAGAAGTTCTAGAATATCTTGACTCATTTGGACTTTTTCTGGGTGGTGGATCCCAAGGCACCTCTTCATCTTGACCCTCCATAGCAGCCGTACGACCATTTGTACTCACACCTTTTTACTCGTTCTTGACTTCTTGACATCAATATCCCTCCAGAACACAACGGCGCCCCACGCAACAGCGAGGAGTGCAGTTGCTGAGATAAAGATGATACGCTGAGTCTCGCCATAAGATCGGTTAATAGCAGTCCTGGCTTCGCTGCCGATAGGATACGAAGACTGCTTATTCAAGTCGCCGTAAATCTCGGCGAGGTGCTTCATCTCGGACACAGGCAGATTCTTGGCGAGCTTCTGCCGAAACAAGGACGTCCAGATGGCCGTCGCGATGGCGGATCCTGCACCCTTGCCCATGTCCACGATCAATGACTCCAACGAGGGCAACGCTGGAAAGTGGGCCTGCGAGACGGCCATGAGCGTCATGTGCTCAATGGGGTAGATTGTGCCGCCGCCGAACGAGATGAGGATCTTGCAAACCACCATCAGGGCGATCGACGGGCTCGTCATGTCAAAGCTGATCATGAGGCCCTGGCCGAGGACGAAGAAAGGTATGCCCATGAAAAGAGCGTAGTACTTGATACGGCCGTTGTATCGGAACGCAACCCCGAGAAGGACGTTCCAGAAGGAAGCACCGACGAGGTAGATGTTGCTAATGTACGCTGCCTGAGTAACGGATTGGTGGAAGGAAACGATGAGCATCGAGTAGATGTAGCCCGAGCATAGGAACTCTGACGTATACAGCGCGGCAGCCATGATGTTTGTAAAAACAACAGTCCGGTCTTTGATCACGGCCCACGGGAGAAACGTTGCTGGGGCAAGAAACTTTTCGTATAGCAAGAACCCTACAAGCATCGAGAATCCAACGACGAGGAAAGAAATAATCAAAGGCGACTTCCATCCAAGGGTCTGGTAGGAGTAGATGCTGATCGCCAACAGAACCAAACACAAGCCGGAGCCCACCAAGACAAGGCCAACGACGTCGAACTCCTTGCAGTAGTAAAGCACCCGGTTGAACCACGAGCTGTTCTCGCGAGGCTTCACATCTTCAATAAGCCCGGCATCCCGCGCCTGCCGGTCATATTTGAAGAGGATGAACATTAAAGGGGCGTAGAAGACGGGGATGAGGATAGCCCACATACCGAATCCCCACCTGAACCCGATCGTCTTGAGGATGCTCTCGGTAGCCGGGCCATACGCCCAGATAGTAACGATGGACGGTGTGGAAATGAAGCCCAGCAGGAAGCCCCGATGGAGAAGGGAGACGGAATCCGTGATCAGGACGACCATGCTGAACTGGATACCGTAGTACCCGACGTTGTAGAGGACCTGGGCGGCGCAGTACGTCTCGACGTTGCGGCAGGCCGCCATCATGGCGGTGCCGACGACCGTGCAGACCACCATGGCCGTCATGCACTGCGGCCGGCCCCAGATGTCGAGGAGCCTCGCGTAGGGAAGCTTGATGATGCCACTCGCGATACTAGCGACCACCGATGTTGTTGCCGTAAGTGCGTGTTTTTGAAAACTGCTCGTGACGTAAGGGGCCAGGACGCGGAATATGCCTGAGGAGAAGGCCATTGCGAATTGGAAGATCCAAATACTGCCAAGAGTTAGTCCACAGAAACCCTACACAAAACCAAGAAAGGAGAGAAGACTTACAGCGTAAACATGAGAATCTGCTGGCGTCTGCTAAGGATCTGCTGAAGGGCGCCAATACTCTCTTCATCCATGGCTTCAGATGTATCGTTCTTGAGCTCTTTTGGACCAGCATCGCCGTCTGACGCCGTAGCATTGGTAACGGACTTTTCTTTGGCCTCAGGGAGGCCATGAGAAGCGGAAGGCATGTCGTGAGAACGTTTTTGTCAGTTTCGTAACGGGAACAGAACAGTAATGTCAGGGTGGCTAGGAGGGCAGTTTGGCTGAACTGAATACGAGCTGGACGAGGATCTGATAAAAAAAGACTATCAGTAGGCTGCTATATAAATGATAAAATTGCCTCAAATTCGGTTTGAGATCCTCGATGGGGCTTATCAAGAGACCGAAAATCTGAGTAAGGCATTTGGCAATGTGTGGTAACAGCCACTCGTAGCCTTCCAGCTGATCAAAGTCGTACTTGCCAGGTCCAGATTCCCGCATGGGTGGGGGATCAGATTAGATTTTACGTAAAGATGGCTGCAGATATATATCTTCTGTGACTGCTGGAGCTGACTGTTTTGTCCGAAGTGTAGCTCTCGGCGGATGGTATGGGTAGGGATGATTCAATTCAAGGGCCATGGCCAGTAGAAGAGGGTTTGGGCCGCTTATGTGCAGCTACACTTGATCTACCTTAATTGCAAATTATGTTCTTTCTGATAATACCAGAAGCAAACGCTCTTGTTTCGGCTGGGCATCTTCTGGCCTAGATGAACCAAGCCAACCAAAAGACACATCGTAATCTTGATAATATTCGGTGCTCCCACACTAGGACGTCCACAAACTGATGTCACTTCGATCCGCACCAAGGAGAGGAAATAACAAAACTCAAATATTTAGATTACATTGTTTGTGTGTAAGTGCCCGAGGCCGAACCCGAAGTGGCGTTGAACAGCAATATGCTCCTAAGTGGGGGCACCGAAGCCGAGGCCGATGTTAGGCCACATCTATTTCGGACATGAGGAATAAATATAAAGGTAAGAAGAGGGCTTCCATGGCATAAATGTGAGTAAGGACCCTTGACGAGCGGCAATATAGATCATGGAATTCTGCCCATATCGTAAACCACACAATAACCATCATAACGTAAGCAAACGAATCAATATTCTATATTGCGGGCTATGGTATCTATATCATCAAAACACCCACCTCGTCTCGTTCCTGACGGGGCCTCATATTCAGCCACGTCATCCCACACACGCAAAACAGGCCTGATGCCGCAGCTTAATCATCGTAGTACTCCTCCCGATCGCTATCGTCGCGTTCGTAGTGGTGGTGATGGTCGTCGGATCCAGACGAGCTGCCACTATCACTGTGGCGCTCGTACCGCTCATGGTGTTGTTCATGCTCACTATCGGATCCAGAATCTGCAATATTGTTAGTAACTCGGTCAAAAGCATAAGTGTGAGTGTGTGTGTGTGAGGAGACATACCCAAGGCATTCGCAATCAGAGCTCCTCCAATAGCGCCAACGGCAAGACCACCCGCGACGCCAAGGAACATGTTGCTGTTGCTACTGCTCTTCTTCTTCTTCTTCTTCTTTTCCTCCTCGCCGTAGCCCTGTTCGTACGGTTGACCATGGGGCTGGCCATACGGCGATCCCGGTCCATACGGCGACCCTTGCGGCTGGCCATAAGGAGACACCTGAGGCTGACCGTAAGGAGACCCCTGAGGCTGACCGTACGGCTGACCATGTGGTTGGCCGTAAGACTGGTTGGGATCATGATACCGCTGTTGCTGCTGAGGCTGGCTCTGCTCGTAATTGTGACCGGCGTAGTATCCCGCCGCCGCACCGGCAGCAGCACCAGCAGCACCAGTCGCCGCGTACCCTTCTCCATGTGAAGGACCCCCGTACCCCGGCTGGGGCGAATGTCCACCGTATCCAGGCTGCGGCGAGTGCCCTCCGTATCTCGGTTGATCTCCGTACCCCCCATAACCAGGAGACTGCGGCGGGGGAGAAACCACGGGCGAAGGAGCGGCGGCTGCGACAGGAGGTTCCCATTGCGAGGAGCCGGTCGCCCTGTTCACGTAGTACGACCTTCCGCTGCCCTCGTCAAACTTCTTGATCCACCCCTCCGGCAGACGCGGGGAGGGGGGACGGCCGTAGGTGTGATGCTGCTCGGGAGGCGGCGGGGAGACGACTACAGGGGAAGGCGGCTCCCACTGAGACGAACCGTTGGCGCGGTTGACGTAATATGAGCGTCCGCTCGCTTCGTCAAACTTCTTGATCCAGCCCTCGGGCAAACGCGGGGATTGAGGTCGGCCGTAACCCTGCTGCTGCTGCTGTCCAGGCGGCGGATAAGGACTGGACGACGACTCCTCCCCGTGGTACCGATTGGACTCCGGACGCGGCGAGTCGGAGGGGTAAGGGCTCTGCTGGTCACCGTAGCGGTGCTCGGGACGGGGCGAGTCCGTAGGGTAAGGGGGGTGGTGGTGAGCGGCATAGGTACCGGCAGCAGCAGCACCGCCCGCGACGCCGCCGGCGAGGGAGGACATGCCGGAACCCTCGCCCGCGGGCTGATAGGCGGCTCTCTCGGGGTCCGACGTGCCGAAAGCGCCGGGGTGTCCGCGATTGTACTCGTCGGCGCCCCGCTGCGGACCGCTGGCGTACCCTGTAGGCGGTCTGCCGTCGTAACCACCTGGATGAGTGCCGTGGTTGGTGTAGCCATAGTCCCTTGTGCCTGTACCGTGGTCAGTACTTGGATGCGTTAAAAAATGAAAGGGAGACGTTAAATCTCACCGTAGTCGTGCTTAACTTCAGGTTCATCGGGGATGCTGAAGCCGCCGAGCTGCGAAGCCAGCTTCGCGACGTCAAAGTTCTGGAAGAGTGACATGATTTTACCGTTGAGAGGGGGTTTCGCGGTAAAGACAGTCTGGGGGAAGCTTTGAGCCAAAATAAATTTGAGGCAAAAAGGTGAAGCGAGCAGGGTGAAATTTTATAAAGACCGTCGCGCGCCTTTGATGGGGGGTGTGGTCAAGTGACGATAATTGCGTGGTCGTGAGTTTGGGGCCACGAGGGGCAAAAAATGAATCAGCTGGCGGTCCACAAAGAAAACCCCAGAAGAAGGCAGGAAAAAAAATAAATAAACGAAGAAAAAAAAAGAGGCCACCGGCCACGGAACACCACCCCCGCTGGGCTTTCGGAGGATTCGTAATGCGGTCTCTTGGGGGGGAGGATGCGGGTTGCTGCACGTCAGATTGGTCCTGTTTGGGCTGTCATGGGCTGCAAGGTTGGGCTACGATTTGGGAGATGCGATGCGATGCGACTCCACGTGGTCTTGAGTCTCGGTAGTTCGGAAGAGGATGAAAGCTGGGCGTTTTGTTTACTATTATTATTACTATTATGACTGGGTGATTTGTTACGGAGTATATGGGGGGGCATTTAGTTAGTGTAAGGTATACTAGCAGCTTATTTGTTTGCTTGGGGGGGACATCTAAGAGAGAGAAAAGTACTGCTCTGATTACGGTATAGTTTTGTCACCACCACCACCACCACCACCACCGCATTATAGCTTTCACCTCAATTCAAATTAATTACCGGGGGACCCCCCCACGTTTCTCAGCCTTCATCTAAACTTGGCCGCGGGACGACCCGCTCATGCGTAGGGCTGAGCTTGATTATCAATGCATTCTTTTCGTTGCTCCTACATTCCTGCTTGACAACATGTGTCGTGTTAGGAGCTGGCTGGCCCAACCTGTATGTCGAGGTGAGACATCAATGTGAACAATCAATGGTGTTAAAAAGCCCTTTGATTACCCAGTGGAATAAGGACCGTATACGTATAATCATGAGCCTTCCTCTTACTCTCGATGATTATTTCACGCAGTCACAACATGTCCCAGGTCATCACTTCAAAGCTAACACGAAAAAAAAGTAGTCGATCGTCATCATCATTCATACCGGGTATAAAAATCGACCAAGTATAAAAACCAACACGCCAGCCTCGCCGGGCGGCCTTAAACGAACAGGTGTTGAAGAAGAAGAAAAAAGACAAAAACCCAAACAACCAAACGCCCACAGCTATGCAATCCCCTTTTTTTTGCCGCCCAAAATGCTAGGTCGCTTCAATGCTGTTTCCTCCACCTCCCATCCGTTTCTGTTGCCTATTCTATGCCATCCATCCTTGATGTACTGTATTCTCCTCCCCTTATTTACTTCTTCTCGGCGATTCTTCTGCTTCTCTTGGCGGGAGCAGGCGTACCGTTGGCGCTGAGGCCGAGTTCCTTCTTCGTCGCCGGTGTAACCTTCTTTGCGACTTTGGCTCCCTCCGTCTTGGGCCCAGCAGCGGCTGCAGATGCTCTAGGCTGGCGGAGCTTCGATGGCGTCGCCGTCTTTGCCTTGGTGGTAGACTTGGTCGCCGCCGCCGCCGCCGCCTTCGTCCCGGCCGTCTTGGTTGCTGCGGCGCTACTCGCTGCTTTCTTAGGGGTGCTGGCCGCCTTCCTGGCTTTGGTGACCTTGCCAACCTCCTTCTCCTCAGCAGGGCTGAGAGGAGAGGGTGACCGGGAGTAGACGGGAGGCTCCTCGCTCTGGCTTCTGGCAAGTTGCTCGGCCCACTGGACAGTCTTACCGTCCTTCCTGGCAGCCGCGGCAGCTCGCGTCTCAATGCCCGCAGGTGCGCCGTCCTTGAGCTGCGCAAGGACCTCATCAACGGACAGCGCACCTCCCTTATTGGCGCGCGTGTTCTGTCTTGTGACGGTCGCGACATCCTTCTCTCCGTTCCTCACCTTGGCGTATACCTGGTGCCGCATGGGAATCTTGGTTGCCGGGGGCGCCTCGCCACGTTCGGCAGCGCGCTGGGCACGAGTGCGAACTCCAGCAGCGGGGCCGGAGCTGGACTCTGGTACGACATCCTTCGACTTGTCCTCATCTTTCTCCTTCATGGGCTTCTCTTCCTTCTCAGGCTTGCCAACATTGTTTTCCTTCTCCGCCTTGGCCTTCCGGGGCTTCTTGGCTGATTGCTTCTCCGGCGACGCCCCCTGCTCCTCAATCTCCTCAGACTTTCGCTTGACCTTCCTGGGGCTCGGACTGTTAGTGTCGAGAGCTCCAAGAGGCTGGCGAGCGGCCGAAGAAACAGCCGGAGACGCCAGGCGACGGGAACGGTCAGCCGAGGATGGTGTGAAGTTGGGGGTATCCGCCCAGATACCCTGGGGTTGGCGAAGGCGCTCGGGGGTGGCAGCGAGCCGGATGGGCGCCGTCGGCAGAGGAGATAGAGCAGCGGGCTCGGTGGTCTCGGCGGCCCTAGCAGCCCGAGAGGCCGCGTGCCGGGAGACGAAGCTCCTAAGCATCGCCAGATCGGAATCGTCCTCGGGCAGGTCCAGCGTGGGCACCTGCATGACCTCTTCCTCCTCGTCGACCTTGTCCTCGTCATCATTCTCCTCCTCCTCCTCCTCCTCCTCCTCTTCCTCAGCCGTCTCGACCACGACGTCGTTCTCAGAGAGACCGAGGAGGGCAGGAATAACAGGGGCGAGCGAGGGAGAGGCCGGAAGGACCACAGGAGAAATCGGGGCGGATTCGTTATCCTCGATAGCTTCGGCAGGGACAACGGGCGAAGCGGGCGCAGACTCAGCAGCGAAAAGAGCGGCGTGCTCGTCCGACACCTTAAACCGAACAATGAGGCGACCATTTTCTCTGGAAACAACAACTTTGCCATCTTGCATCTCCTTCGTCTCTTCAAAAACACGCGTGAGCGAGGCCAGCGCCTGGATGGGCGAGCCTGGGCGATCCTGGGAGGACCCGAAGATATCGGGGTTCTCTCTGACGTCGACAACAACAGAAGCAGGGGAGGAGCTTCCAATGCTCGACGCCCCTTCAGCCGGAGCTGGTGAAGCCTGTGTTTCCGCAAGCGATGCTAAATCAACCTCGAGGGGATTATGCACCGCAGGGAGCTCGACCATGGGAGTGGGAGCAATCGCCAGCGACTCGGATGCTGGATCTTCTTCAAGATCCTGCACCAACGAGAGCTGGTCGGAACCAGTAGCAAGGGGAAGGGACGCCCGGCGAAGAGGGCCGGAAAAGGAAAGGCGACGGGCAGCGGGCAGAGAACGGCGTCTCTTGAAAGGGGCCTCGGAGGTCGCGCCAGGAGTGCGGTTCTTAAACACGACCATGGGACTGGCGACAAGCTCTGGGACATTGTCTGGGTCTTGAGCATCCTCTTCGGCCGGCTCAGCATCCTCGGTAATGTCATGAATAGTTCTAGTATTGCCGGGGGTAGAGACAAACGAGGGACACTCGAATGTAAAGCCAGGGCCGATAGGAGAAGACAGAGGCTCGGCGGCGACAGGTGAGATAGGCTCAGGAATAGAGGCAAGAGCAGCCAGCTTGGCACGTAGGTTAATGGCACCTTGGTCCAGTCTCAGCTTGCGGCTCGCGTTCGACTGGTGCGTAGCGGTGGATGGCAAGCGCGGCAGGGCTGGGGTAGGACTCTGGGGCTCGTCTTCCTCCTCAATGTTGGATACCTCGGGCTCACCGTAAATGGCGATGGGCTGACGGACGTTGCGAGTTCTCTGTCGAGGACGGCCATGGGCCTTGTCTGACTCGCTGATGGCATGCTGGAGAACGAACTCAAAGGTGAGGTCGGGCATGGGGAACGAGAGAAGTGGCTGCATAATGCTGTGCGTGAGGAGGTCGTTGTTGTACGCGCGCTTTGGCTCGCCATTGTAGTTCCTCTTGCCATGGGTGGGGCGGAGGACTGCGCCGTACTTTTGGACGTCAGCATGGTACTGATGACGCATTTCCTGAACGGTCGGGCCCATGGGGACGTGGAAAAGTTCATTGCGAACGACACCTATAAAAGGGTTAGAAACTATGAGCGGATACATCGACTTGGCAACTTACGTCTGGCCTCGATCAGGAGGGCAATACCGTCATCCTCGCCTTCGTACCACACAGCGTCGTCGTCGTTGGTCTCTTCCGACACTCTCTGCTTCTTGCGAGTGCAAATAGCGTAAGAAAGCTTACCCCTGGCGGCAATGACACGGAACTGGGGTGCGGCTTCAAGCTCGTCCAACAACAGCGACTCTGAGACTTGGTGGGTTATAGCCTTCTGCACCTCTATACTCTGGATTTCTTGCCTCTTGGATCGCTGCTGCTGCTTCTTCCTGCGCGCATTGCGGACTTGCTTCTGCTGGAGTACGGAAGTAGAAAATCTAGGCGCAGCGAGTGCGCATGTGTAATCAGCCTGCTCAAACAGCTCCGGTTGGAAGGGGCCCCTGCAAAAAAAAAAAAAAAAAAAAGGGTTAACGAGGTCAGAACAAGGGTAGTTTTCAATTCTAGTGTAACATACGTGAGCGACTTGGCGGCGTCAGTAAGTTCGGCTGTCGCGAACGTGTACGTAGGGAACGGCGAGGTATACGCGCCGTTATAATCGGACATCCAGGTGACATCGTGCATCGAGACGTCGAGCTTCGAAGGAGACTGAAACATGGAGCTAGCCTCGGAGGCCTTGGAAGGAGACTGGAGTGCAACATAAGGCTCAATGACCTTTGACGGAGAATCCACCACAGAATTGTTGTCATCTTCATCTTCAACAGCCAGTATCTTTGAGGGAGTCTCGGGGACACTCTCGGTCTGCTCCTCCTCTTCGGGTCTGCTCGTGTGCGAGACAGGGGAGAGGTCCCGTGAAACCTGAGACGCGGCAGGCGATGTGACCGACATTACGGAAAATTCAGACACTTCAGGCTGCGCAGGGCTGGCCTTTGGTGAGAGCCCAATAGGAGACTTTGGTGTAGAGCCACTGGCAGACAGGAAGCTAGCTTCGTCCGCAAACGAAACCTTCTTCGGCGAGGGCGTCTTGGTGGTTCGGAACGAGGACTTGGTCGGGCTCGATTTGCTCGGCGAGAGATCGTAGACACGCTTCGGTGTTGAGGCATTAGCGGACAGGAAGCTGGCATCCTCGGCGAGAGTGAGCTTTCGCGGGGAGGGAGTCTTTCTAGGAGACGTGGATCTCTCGCGGCTAAGCGACATGATGGAGACGCCGCTGGTCAGGTTGACACGCTTCTTAGGCGAGCCAGTCTTGCTGGAGGACTTGGGTGTCTTTTGCGTGGGCTCAGGGCCGAGTGAGAGAGAAGCAAACTTGGGGGCGCTCTTCTTGGAGGTCGACTTTGCTTTAGGAGTGAGGGAGGCAGCAGCGGCGCTCCTGGAGGGCTTCGTTGGCGTGGTGAAGCCGCCGAGGGCGAGTGACTTGATTGTGGACGTCATAGCGCCGTTTGGGTTTGGGGAAACCTCGAGCGCAGAGAAGCCGGCGAGAGCCACCTTAGGGCTTACGTTGGACAAATCCGAGAAGGCGGATCGCGAGGAGGGAGATCTGGAAGGTGAGGATGCCGCGCCTGCGGTGGGCGGGCTGTGTGAGAATCCGGAGAAGTTCATCGCGTCTGTAAATGAGACATCTGCCGGGAAGAAGAGGGTAATGAGAATGACGATGAGGTAATTGGTGTATGTGTGTGTGTGGGTGAGGGATAGCTATCGGGAGCTTGGGTCTCCAATGCGACGCGACGCGGGATGCGGACCGTAAGAGGCGCGATTGGGGATTTGGATGAGGTAAGTAAAGTACCGTACCACACAGACTTTGTAAAAGTAAACAAAGCGTACGCTAGACGCGAAAAGAAGAAAAAAAAAAAAAAAGTAGAGAAAAAGACGCGAACGCGACGAAGTACAAGCAGAGGCAAAGGCAAATGCAAGTAATCGAAGCTGATCTATCTTTTGCGAAGTGCGCGCGATATACAGGTAGCCAGGAATGGATATCGCATGTAGCGCGAAACAACACCCCTACGATTGGTGATTGATATGACTTGACGTGTATGAGTGTGTGTGTATGTGCGTATTTGTTTGTGTGTGTGTGGTGTGTGCGAGATGAGGTCTCCAGGTACTTGGTTCTAAAAAAAAAAGAAATTGGTAGAGAGGAGGGTGTGGTCAAGGCGACCATTGGGGGGGGGGGATAACCTGACCAATTACCCACTTATTTTGTGATTTGTGGGGCTACCCTGAGATCAGCTGACCATGGTCAGCTAGTTAGCTATGGTCAGGTTGAAATTCCTTAGCGCGGTTTGAAACCTCACCCTTGACATACTTTTTGTAAGAACATACGACATTTAAACGCTTCCAAATCCGTTCCGAATCGATTTACAATGGCTCTTCAATCGATTGAAAATCTCTTCCCTCGCCTAGAGGGAATAAGTCCTCTATTAGAACCTACTAGTCTTGATGCAGAAGCTGAAGAAGACTTAAATCTTTACTATCAACTACCAGCCCAGGCCCAGTCTGGCTTACCAGTAAATGAGGAGGTAGGGATATATGAGAACGACTTTGGAATTAGTTCTAAATCGATTCAGGATCAACTCGAAACCGATTCAGAAATACCTCCAACACTTGTTTCATCAGAGGCAACCCGTTCTGGGCATAATAGCCTCAGGGATGTTCATGTACTTGCTCAAAAAGTAATCTTTCTACCTACATTTATAGAATATCCAGAAACAAGTGAGAATGGAGTCCTTTATGTTATTGATATAAGGACTTTAAATGAGGAGGATATTAAATCGCCTTGGAGAATGGTAAACGAACTACTTTTGAATCGATCCGGGATCGATCCCGAACTACTTCAGAACTAATTACATCACAGATTCAGTACAACCATGCCCGGCAATTCCCACAATTCTATATCGCTTCCGAATCGCTTCAGAATCACTTGGGAACTAATTTACTTAGCTGAACCTCAAATAAAAGCATGGGCTCAACATAAAGCCCGAAAAACAATTGCAGCTGGACTTAATCAGAACTGCTCTAAAATCCCCTTATCAGATTGGAGTCAATTCATACCTAATACAAATACTGTTGAGGTTTTACATGAAGCCTCATATACTTGGAGTAATCGGTATTTACCATTACTTACATGTATCCAGAAGTAAGTTTGGAATCCCTTCTGAATTGATTCGGAATTGGTTTGGAATGCGTTGAGAACTAATTCAAAAGTACTTAGATGTGCAGAATACGATCGCCATCTTTTAGAGCAGGATACAGTGTTTACAACACTAGGAATCCGGCTTTCCTGGAAAGATGTTTCTATTATTAGCCGTTATAATACAGCTGCAAGCCGTTTACGTAAGTTAAAAATACTTTAATATTTATTAATAATTATTTCTAAATTATTTTAGAACTTAAACGCCAACGCCAGAGGGAATCCCGTGAGCAACTAGATAATGAACGTGTTGAAAGGCTTTTATCAACCCGACTCTTTACGTCTAGTCCCTCAAGGGGTACTAATTCAAGAAGTCCATCCTCAATTCCGAATCGATCCCGAAGTCTTTCAGAAGCGATTCGGAATCGATCCCCTCGTCTTTCCCATGCTTCATCTTCTGGGGTTATTAGGTCAAATACTCTCCAAAGAACATCTATTTCTAACTTAAGAAACGAAATCAGACAGGGACAACAAGATGACTTTGACTTACAGAAGCAAAGTCTAGAATTAGAAGAAAAGCGATTAGAATTAGAAGCAAGAAAACTTCTAGTTGAAAAACAGAAGCTTGAACTACAAGAAAAGGAACTAGAGTTAGCAGAGCGGCGGAGAAGGTTAGGACTTTGATAGCATATAGGATAGGTAGAGAATCGATTCTAAATCATTTCTGTATTGATTTAGAAATGCTTTTTTTTAAAAAAAGCTTAAAAACCGAACGCCCCGGGTATCTATAAAGAATTGATTCTAAAGCGGTTCCAAATCGGTCCCGAAAGAAGTCCCAAACTGGTTCCAAACCGATCCTGAATTGATTCAGGCCTCATCTTCTTCATCATCCTCAAAGCGGGCCCAGACCTCACATTCCTGATCGCGAAGGGCGGGAGGACATTCTGAATCGATTCGTAATTAGTTCTGAACTGCTTCAAGACTGATTCTAAACTTACTGGCATTGCGGGCAGTGGTGCAGTGGGTGCACTTGCCCTTGGCAGGGAAGCCGGCGGCGCGACGCATTTCGGCGAAGTTGATCTGTTGCAGAATCGATGCAGAATGGGTTCCAAAAGGATTCCGGATCGATTGAGAATCACTTACCACAGTTTGGTTGCCCCGCTTGCGCGTGGGCACGGCAAGAAGGGGGGGAGGGGTCTGCGCCTTCCGTTTCTTGGAAGGAGTCTGCAGCTCGCTGTCATCGCGAGCGCCGATGGCGATGCCGTGGATGCGGTCGTAGAATTCTATTCATAATCAGTTTAGAACTAGTTCAGAATCGGTACAGAATCAGTTCAGAATCACTTACCAGCTGCATCATCGTTCTCCTCGACGGAGTTCGCGCCGGACTTGCGGCTCTTAACCTTGGCCGGGACCCCGTCGAGCTTGTGCTTCTTGATGTGGTTCTTGAGGTTCGACTCGCTCGAGAACCGCTCCGTCTAATCGATTCGAAATTAGTTCTGAACTGATCCGGAACTGATTCTGAATTACCTTGGTGCACGTGATGCTGCTGGATCTACCACCCAGCGGCAGTAGAGTTCGCCAGGGGCGAGCTTGACTTCGCCAGCCTGAATCGATTCAGAACTGTTTCTGAATCGTTGTGGAATCGCTTCTGAATCACTTACCTCGTTGAACTCGAAGGGAGGAAGATCCTCCATGCGGTGGTTCTTGCCGCCCTGGAGAAGACCTTCTTTGTAGGTCTTGTAATCGTCCTGATTCTGAATCAGTTCTGAATCGATCCTAAACCGATTCCATTGTACTTACAGAATCCTTGTATGAAGGCATGATGTCGGATTTCTGAACTGATTCGGAAGTAATTAGGAATCGGTGCGCCAGGGGGGGGGGGGGCGCATACGATTTGAAAGGGTTACGGAGGGAAAAGGAAGCGAATCAGAATAGAATAGGGATTTAAATATTAATATGGGGTATGCACCCTAATCAGTAGTGGGACGCAATCAGTAACTGGTCCGTGCACCTGACCGATTAAAAATTCCATGGTCAGGTGGACCCACTTCACCTCAATACAGCCAATCATAAAATTGGTCAGATAGACCCATAATTCATTTAAATAAGTGGGTAATTGGTCAGGTTATCCCCCCCCCCCAATGGTCGCCTTGACCACACCCTCGTAGAGAGCCGGGAAGAGATGAACTTTTAGTATTGGAGGGACATGGAAAAAAGAGGTTGTGTGGTGGGCTGCCGTCGCAACGCTTTCGGTCTTGTCTTCCCTCCTTCTTTCCCCCATTGTTCCTTTGTTTACATTCCATTGCCTCCAGCCAATCGGCAGCTCCCGATGGTAGACGCTAAAGGGCATCTGGAGGGTCCTTCCTTCCTTCCCCCACCGCTTTCGACCTTCTCTGCAGCGGTGATCCGTGCGTCTGATTCCTACCCCACTATGAGGCGCCACTACGCGTCTCTGGCCAATCACGAATTTCCCGTGAGACCACCGCGAGGCTGAGGGCACGTGATTGGCGAAAATGTGTCTGCCAGGCGCATTCAGAGCTTTCGAGGATGGGGGGGCCATTCTTTGGTAGGATCTTTTTTTTTTGTGGTATTTCCCGAGTGAGGCCATTCATCCCCGACCGACCGCGACGCAACGGCATTCCGATTCGAAAAGACACTTACGAATTTGATTACGACGTACACCTTCGATACGGATAATTGCCCACCATGGCCAAACAACCTATGCGTCTTCCCCCTATCAAGGTGTTGCGTGTGAAGCAGCCCAACAAGCAAGCCGCCAACCCATGTGTGCAGGTCATGACCTCCGTTCTCGGTAAGCTCCATCTTCCCTCCCTATTGCATCCCAACTGTTGTTGCTGTGTGTTGGGTTGGATGGTGGATGGTCGCGTGGCTGGTAAACTAGCTCCGACAACGGTTTTCCATCTATGGAGCTATCCATCCATCACCACCAGCCCATAAATCACACCCCCCAGTCTCCATTTTAAGGACCTTGTAAGCTAATACCGTCTTGCACAGCTTGCTGGGCCTCCGCAGGCTACAACACACAAGGCTGTGCCGCCCTCGAGAACTCGCTGCGTGCCTGCATGGACAAGCCCAAGGAGCCCAAGCAGGCTTCTTCCACCATCAACTACCACCTCGGCCGCATGTACGACCGCGTGATCCCTCACAAGAAGGACATCAAGCCCACCAAGGGCAACCAGTGAGGTGGCTGTCGGGCAGGGAGGAGGAGAAACAAAAAGGATGGAGTTTACCATGTGCTACGTGGACAACTCACTCGCTGCGAGGGAGAGAACCGAATACGCCCTGAGGGGCAGAAGGCTTTTCGTTGCGGCCGGCAGGCATGTCGTTGGCATGAGACAGACGGCGAGCCTGCTAGAGTTGGTTCCAACGGGGCTTGAAGCGCGCCCACGCATTGTGGAAACACGAACTATTATACACCGGATGAGGCGTTCAAGAGGATGGTTGTTGTATACTATGTATCATATACGGCACACGAGTTGCCATGTCACAATCAAAAGCACACATTTTCTCATGAAAACCATGTTTCGAGGTCACATTCACAGTGTGGCAGAAGACTACCCAGGATAATAGTAGCAAGCAGTAAGCAAACGGTCACCGAGTTCACACGTAAACAATACCACATCGCGATTGTTCAACTCAAATTGAAGGGTCAGTAACGCCTTCCATTCTTCAGTATCCTTTAGCTAGCGCCAGTCAAGAAGCCGATCCCAAGCTGTAGCGAGCGACAAAACAAACATCTCATTCCTGGCCGGTGCTGTCCACCAGCAAGAAACCCTTCAAACACCTGTGCAAAATCCTCCATCATCATCAAAGTCGTAACGATCGAACGAGGGTCAGTCATTTCACGAGTAAACAACCAACGTGAGAAGAGAATAAAAAAAATAAAAGGATGAACGAAAAAAAGCCCAAGATAAAAGAAGAGTGCCTGGGTTTCCTGTGCCATTGACCGTCCATCTGGCTTTCGAGGCTCAGAGAGGCATATGCCAAGTGCATCCAGAGCTGCGAATCGGGTAACGCTTATAAGTATTTCCAAGAAGGCGGTTTGAGCTGGATGAGCACCTCATAAAACCTGAGTGAAACCCGTTGGTTGAGTGTCTGTCGTGAGGCGGAAAACGTGGTCATGATGATAGCGCTGTCTAAATCCCGTCACTCCGAATGCTTCCTGACTGCAAAGTGGTCGTCGCTGCAACCCCTGTCTTACAGACCGGCAACCACTTGCTCCGATATTGATGCGATGCTAAGAGGTATAAAAATGAGGTGAAACAATCTGCTCCGAACGCCGTGTTGTATGCAAAGAAATGCCCCTCCCCTCCCCGGTGGGTATATGGTATGATGCGCCTGGGAAAATCCTATTCTTCTCCCAAATGACCTACTTCGACATAGAAATGGGGCCTTCAGGCCGTCTCTCCAACGCAGAAGAGTTCAATCTCACCAACTCCGCCTGGGTTGGTGTTACGGGCACCCTCGCGCCACTCAATAAAGGCGATTTGGATGTCGTCGTCGCTGGCAATGGTGACGAAGTCACCGTCCTCATCCTGGTAGCGCAGCTTGAGCATTCCCTTGCTGATGCTGCTGTTGGTGAACCGTGCAAGCTTGGCATCGATACGATCAATCAGAGATTGATAGGTGATGTTAAACGCAACAACCAGGGTGACATAGTTGCCGCTGTCGACAAAGTTCACCTTGACCTTCAACTGCGTCGGTATCGGGAGTTCTGGGCTGGCAAGCGGGTTCGACTGAGTCGCGCTGACGCCAGTGCCAAGAGGAGGGGACATCATCGCGCTCATGGATGCAGCAGCGTCAATGCTGAGCTGTCTGTCGTGGACGACAGAGTTTGGCGTTCCTTGACGAGGGTAGATCGGCTGAGCAGGGAACTGCGACATTGTGCCGCCGTAGCTTCCAGACTGCTGGTGGCCATACTGCCGTTCGCGCTGGGCGCCGGGACTCTGCGTGTTCGAGCGGACAGGCATATCGTTCATCCTGGGAGAGCCCGTCTGAGACCGAGGAATGTTTTGGTCATGAGCGGGATGCAGGTGTGGGGGAATACCAGGAACAGCTGGGACGGGGGTGCCGCCCTGAGTGCGACGGATACTTCCTGGGCCGTTGATATCGGGGGTACTGTAGGATCTGCTCCGCTGCTGCTGTGCGGCGCTCTGGCTGTTGGATGCCATAGCTGGCAACGAGGGCCCACGGGGGTTCCTCTGGGGAGCGCCATCTCTGGATGGCGCACGAGGCATGGCAGGCGCCGTGTACCTCTGATTCGGATCATCACCCCAACCAGGCTGAGGTGTGAGCGACTTGGGGAACTGGTAGTTGGGGGTGGTAAACATGCCGCTTGTGGCACTTGTGCGCGAGGAGACAGGAGATTCAGCAACCGGGGAGAAGTAGGAATCGCCACCGCGAGCTCCAGGTGAAGAAGCACCAGGGAGAGGAGCCTGAGTCTGCAAGCTCAAGGGAACCGGGGGCTGTGGGAGCGGGAACCTGGGCGGCGGTGCTCTCGCCATACCAGCAAGGCTCTCTCCTGTCGCAGAACGCTGTCGCAGGCTAGTGCTTGATGGGTTGCGTGGCAGCATATGGCCACCGGTAGACTGAGTGGGCATCGGGAATTGTGCGGGGGCAGACGCTGCCGGCCAGAGCTCCTCGTCATCGTCGTCGTCTTGGTTAAGGTACGGGTTCTCGAGCTTGCCGCCGTGTTCACGAGTCCAGGCAAAGTCGGGTGCCGCCTGGTCAGGGCTCGTTGAGGCTTTGGGCGCGTTGTCCTTTCGCTGCGACTCCAGGGCATCGGCCCACTTCTTCATCTGCTCCTCGTTGGAATACTTGATCATGAAGTTCTCCACGCCGGGGTCGCCCTTCCACCAAATCTGGACACTGTATGAACCGGGCTTCGAAAGAAAGAGGACATCAGTGACATTGGTCATGAAGATGCGGCCCTTTAATTGCAGTCTGGCATTCTTGTTCCTTATTTTTGGACCGGTAGACCGAGTCTTGTCCTTCTTGTCCTTACTCTTGTTCGCCGAGATTTCCTTGCAGCAGAGCAAGATGTTTTCGAAAAGGTAGATTTCATACTGCAAATGTCAGTGTCCTGTTTAAGCCGTGGAAGGGGCGTCTTTTTTGCTGTACTTACGTCCTTTTCTTGCTCGCTCTTGCCAGTGACGACGGTGTAAACGCCATGCATCAGCAATCTGCCAAACTGTTCCACGCGGTGATTCTTCCAATCATCAACTCGGGTTCGCAGATCATCCAGAGCCTCGTCCAAAAGATCACGGTTGACTTCTTCGTTGGCCCTAGACAGAACGCGCCCGGCAGCCTCAATACCCGCCGCCAAGTCGGCCTTGATTTCCTCATCATCACTCTTCTTCATCAGATCCTTCAACAGAAGCGGGTACTTCACAAGTCGCTGCATGGGCTTAAGCAGGAAGCCATCGAGAGTGTTAAAGTCTACCGCTACAGGGTGGCCGGCAGCCTTGATCTGGTCAAAGACTTGGCTGGCAACCTGGGCCGCCTTTCGCTGGTTAGCAATAAAGGGTCGGTAAATGTCGAACGCATCTTCATATGCGACAAAAGGAGCGCCCCATTGCTGTGTTGCTTGGGGCATAGAGTTTGTAGTCTCAACCCGAATGAGGAATCTGCGCTGGAAATCGAGAATAGCGTTGATGTTGAGGAAGATCTGGTGGATGGTGTCGCCGGTAATGATACCCTTGGTCTCCAAACTGCTCTTAAGATCGTACAGATTCTCCAAATCCTGGACATACTTGCGCTCCGTGTCGACCAGTTCCTTAATGATGTGGTCTCGGTAACTCAGCTTGGAGCCGGGTTCTTTTGGCATGTCATCTTCGGGATAAGGTTGCAGCTGTAGTAGGAGACCTCGTTGCTCTGCCAGATCAAGGACATAATTTACCACTTGAGTTGTCTGCGACCAAGTTAGCAACAGTGCACTCCAATCATACAAGGTTGGATCGCAGGGTGATGAATCAGGGGGCAATCCTATGTTGCATACCTTCACGAACCCAGTCGTGTCATTGCCCAGGACATCGCTGATGACGAAGCATTCGGCAGAGGAGATACTCAACTCCTTCAGACAGGCCTGGATAAATTTGAAAATAGCGATCTTTGATTTCTTGCTTTCGGATGCAGCAGCATTCGTGTCTTCAATCTCGAGTGTCTTCTCGGGCTGCAGAGCGTTGTAAATGTCCAAAAATGGGTAACCAGTACGGAAAAGGCTCCACAGAGATTCGACGGGGTCGTTGGGGTCCAACTGTTGCAGATAGGGGTCGAAACCGGGCACTTGTGCTAAGCGCTGCTTCAACGACATGCAAATCTGGTAAAGGGAGCGCGAGGCATCCGCCTTTTGGTTGATAATGTTTGCCGTTGCGACAACTGGTCCTCCATTTTGGGCAGGCGTCACAGTCGATGCACTTGCTAGGGAGGTGATGGAGCCGGAGGACGATGTATATGCTGTCGAGCCGGAGAGTTGGCTGGCGCGCGGCGCATTACTCATGGTATTGGGTAGGCCGCCAATTCCGCCGGGGTTCTGGAATACAGGAGCCGTGTTGTTTCTAAGTAGAGGAGCATGAGCCATGACGTCCTAGCCCATCCGGCGGTAGGAGGGGGGAGGAAGCGAGGAAACGGCTTGCGGGCAGTGACGGTTGAGAAAGATCACGGTCGGTCGGATATCGTGGCAGAACTCGAAGGGGTAAGAGCGGAGGCGGTGGAAGGGGAGTGAAGCGCTTCTATCCGGAGGGGAATGACTGGGGCTCTCGTCATTCAGCGCAAGGGTTCTCGAAGTCGGTCAACTCGCGTAAGGGCCGGAACTCGAAGGGGTATTGGTGGTTAGGGGGGGGATTGAGGCCACGATCTAGCGGTCACGGTCGGTACTGGGGAGGGTTTCGTAGTGGTCGGGCGTCGTCGCAGAAGGAGAGCACAGGAATGTGAAAACAAGGGGCTCTGATCCAATTCGGTCGACGTCGGTGTAGTCTTTTTTTTCTTGTTCGGTCGTCGGATGCCCCTCGACTGCGATCTGAAAGAGAAAAAAAAAACAACCAGCAGGTTGACGAAGGAAGACAGCAATAGTGTTGACACAGAGTGTGTGTGTGTGTGTGACAGAACTGCCGGCGCCGAGTGTCGGTGGAGGAGGGAGGTTGGGCTGGTCGGGCGGGTCTAAATTCGAGTCTACGAGTCGAAGTTTGCGGAGCGGTGCGGAGCGATGGGGGCTATCGGGGCGAAACCAATGCCTTTTGTCCCCCCTGCTGATCTCTTGTGGTGGGCGGTTCAACAGTAGCGTTGTTGTACTTGTCGTTTCCCTCGCGGGGCTTTGTGAAGGATGATCTGGCGGGGGACAGATATCGTTCAAAGGGCACAGCAATATTTAGAGAGCAAGCTTGAAGGAGGCTTGCGAGACGAAGCGGGAACGGTGATGTCGCTCGACTTGGGGGGATGTTGTTGCAGGACGCAGGCTGCTGCAGTCGGCGTGCATGAGTATGTCTTGATTCGACCTGGAGGGGGAACGGCCTGGGACCTGGGTTAGGTACGGGGCGAAGAGGTCAGGGTCAGACGAGCTTAAGGGCAGGGGAAGGGGGATGAAGGGAAGGGGGGAACAGGAAGGGAAGGGTAGGCTGGTTGGGTTGAGGATCCGTACTGAATGTTGAAAGGTAGGTCGGGTCAGGCCAGCCAAGTCGGGTTCCAGTTTGTGGTTCCAGGACCAGTACCCGTTCTGTTGCTGGTCTTTGTGTGTGCGTGTGTGCCTTTGAGAGCGAGAAAGGGAGAAGAATGGTGGATGGAGGGGGGTATGGTAGGGGAGGGGGGAAGGATTCCATCTACCATGTATCCTTGTATTTGGGGGGGTTTAGGAGAGGTTACTGTAGACAGATAAACGGAGAGACAGAGAGGCGGATACAGAGAGAAAGAGAGAGGCGCGGATGGTGAATGGTTAATTGTGGATGGTGTGTGGGTACCGAGAATGGGATAGAGTGGGAATGGCAGAGGGATGGATGAGTGAGTTAGTGGGTGCGAGGATTGATTGGGTCCCTTCGGCATAGCAGGTTGGAGGGGGTTGAGGAGGGGGGTGAGGGGAGGGAAAAGGGACTCTGAGCGCCGCTTCTACTGCTTGTACTAGTAAGTGGTCTGGTGCGGTGCTGCAGGTGCACTGCATTCAAAGTACGGGTCGGCTTCCCTCTAGATGAATGGGGTATCCCACATGCCTTTTGGGTCAGGTTTCTTCTCGAGGGAAAGGGTTTCCCTTCCTAGTGCTGATAGTGCTTCTTCTGTTGGCTATACTGCTGCTTCTGTGCTCTTGTCTACTGTACCTCTCAGTCAGGGAACTGGAAGGTCCTTGGGGACTCTCAGGCTACTCGCATTGATTCTGATGGAGGTTTTGGGTGTTTCAAAATTAGCGGGCGGGTGCGCTAATCTGCTTTGGGACGAGTTTCCCGTCACAGTGGACAGATCACGTCTCTCATTGATTGAAGGTAACACGGTCCGGCCGTGTACGTACCATTCCATGGCTTCTAATAGTACACAACATTGGGAGACCAGCACGCAAAGAGAGCAGCAGATACAGCATCACTGGCCACAAAGCGGCACCGTCTGAGCATCCTACGTCTGTGATGATGGGGATAGTCCGTGGTGGTTGTACTAGCAGTACTAGCAGATGGATGGTGGTGGTAATGTTGGTCTTGCAGCAGTGGCAGTGGATACTGTAAACCCTTGGATCCTGGTACTACACTAAGTCCAGGCAGACGGGAAACGGAAGTTGAAAAAGAGGAAATGCTACATATAACATACCATGTATCGCAAACGCAGCAAGCATGCAATATCCGCATATGTTACTCTCAATCATCTGTGTCATAAACATCAATACACATACGCATATAATGGGTGACATTTGTTCGAGAAGGTCAATGGAACAAAAGGAAGAGGGAGGGAAGGAGGGGTGGATGCCAACCTGGCTTGCCGCAGATGCGACGCCAACGCCGGAAACGAATACAGCATGTATCACGAGATATCGGCAGCCCTTTAAACATGCCGTGCCAGCCTTTCTCTGCCCTTTGATGTATGTCATCGTCATGCCCTGAATGGAAACCATGGCGCAAACGGGTATCTCCTGGCATTGCGACCCCGTGATTCTGGCCGCTTGATATTAAACCCGCCCAACATAAGACAGACGTTTGCTGTGTGTGCTCCAGTTTCTCTACAGAGTTAGTACCCGTGCCCGCAACTCGCACTCAATCAACGTGGATCCAGAAGTTACGTCTCAAACCCAAGTCCTTGCAGGATTCAAAAATAAAATAAATAATTAAAAATCAACTGTCTGTTGCCCTGTCGATGTTGCTGCCCCCCGTTGACTGTTTATCAAGCACATACGAAAATGACGAAATGGTGTCCGTCCGGACGTTTATGGTCATTCTTCCCCCCGCTGGTGAAATTCAATAGCTCCGTTGTTGAAATGGGCAATGAACTGACCACCCACTTCCTACAAGCTCTTCTCAGGCCATCCACACCGCATCACCCCCGTCCGGACGGCAAGCATCGGTACTACTCACCTTGTGGTTTGAAGCGAGGGAGGGACGCAGAAAGGCTCGTGGGTGTGTGTGTGTGTGTGTCGGTACGGATACTGCTAATATGTAAAACGCCTCGGGCATGGGTGGGGAGGGCCATTTTGGGGAAAATAATATAAAATAACGTACATGATAAGCGAGTGAGACAGACAAGCGAGTGAGACAGTAAACCAGACCTTCGCGACAATAATATCGAAATCTATAACAAGAAATCTTAGATTGATTAATACTACTCGGATTCCTGTTCTTCGGATGTTTCCTCAATAAATTGACATGTTCTCGCGTTGTGGCCTGTATTCCCGCATACGCCACACCGACGATGAGTCGTCTCAGACCTCACTTTGCGACCACTACTCCGTCGCGTTTCCTCTTGTAGTTGCGTGTCTGCCTCTCTTTGCGACTGTATATCCTCTCCAGTAGATATAGTAAGACTTCCTCCTTTCTGTAGACGTGTTTTCTTAGCCCTTCGACGCCGACTTAATATTGCATTCTCCTCTCGAAGGATTTGAACCTCTGACTCTAGTAATGCTACCCGATGCCCTAGTCCTTCTGTCCCTCTGGCTAGCTTACTCACAGCACTATAAATTGATGCTGGAGAGCTGCTTCGGTGGCGTGAGATTCGACTCTTAATAAAAGTAGACTGTGATCTTGCTTCGCTTGGGTTGCTCGGCGTCCTAGAGATCCAAGGGTCTGGTGTCTGAGGGACCCCCTCCTCAGGCGTTGGCGTTCGGAACTTTACATCCAGCTTTGAGAGAACACTTTCTGCATTCAAAGGGACAAGTCCAGCTCCTCGGAAACCTCCCTGGATATTTTTCCTCGTAAAAGACTGCTTAAAAGCTTCGTGAAATGCTGCAAAGAAATCTTCCTTCGAGATATGGGTTGTGCCTCGCCGCATCTTATTCTCAATTTGCCGACCGTAGGCATTCTTTAACGGCTGAAAACAACCAACATCTAAGGGTTGAAGTAGATGAGACGAGTGAGCCGGCATGCACAGTGTAATAATGTTGTTTTCTTGACAAAAGAGCTCGAAGGCTGCGGAGTGGTGACTTTCATGACCATCAACAACGAGGAGGCGATATTTCCCAGACGTACGTGGTTTTGTATAAATGTCGAAGTGTCTGATCCAGTCAATACCTCTCTCGTTTGTTGTCCATCCATTTTCAGACGTTGCAATAGCCCAATCGCCCGGAAGAGAGGTTTCTGTATACCAGCTTGAGAGGTGATACTGGCCTGCAACGATGATGTATGGCGGGATGCTCTCCCCTTGGGAATTAATAGCCTGGATAACTGTAACCCATTCCCTATTGCCAGGCTGTGTCATCTTCGTATTTGAACGCCTTTCAGCACTTGTAACAACCATTCCAGAAGCAATAACGCCCATCATAAAGCCGGTCTCATCAAAGTTGTAGATATCAGCATCAGCAATACCATACTTCGCAATTGTATTCTTCACAAGCGAAAACCAGCCACGAATCACCTCTGGATCTTCGCATTGAGCTCTCTTATAGTCATACTTGCGAAAGAAACGCGTCCTAAGCTGTGGTTGTCGCTTGACGAAATTAGAAGCCCAGCGCTTCCCAACTGGAGGCGCGTCGCGCTCTGCGAGAAGTCGATTGGCCATTTCTTCCACACCACTCAGCCGGGGAGGAAATGATCGCGCATCTAGGTCGAGAATATACTCAACTATTGTCTTCTCTTCTAAATCTGATAAATTCCGTGAATTAGGCATGCTGTCGCGTCGTGAGACTATTCCCTTTAGTCGCCGGCTTAATGTTGCGTGACTGACTGTATAGAGTGCACCTGCGGCCCGAGCACTAAGTTTTGGGTCATTTCTCATTGCTTGAAGGGCAATTTGTAACCTTCTTTCAATACTAGCTGATTCCATGATTTATTGTAGAGGAAAAGGTGCCGGTCGCGTCAAGGTGCGACGGTCGCGGTTTACTGTCTCACTCGCTTGTCTGTCTCACTCGCTTATCATGTACGTTATAAGATATTAAAAAATAAAAAGAGAGAAAGAATGCGGAGCGTTGATGAGGTGATTGCTTGATAAGACAAGCCGTTCCCACTAGATCCCGCCCGCTCCTTCTTTCATGCTTGATTGAGGCTTGGGGGGCTGAGAGGCTTGACGCTTGAGGCTTAATGTTCATGAGATCAGGAAAGAGGGAAAGTATCTCCTCCTACCTTTCTTGCCCTTTTTCTGCCCGTTCTTCGGTAGGCAGGGACTTAGCTTCCACTACTCGCCTTGGCCGGAAGGAGGAGGCACTATGTAGCAAGAGTGCCTACCCACCCGGCCGGCCTCTTTCCCCAACAAGCTTCTTCACTTGTTCGGCTCCCTGGTTTTGGATTTGATTTTGGTCTGTTCTTGCCTTGTCCTAATTTGTTCCTACCACTACCTGCCTGCTTACTACCATGTACCATTTGGCTGGATTCCTTTTGCTGCGTCATCACAATTTAGAGGCGGAAAGAGACTCCTTCTTGGCTCTTAGAAACGGCAATAACAACAACACAAAATCACATTCTTTTTCCATTCTCGAAATTGCGCTCATCGCCAGCCCGTCACTCCTCCAAAACTCCCACTTACCAGTTGTTACCGACCATCAAAGTACTCTTTACTTCCTGCGGTACGCTGTCGGGTTCGGTCTTCACCTTCTCCAAACTAACGATGCGCTATACGCCTTCAGGCGCAGCCCCGTCGTGTCTGCAGCCTTCGGGCCTTCACCATCTCGCCCTCAATTGCCCAACTTAAATCGACTTTCGTCTCCTCCTAGCAGACATCATAGTTGTGCTGCTCTACCGTTGCTAGAGACGACAAGGTCTATACTTCGAACCCCACTCTTGTTGCTGCCCGTCAGCATTTATACCGCCCGGCCACCAGCATCCGTGAGTCTGACTATCGGCGCGCGGGCTCTCAGATAAGTGCATGAGCATCTCCCATCCGTCTGTTGTTTCGATGCCTAAATGCACAGGACTGCTACAATGCTGCTTTTATCCACCCCTTCACCACGGCTTCGCCTCCAAAGACAGGACATCCTCGTCCTTCTGAAATCTCCCATCTCGCCCCCCTCCAGGGTCTATCTGCTCGAGCGGAATTCTGCCCCCTCAACTCGAACTGTACTTGCAAAAGATGTTGGCTGTCAGTTTTACCCTGACACACGGCCGATCCGTCGCCCGTGGACATCCATCGTCATCTTCCCATCACGGCCCGTCACATAACCTAATTCATCGCACCAGATGGAAAGATCTGTAGGACTAAAGGGTCGCCCATCCATAACCGCGGATCCAATCCGACAACACCCCATCGCTGCCAACCAAAACATGTCAAGACAGTTGAAACACTCAGTTCATGCGCCTGGATGACCAAGCCCACTAGGTCCAAGGAAACAGTGGGAGCCTCACATGACAATTGTTTTGGGATGAGGGACGACTCGACACCATGCCACCTCATGCCGCTTGCCCCCCTGGGGCCTGCCTACGATACCTGGGATGCTATGTGCTACTGCGTAGGATGAGGCGGCGGACGGAACCCACTCCGAATGAAGGACTCTCCAGGGGAATCCTGCTGGCCGCAACCACCGCGGCCCTACATCATACATTTTCCTTCCTTGCCCCGCGATGCCGTGCATCTCCATATGTGATTCTCAGGTTACTTTTTCCCTAGTCGTGTTGGTGTTGTCCAAGGACACTTGGCGCAACGCTCCTACATTATGTTTCCCCGTTCGCGTGGCCTTGTGAAGAAAAAAATGCAAGCTTGTGTCACCACGTTCATCTCAGCCCCAGGTATGAGGGACATGGAGGCTTCAACGGTGCGTCTCACTCTCGGCCTAGGCTGTCCGAGATGCCGCCCTTGTGGGGAAGGTCTCGAGCGAAGAAGTATGGGCGAGGGCGTTGACGGTGGCTGATGATGAGCGCTGGGGCACTCTCGAGGCGGTATGCTTGAGACTCGGCGCCCGTTTGAGGAGATGAACACGAAAAAAAAAAAAAAAAAAAAAAAAGACTACGACTGGTAAACCATGAGGTTGCAATTGTTCGGCTATACTTGTCTTGGGTTCCGCTGAAGCTGCTGAGAGCTGTGTGGTAAATTGTCCACGAAATTTAACATGCCTCATTTACTTCGTCTTGGTCACCTATTGCGGCCAGAACCGGATATGCGAACCAACATCATAAAGAAAGGATCTGAATTAAAGAATGGGACAAGAAGGCGCTCCAGTGGCTTGCAGAGGCCGCTAAGACGTCGCTATTGGGCTGAGGCTCTTGAACCCTTCACGAACTGGGCATAGTCTATCGGGACAAATCTCTCGTGCATGCACCTCATCGGCTCCCGAGCCGAAGCACCCCGGAAAATCCCTTTAGAGCGCGCCCAGTGTCTTGCTGGATTTCCTTTTCAACGCGGCAGATCATTTGGCTGAGATGGCATTGCCAATAGCTATTGCCATTCAATACCGGCAATTGGGATTGAGCCCGAAAAGGATCGCCCAAGGGTTTTCTTTGCGACATGTTTTGCCGTGGCCAATGCAACGGCCCGAATGCTTGAGGGCCTTCGCCACGAAACGTAGCAAATAAAATGCCAGTCGAGTAGCCGTGGATCATGATGCCGTCAAGCAAACTTTACCAAGAATTATAGCTGAGGGAGTCCCGGGCTGACATGAAGAGGAGGCGAACTCCCCAAAAAGTCAATTCCCTATGGCATTCATCACTGCGTTACAAACATGCAAAGCTTGGTGCGACCTCACCCATTACGAAAGCCGCATTTGATGCTGTGCTAAGTTTACTCGCCTACTTCAACATTTTACTTGGAGGGCTCATACAGGCCGGCCGTTTCGCGAACTATCTGGAATTGATGTGTTACGGGGAAAGGAGGAGGGGACAACAACGGAACCCCCCGTGTTGGAGAGGGCGTAATCATGTGGGTACCCGGAGCGGGAGACCATCGAGGGGAGAGGGGGCAAGGGGAGCGGTCGAGGCGGCGGAGCGAGTCGAGAGTCACCTCTTGACAGCCCCGAGATTTACTGCTTGCTTTTCTGAGAGAAGTGGCGGCGAAGCGAAACGGAAAAGAAAAGGTGCCAGACAAGGAATGTGTGGCTCAAACTCTGTAGATTCTCTTGCAGTCTCTTTTCTTGGGTGCAGTCCTTGCACCACACCGCGGCCAGCTGTTCGTTACCTTTGGGCGCAGATCCCGGCTCCGTCTCTATCCACCGACCCTGAGATGGGGAAACGGCGGATGGAGTCAAGAAAGCAGTCAGCACAGGAAATTGTACACGTGTTATTGACAGGTGACTAGAAGGTTTCTCAGAGGTGCAAGGAACACCTTGAGAAGGATGGTGGAGGCAGGAATCTAACATGAGGTATGTTTTGCGTTGATCTTTGATCTGCTTGAGATCTAGGCTGAAAAGTGTATATATGAGTGTGTCGGTGCAGATGGCGGATTTTGGACAAGTCTTTGGACTGGAGATGATGCGTTCCTCACGTCTAGTTCGCCCCGCTTTCGCATTCTGTCAGAGTCAGGCACAAGGGACCATATGGCAAAGTCAAGTCACATCTTTACCATATCTGGCTGGAGACGGTGGCTTTTCAAAGATGCCGCAGGCAAGGCATCCTGTGCGGTGTCGTGCTGCCAAACAAGGCCATGGGCCCAAGGAAACTTTTAGGGTGGCAATAGCCGCACTGCCCTTGGTGGTTAGATGCGAAGCGGAAAGAAAGCTTTCAAGCATCAGTATCAAGCAAAGAGGTTGCTGATATGTGATGAACCAAGACCAGGGTGGTTGGATGGCGCGAGAAGATACATGTTGAGGTTCTCCCTGACCGCCGCGATATGCAACTGTGTATTCCGTAAAAAGGTACGGATACCACATGTGTACCCTCTGTCTGCAGCTGCGCCGCTTGTGATGTACTCCACAGAGAAGGTCCACTTGAGTGAGGGGGATCAGGAAATCAAGGCAAGGTCCGCGGTGGCCGCCGAGCTGCGGCCCGCCACGATTTTCATGACTTGCAGAGCATGTGAGTAAGTGAGGCAAGATGGTGGGAGTGAGATGAGATGAGAGGGAAAATAAAACAAGCTGGTGATGAAGATGAGACAGACATTACACGGATATTGTTCACTTTGCTGAAATCTTGAGTCAGTTAAAACCTACGATTATACGCGGGTGACGATGAAAAAAGCAGTACGTGTAGGTGCTGACTATAGGGAGACTTGAGTTCTTTTTGTGTTTCTCTTTTGTTTTCTCTCTTTTGTTACCCCAGTGGATTGTGAAGCATCCTCTCATGGTGTGCTGGTGAGGATATTGCCAAAGTCTATGGGTGCCTAGTGTATGTTGTACATGGTCATAGTACTAGTATACATGGTATCGTGTATAACCGGCCGGCAAAGCACCGGAACATTCCCGCCGATTTTGCCTCCCGGGACCCGTTGATAGTGGTCCGCCCCAGTACACCAACGGTGACCCTCCGCATATCTTGTCTCCAAGGGTTCTGTGGACTGGGGCTTCAGTGGAGGCCTGGAGGGGGAGAAAGGAACCTGATTGATGCCCTGTTTTTCCATTGTTTTTTTTTCCCTACTTTTTTTCCCGCCATTCCTGCTGTTGGTGACCCCCATCTCCCATCTCACCGTTCCGCTACGGCTACTGTTTGTTGTTCTTGGCTGCTGTTATTGCTGTGCTGTGCCGCCGGTGCTGCGGCGTAGTTAATTGCATGTGCATATTATACCATTCAATATAACCCCACCGTCGAGTTCGTATCTTACGAATGGTTGGCTAGTTGGATCTGTGTCTGTACCATGTAATCAATTATTTTCATTGTTTGCTTCCCCCCCTCCCCCATTTCTCTCAGTGCATTTCTCCCCCCTCGTAAAGGCCCGTCTTATGCCCCCCCCTCCCCACTTCCCACTTCCCTAAGCTGTACCCGGACCAACCCAAAAACAGGCTTCTAGGCTTTTAGTGATGTTGCGACCCAAGCACGCCAACCGCTGGTGCTACGGGTAGTTCTTCCCCCCCTCCTCAGTGTCCCTCCCCCTCAAGGGCAAATGCGAGTGTCCATCTTCGGAACCCTGTTGCTACTGTACCTTTGCCAAACAACTCAACCAACAACCAACGTCCAACAAACTCGACATCCCGTCTCGTCCCATCTCATTTCCTCCTTTTTTGTTGTCGTGTCTTCCCAACTTTCCAACTGTCAATTCGCTGAATCAACTCATCATCCACCAGCATCTTTGGATTCTTTTTTTTTTTGGGTTCCCCCCCAATCTCTGGTTTTTCTTTATTCACGGATGCGAAGGTTGACGGTAGCTTTCCATCGAGCTTAGCATCTTGCGCAACCACCGCCGCATTTACGTCACGCCGTCTGACTACCCGCCTGAAGATCCCAATTCTTCACTTCGCAACCCCCCAATCTCACCCTTTATTCGCCTTACTTCCTTGCCTGAGGTTTACTTGCCATTTCGGTCTTCGCGGGATCTACCGTTACGGCAAACTATATCGCCCGCCCACCCCGCGAACAAAGAAACCGCTTGCTATTTGCAGCCTTTCCCCGGGAAGCACGAGCCCTTTAGCCTCATCTTCCCGCCCGCATGGCCCGCGACTACACGTCACAATAGAGTTGTAGCGAACGACAGCCTGCGCGACATCTCCATACCTCATACACCATCAGCCCGTATCCCGTCCTCCCCGGTTCGACATGGCAACTTTCGCCTCCCAAGAGCCCGACGAGGGCTACTCCGAGGACCCCCTCAACCCCAGCTCGAGTGGCACCCACGATAGCTTGACCTCGTCCAGCAGCAATAACGCAAGGCCGCCCGCGCCTGGGGACATGACCGCCTGGCTGGCGAGGCATCTGCCCGGCCTTCCCGTGTCTGCAAAGACTGGTGAGTCTGATGCGACAACAAGGAATCAAGAGCAATTTGACATGTGCTGACTTGTCGCTTTCCACTAGAACTTGCCATGGCTCTCCTCGATAACTTGCCCACCTCCGCCGTTGTTCAAATCGTCAGGCGCCTTCACCCGCGACTCTACATCGATTTCATCCAGTATCTTCCCCCCGAGGTCTGTCTCAAGATCCTGGGCTACCTCGAGCCCGTTTCCCTCATCAACGTCGCAAAGTCCTGCCGTGCCTGGCACGACTTAGCCCTCGACAGGAAGCTGTGGGAGAAGTTGTACCACCTTGAGGGCTGGAAGGCCATCTACCCCGAGATTCAGTACTGGGAGGAAAAGGTCAACGAGCGCCTCAACACCTCCGCCAGCTCGCTACACAGAGTTCGATCCTCCGAAGACGGCCACACGTACAAGAAGCGCGCGATATCCGAAGATAACGACCTGGAGATGACGGACGTCGACCGTTCCCTAAAGACGGAGGATTCTATGACTTCCGTTACTGGCAATAGCATTTTCGGCAGCCCCGCGTCGTCATTCACCGGCTTCGGACGAAACTCGGCCACGCCGCAGCCTGGAGATGTAGACATGGACCGGTCTGCCCCAGGGTCTAAGAGTCGCAGCGGAGATAGGAGCGCCGGTTACGATGCCAAAGGCAAGGGCAAGGCCTCGCCGTTGCTCAGAGCTGCTCTCGTCAAGGAAGAATCACTACCGCCCATGGTTCCCGTCGATGTTCCCGGAGGTATCTCGCAGTCGACCCTCTGGTCTTGGGATGCCCCTAGTTCAAGGTACAAGCTCAACTGGAAGTACCTCTACACGATGCGCCGACGTCTTGAGAGGAACTGGGAGCTGGGCAGGTTCGCCAACTTCCAGCTGCCGCACCCCGACCACCCCGAGGAAGGCCACGGGGAGTGCATTTACAGCTTACAGTATGACTCAGACTACCTCGTCAGCGGAAGTCGAGACCGTACCATCCGCATTTGGAGCATGCACAGTCGCCGTCTAATGAGGAAGCCGCTCGAAGGACACTCTGGATCCGTCCTGTGTTTACAGTTTGACGCAGACCCCGAGGAAGATTTGATCGTATCCGGCAGCAGTGACTCGGACGTCATTCTCTGGCGCTTCTCGACGGGACAAATCATTCAGCGGCTCTCAAACGCTCACACTGAATCGGTGCTTAATGTCAAGTTTGACAAGCGCATCCTGGTGACTTGCTCAAAGGATAAGTCTATTAAGATCTTCAATCGTAGACCCCTCAAGTATGGTGATCCCGGTTACGGCGATGCTGAGATCATCTACTCCGCCCCGACCCACCTTCGTGATTATGGCTACATCAACCCGATGGACGAGCTGCCGGTCAAGCCTCCTTACACCATGATTGGCGTGCTCGATGGTCACGGTGCCGCCGTCAACGCCGTTCAGATCTGCGGGGACGAGGTCGTCTCGGCCAGCGGCGACCGCAATATCAAGGTTTGGGACTGGGCCAAGCAGATTTGCATCCGAACAGTCGTTGGCCATAGCAAGGGCATCGCCTGCGTGCAGTACGATGGCCGGAGGATTGTTAGTGGCAGCAGCGACAACGAGGTCAAAGTGTTTGATAGGTTCACTGGTCTTGAGGTGGCCAGCCTGCGGGCACACCAAAACCTTGTCAGGACCGTACAGGCTGGCTTTGGTGACCTTCCGTACAGTGCCGAGGAGGACAGGCTCGAAGCGAAGAGGATCGACAACGAATATTTCAAGGCCATCGAGAGCGGGCTCATCAGCCCCTACAGCGAGCAGGGCTCTCGCCGTAGCCGCCCTAGGAACGCCGGCAGTCGCAGACCTGAGGACATTACGGCATACGGCGCCAACTTGCCCCCCGGCGGCGGCGGCGGCAAGTACGCCCGAATCGTGTCGGGCTCGTACGATCAGACCATTATCATTTGGCGTCGCGATAAGGAGGGTGTGTGGAAAGACGCTCATCATCTGCGGCAGGAAGAGGCGGCGGCTGCGGCACAGAACCAAGCCCAGGCCGCAGCCAGAGCGGCCTCGCAGGCTGCTGCGCAGGCCATGTTATCGACCATGATTCCGTTGTCGGGCTCAAACACTGCATCGCCTAGAACAACGATCGAGGCCCCCATCATCGCCACGATTACTCCCGACTCTGCCAACGCCTTTATGGCACTCATCGACATCATCGTGCCCCAAGGCCCCACGCAGCTGAGGCAGGCCCTGGCAAGTTACCCAACTATGCTGGCGTACAACGCACACATCGTGGCTGCTATCGCCAGAGAGTCGAACCCGCGGACGAGAAGTGAGCTACGTGCTGTGCTCAGCGCTGCTCTCGTAGATACGCAAGCTACCCAGTCTCGCACTCGCCATGCGGCTACTCGTGAGTCGGCAGAGGCGATTGTCCCGCCCTCGTTGCCGTCCATGTCTGCATCTACCAGAAATCCGGGCTCATCATCATCACAAGACGCAGCCATGCCGTCTACCCGTCACACTGACGAGCTCAACCACGGAAGAGCCAGACGACACCACAACCCGGTCACCACTCCCGCAAACCTCGAACAAATGCGCACCCCTATACCTCAGCGAGCAGCAACCGCCAGTCCTGCGGTACAGGCAGGCCCACCGGCCGGTGCAGTGCAAGGGCATTTGCACATTCAAGGCCATCTCGAGGCTGACGATGAAGCTCGTGCTCCAGGGGAGGTTCAACAGGCTCAGCCTCCTCGCACGCAACCCGGAGCGCCTGTGCAGACGCAGGCGACGCCGGTGCCGGTGCAAGGCGGCCAGCATGCGGTGCCAGACGCGGCGCACCACCCGCACATTGCCAACGCGGACAACGGGCCGGCGCGGGTGTTCAAGCTACAGTACGACGCCCGCAGGATTATTTGTTGTAGCCAGACGAGTGTCATTGTCGGATGGGACTTTTGCAACAACGACCCTGAGCTGGAAGAGGTCGCACGGTTTTTCGCGACGGTGGAGTAGATGTTTGGAAGTAGCATCACTGGCATAGCGTAATTGTATCACGAAAGGAGCTTATCACCTGGATGGTTGTGATTGTAGAACACAAAGGCGTTTTATTAGCTGGGCATATATATATGTGTGTGTAAAACCTCAAAAAGTGCAATGCATGAAATTGTATGCGCCTTTCCAACGTGCCTGCCATTCGTCGATTCCCTCGCAAAAACCAAAAAAAAAAGCGCCGCACGATACGCCCTCAACTCCAGCAGTTTAATTCATGCATCACTACTCCGTCATGAACCCGTTGTGGCAAGCAATCTAACCAGCAGCCTCCTTGACCTTGGCGCCCTCCTTCAGAGGCTCGTCGTCGACAAACTCGGGAAGCTCCTCCTGCATGAAACTCGGCAATCCCGCACCCATCTCGGGCTCGAGCTCGGCCTCCATCCCCAGAGCCTCGAGCTCGGCGTCGAGCTCGGCCTCGTCGACGTCCTCGGGGATATCGTAGGACCGGGCGAGGCTCTCCTGGATGTCGTTGCCAATGTCCATGAGGTCGGCCATCTCGTCCTGCAGGCGCTCGATCTTGTCAATGTCGACCTTGCCGTACTGCTTCTTGAGCTCCTTGTTGGTCGTCTTGAGCGCGTCGACCGTCGCCATGGTGTTCTTGAGGTTGTCCTGCATCGTCTGCGCCTGCTCCATGTTCCACACCTGCGACTGCAGCTGGTCCCGCTGCGCCTCGTACATCTTGCGCCGCTGCAGGATCTTGAGCGCCTTTTGCTTGATGGCGTTCTTGCCGGGCCCGTCGCGCATCTTGGACAGCTTGGACTGGTAGGTCTGCAGCTCGGCCGTGAGCGACGAGAGCTTGACGTCGATTGAGGAGATGCGGTCGTCGACGTTTGTTATTGCGCTGTTCAGCGTCGGTTTTGGCCCTTTCGGGGCTGAGCCGAAGATGCGGTTCATTGTTTTTTTTTTGGGGGGGGGTGTTTTGGCCTGTGGTGGGTGGGTGTGATGGAAAGGACGGAGAGATGGAGGGAGATTTTGCGTGTTGTGAGAGCCCGAATATGAGTATGGAGTTTTTAGGTGAGTCTTTGTTGGGTGCCTGGATGACGTTGCGTAACTTGTGATGGAGCTCGGTCCTGGTGCTAATCGATAGGACCCCGCGGTTGCGGCGGTGGTTTAGGCGGGGAGAGTCCCGGACTAACTGTTAATCCATGACCCGGGTTTTCAAGCTCAGAGGCAGTTGATTCGGCATGCGCATTTGATACACAACCATGTCGGTCTTTCACCTGCAGTACTATCTTTACACCATAGAGCGTGCCTCAGAATGGGGAATGTAGCGTTTCTGTCCCTTGAGGCCATGGAACTAGCTTGTCTGCTGGGACCTGCTTGCGTAGCTTATACGGCATTAACGTAGAAGATCGCCAACTAGGGCATCGGGACTAATACTTTAATCGACTAATCACAAAGCAAACAACAAGGGTTAGGTTAAGAAAGGGGGGCTTTCTCTCTACCTTTCGAATGGAGACGGAGGGCATGGACGAGTAAATTTCCTAACGGAAGGTATAAGCGCCGTAAAATTCGGCCTCGGTCAACTAAGGAACTGTAGAGCTTTGTGTACGAAGCAAGTAACTACTAAATCTTAGGCAGAACTTCACCCAAGAGGCCTTCTACCGCAAGAGTAAACTATAACTATAGTGTTGTTGATAGAAAAATTAGGTACCGTTCTAAAAAGCAGCGCCTCTTTTCTCTCTTTTGGGTTACCAATAGCTTCTACTTCAGGTCTTGCTACCGTGTTTGTATCTGAGAAAAGACTATACCTCTTGCCTCTATTTCCCTACTTTGCCTGTTTCAAGTCACCCGGAGGCCTTTAGGGTAGAGGAATCTTACTGGTTGTTCATTTAGCCTGGACCTGGACATTTACGGTAGGTGTCACCCACCAGACATACTTAGAATGATACCAATTTGATTCGTGACATTATTGCTCTCAGAAACCTGGCAGGTTGGAACTCCATTCACAGCAGAATTCCACAAAATAAATGAAGCCTGTTCGGCAGTCCGGGTCTTTCGGGCTGCGGGCAAGAAGTTGTCCTCGACAGTATTTAAAGTAAAGCATCTCGCACACATTAAACTCTATCCAGAACCATACATTAACCAACCAACCTTAACTCACACTAACTCATCTTCCTCAACATGGGGTTTCTCATCTCATTGACGACTTACTTGAGTCTCTGCTCTGCAGCTGTTTCGGCAGCGCCTAGCGCCCAACTTGATAAACGGAGTTGTCGCGAAGTGACGAATTCTGCCGTATATACTACGAGGGCATGCCGCCAGTTACCTGACAGCCCTTGCAACCCCGGTCAGACAGCTGGCCGAACTCTTGGGTACACGCAAGACAATATCAGTAACACACAAGTGCGATGCACTATCCGAGTGCGTTTCTGAGCCCCCACCCCCCACACCGAATCTCAAATTGATCAGGCAGTTCTTTCCTAAGCATCGTAATGCTAACTGATTATTAGTATGGGTGTTGCACTCGGTAGTGTAATTTTGCGTAAGAGAATGATTGCGCCTCTCGACCTGGAATATACATGGTCTCAACAGCATCTCGAGCTAGGCCAACACCCTGAGTGCTTATCATCGCCTCTCTTCGCATAAGCACACGAGACTAAATGAAGGGGTGGAGGCAATAGGGCTTAGGATCAGAAGGCGGGTTAGATTGACTCCGATTGAGGATTGCTTTAGGATCATGATCCATCACCTGCAAATATAGGTAGTATTTAAGATATACTTCAGGCTTGTATACGAAAGTACGCGTCGGTGCTTCTTGCCAAGTTCTTCGAGCGATAGATAATTGGACAATACTGGAGTTAAATGCTAGCTCCGGTAACGCAAATATTCCCGTACGTCCCTACGCCTAGCCTGTCTTAGGAGCAGGTCGAACAACGTTCTAGTGTCATGACCATTAGGATAATTACATCTGTAGCCCGTGAGGCCTAAGCTATTTAGATAGCGAAACAGGTGTTGGGCCCGTGGCATTTCACAAACAGCAACAGGTAAGTGACCCAGTCTATGAGCAGGATACGCAGAGGACGAATTTCTCATTCGCAACCACAGGCCCAGGAACAAAGAAAATGGTATGGTTCGATAGCCGCCGGTATTGGCAGACTTAAACTGAGGATGCTATCCACAAGCTTCCCTCCGATTAGCAACTATTGGTAACAGCCAGACGGGCAGCCACTAGTGTGGCGAATAAAGCTGTGTGGGGGCAAAACCGGCACAGAACGCTCAGAATATGGTGATGTGTTGATGTGAAAGTGAAGAACTAGCTAGTTGGAAGCTGGCAAAGACGAGTGGTGGCAGCTGGCAACCCATGTGACGGGCCGGCCAGGCCTGCCCGTGGAAGACCTGCAAAAAAGGTCTTTTACTTTCTTCTTTTAAAAAAAGATCCTGTTGATCGGAGCCCCATCATAATTTAATCAAACATGAAATTAAACGGGCCTCTTGTTTGACTGATTGACATTCTGAATAGCCTTCCTTAGTTTGACTGTTGGATTCGATTCGTTGTTTGTTTGTCTAACTGTTGCGCTGCTTCGTATGCGACGCCGCCGGGCCGTTCTATATCGACCCTTTGCCTCTCAAGCTTTCTTCTTATAGGCAATGAACAGTGTTTACGCGTCCGTGCGGCTTTCTTCTATTTGGCGTGCGTACGCTCCGATGGATCGCTATTCAGTCATTGGAATTGCATCGGCGACTGACTGTCCGCCCGTCTCATCTTGTCAACTTGTTAATATCGATTCTTCCGCTCGTTGACCATCGGATACACATCATTTCTTATACTACGTAGACTAAGCTCCCGAGCTACGGATGCAACGAACTAGTGAGACCGGACCCCTGGTTGTTAGTCTTGACACCGACCCAAGCAACTTCGGATCTAATGCCAGTCGATGCCAAGTTTTCTCGCGTGTCGACATTCTGTTTCGGCTAGAACCGATAAGTCTAGATTGCCGTCGTTTTTCCCTTCTGGAATGAGTCTATTTAATTGTTCTGTAGAGGTATCCTGGTAAGCGGGCTGAACTCACCACCATGTCCCCTAATTTTATAAAATACGACGGGCTCAAGCCACGACCCAGAACCCCGATGCCGCCTCCTATCTTTTTTTCGTTTATTTAAAAGCCCCTTTTGACGCCTTTGCACAATGTCGGATACCCGGACAATTGGCACCGCGAACAAAAACCAGCAGCGCCGCGCGGCGCTCAGTCTCAGGGGTAATTGTGCGCGTGCCACGAGTCGCGTTACCTAATGCTTTCTCCCATCCCGGACATCGTGGCAGCGGTCCGGGTAATGAGCCGCCAAGATTTCCATGACTAAAAGGATAGCTTGACCGTTCCGCGTGTCCTTTTATGAGAGCGAGGCAGGGGGGAGGCTGTGTGAACGACTATCGTCGTATTTCGCATTTTAAACCTTTCCGCAAGTCCTTCTCCCCCCTCCCCTCCCAGCCAAACACATATATGTTTCCAGTGAAGCTGCCACATGTAGGACGTGAATGTACTTACGACGCAGACGGCAAACATTGAAGCCGCCGCACATGAGACGGTCGCCGCCGCCGATGGAAGAGGCCAAGTTGTGGACGGGTCGGGAGCGCCCTGCTCCCAGCCCGGCGTTTACGGATCCGGATGAGGACGAGGATGAAGGTCCCGTCGGCGCTGCTGGCGGCTCCGAAACGGAGGCTTGTCTTGGGGACGACGAGAGGAGGGGCACTGAGGCCGAGGGGGAACTGTTGCCCATCTATGTGTCGATGCACCGGTACATCTTTCCTTCGGACGGTTGAGTGAATGTGTGAATGTGTGCTGACGTGAGGCAGAGTGCGCCGGCTCATCATCGCGAGTATAGGTGAGAATCATGTCGGTATACGTATCTATGTGAACCGAGACTGACGGTGGTAGATGATCCATATACGCTTGATCAGTTGAGCGACCCACGGATGAATATCCTCATCGTGCGGCCTCTCGTTGACAGACTTTACAACCCAAAAGATATCACGATAGGTACGTTAAACCAACCCCCCCGGCAAACCCATGTCGATGGTGACTAACACGATGCAGTATACTGTTTGCTGGCTAACCGGCTTTACTTCCTCCGCCAGCAAGCCACCACAGTTCACCAGGCTGTGAACATTGCTCGGGCGACTCTCTGTGAGCTGGTCGCCACCCGTGTGCTCCGGCGCTTCCATGAGGACCAGCCGGGATCTCAGGGGCTACTCTTCCTCTCTCACCTCCTCGTCGGCGGTTTCGACCCCTTCGAGGGCGCTCCGCAGGCTGTCGAATTCCAAGGCCGCCGGCAATGGGCCGTCCAGGAGCGCGGCGGGCTGGAGCGGAAGCTCACGGCGCTCGAACTCGCCATCTTGTCTGAGAGCAAGAACTTTATCAGCTCGGCGGGCTGTCAGCGCGTCGTCAACGCCGTCTATGAAGGTCGCGTCATCTACACGCCGCTCTCCTTCGTCGATATCCTCCCGGACCACTACAAGTACCACCCCATATCAATTTATGACCCGCGCAAGGCGCCGATTCTCAACCACTACCGCCTCATCGTCCCGCGCTCGCGCAACTTTATCGAGTTTATCCACTTCCTAATCCTTATGATCCTCTATTTCCTCGCCATGTTGTACCGGCGGAGCAGCAACGAGGTATTCGAGTTCCTGTTCTGCATCTACGCCGCCGGCTGGGTGCTGGACGAATTCGCCGCCATCATAGAGCACGGCTGGGAGGTGCACGCGCAGAACCTCTGGTCCTGGCTTGACGTAACCTTCTCCGTCATCTACGGCGCCTACGTAGTCGCGCGCATCTACGATGTCGCGACGGGCCACTTCCCTGACGGCCACGGTCTGCACATCCTGCCGCTTGCGGCGCCCATCCTGCTGACACGCATCGCCTTCAACATCGCTCCGGACAACATCGTGCTCATCTCCCTGCACGCCATGATGAAGGATTTCCTGCTGTTGTCGTTCCTCGCGTGCTGGTGCTTCATGGGCTTCCTGCTGGCGCTGCAGTGGCTCATCGACTCCAACGACAACTTCAACGAGACGCCGAGCTGGTTCACCATCTGCAAGTGGATGCTCTGGATCTGGTTCGGTCTCGACGGCACGGGCATCGAGGAGTCGGTGCAGTTCCACATCGTCCTCGGCCCCGCGCTCATGATCGGCTTCGCCTTCCTCGGCAACACCCTGTTCCTCACCATCCTCGTCGCCATGCTCACCAACACCTTCTCCAAGATCATCGCCGACGAGACCGCCGAGGTCCAGTTCCGCCGCGCCGTGCTGACCTTCGAGGGCGTAAAGTCCGACGCCATCTTCGCGTACCCGCCGCCCTTCAACATCTTCGCCCTGGCCACGCTGCTCCCGCTGCGCTTTCTCGTGTCGCAAAAGACCTTTCACACCGTCAACGTCGCCCTCATCCGCGCCCTGAACCTGCCGACGCTGCTGCTCATCAGCCTATACGAGCGCCGCCAGTTCTCGCGGAGGTCGCGGAACAAGACGCGCAACGGCCTGCTTGGCTGGCGCCAGTTCTCGGGCTTCTCGCCCCACGGCGACATCCAGGCTGTTTTTGAGTCTCGGCCGCCGCCGGATGTCGCGGATATCATCGAGCAGCTGGATAAGCTCGACGGAGGCGCGGCGGATGAGGTCGTGCCGAGGTTGAGCGTGGATTTGGGACGGCCTATTCGGTGGAGGTCACGATTAAGGAATGGAGTTTTGGAGCATGATGATTAGAATAGAATCAATAGACGGGAGGCTTTTTCGTTTTGGGGGGTTCTTTTTTGGTCATTTTTGAGTTTGACGCCTCGGAGGGGCTGTTTTATTAGATTACTGTAATACTACGTATTATTGCCTCCGCCACGTATAACACAGACCTCGTAACCGCTTTCATATTCTTCGTCATCAGATCCGGGGACGTATTTAAAGCTTCCAGACCTGCAGGTTGCGGTACCGCGCAACTAGAGGCTGCATCTGTCTGAATCCAATCCTTCCGTCGCGAATGACGGGTCCCGTGGACTTGTCGTCGTTGAACTCGAAGATGGGGAGGTCGTTGATGAGGAACTTGACCTCGCGCTTGTCCTTGATGACCTCGATCTTGTAGAAGGCGCCCGCGGCATCAGCCACGGGGGGCAAGGGGTCGGCGCCCTGGGAGACGAGGTGGAAGCCGGGCGACTTGCGCAGGTTCGCCAGGTGGAAAGCCCTCTCCTCGGGCCAGCGGCGGCGGAAGTACGACGCGTGCAGCGTGCGGATGTCGCCGGAGTGGTACTGCGGGTAGCTGCCGTTACGGGGCGCCAGGCTGGGGTCGAAGATGCTGCCCTTGCCGTCGTCGGCGGCGGACGCGGCGCCGAAGAAGAACATGGCCAGGCCGGGCTCGTTGCGCGGCGAGAACTCCCATGTGATGCGGATCCCGTCGGGGAACACCTCCGGCACCCAGTACACGAAGTAGTCGGCCAGGTCGCCGCCGCCCGAGAGCTCGAGCGTGCCGTCTACTGCCTTCACGTTGAGCGGACCCTCGGCAACCCAGGTCGCGACGTCCGCCGTCGAGTTCAGGGGGTTGCTGTACAGGAGCTTTTCGGCCATGGTGCTGGCGAGAAGGGTGACGAGCAGGAGGACGGAACGCATCTTTGCAGAGGATGTGCCTGGGGGTGTTTTTGAAACGAGGTGGCAGGTCTTTGTGGGTTTGTCGTCGTCGTCGTCGTCTTCGGCCTGGTGCGTGGGTTTTGCCAGTGGAATTGATGGAGCAATTAGAGGTTACATTCTTTTGAGAAGTGGCAGTGGATGTTGGTCAATCTTTTATCATTCGGTCGTTGTCCCCCTCACTTTTCCCGCCTCTCGCCTTTGGTTCTCCATCTTTGTTCGCCTCCGCAGTTAATATCCGTAGAAGCGCGCCGGTAAACTTTCAATTGTCTTGGACGGTGTGATGCTGCACCGAGATGGACCGAGTCCGGGGGTCCCACGGGAGTGGAGATGGAGCGAGGTTGACATGTGAGCGAGCTAGACTGAGATGGGAAGCTGATGCAACGTTCTTAATGTTGCCATTGCAAACGCCAAAGGTGTGATTAATTTAAGAAACCCTGACGTGCTGGGAACCCAGGGACGAGGAACTCCCGCGATCACTTGTTGCATTGGAAAATGCTTGTTTTGTTCGCTTCCTCTGCCCTGTATCACGCGATTTTAGTCTCTTGTAAGTGGTGTTTAGTCCAAGATACTTCATCGCCAGCTTTTCGCGCATCATTGCCCTTGTTGCCAGGGTTCGGGTTAGGCTACTTACCGAACTTCCACCAATTGAAGAGTGGAGATGTAATGTTGCATCCGAAGTTGAGCTTATGCATGAATCTGTAAGGACGGATATAATGGTAAGGTTGGAGGCTAGTGTAAGCCATTTTGGAGATATCCTAATGGACGCAAAGACTGAGATTGAACACTCGGCAATAACGGAGTGTTCCGCTCGTTCGGGTCCGGGGCCCACCCGGCGTGCCATCTGGTGTGTCGGAAGGAGTAGCCCGGAACAGGCTTTCGGTCTTAAAGCTCATTCGAACCTTAATATAGAGCCGTGATCTAAGAGCCTATGTATTAACGTAAGACGTTTGATGGCAATAAATTCACTAGTTGAGGAACGAGTTGGATTTATTTGTTTCATTGAGAAAGTAGTTGACCTTGGTACAGGTCTTGGTGATATCTACGAATAACTATATGCAAGAATTACCTGTCTTCATCATTACCATACGTAAGAGTCAATAATCTTCTCGACATCGCTCTCGGCATCATCATCCTCCTTACTCGAATTTATACCCATTCGAGACCCAGTATACCTTTCTGCAGGCCAACCCTGCATCGTCCACTTGGCCTCAACCACGTCTCCTCCCATGATAAGAGTGTGCTCCAAGAGACAACTATCATTCTTCATCATCGCACCGCTCAGCAGCCGGCTGCCTGTCCGTAAGACGCACCCATCACCAATCTCAAGTCTGTTCAGGTCGAATTTACCGCGGGTGTTGATATGCGCCACTACACTGGCATCGTCCACCACGACGCGGTTGCCCAGGGTAATCAGGTCCGGCTCGGTAAACATCAGGCTCGGCTCGCCGTTTGCAAATAGCGCGCAGTCCTTCCCAATTTTGGCACCCAGCGCCCGGAAGTAGAGCACAAGCCAATGGGTGCCCGTAAGCATGCCGAGGATACCGTGCCCGCGGTAGCAATGCCTCCTGAGTCTCTCAATGGAGAGGAAGAGTTGCCAGCGTTGACAATAAGAAGACTTGTCCCAGTCGTAGTTTCCGGGTTGGCGTCGCCCGAGTAGCAGCCATTTTGAGCCGATGACCACTGCCAGGGCAAAGATCGCGTGCGCTGTCATGAGGACGGATATAAAAACAAACGAGAGCACATAGAGGAGAATGACGGCGTACCAGTCGCTCTTCTCCTTGGCGTGGAATAAGTCGTACACCCTGTTGATGAGCTGGATGGCGGAGATGGTGGGTACGTTCCAGAAAAATGTGGTAAAGACTGTGATAAACATTGAGTAGCAAAAGATTGTGCCAGGGCCGAGGACGCGGTAAGATGCTTGATTTAGATAGAAGGCTCTTCCAAATGGCGAGGCATCTGTCGGGGACATATCGGTGCTCTTAACCTCCGGGCTGATAGCTTTAGTCTCCTGGTAGCTGATACTCGGAATAGGTTTCTGGGCCAAAGCAGCACTGTCCGCCAATCCTTTCTCGCTGGGGAAGAAGCGGCTTGCTCGATTCTCTCGTTTGAAGCTTTCTCGTCCTGTTGTCAAGCAGACCGCATCACCGCCCTTGGAGCCCACAAACGTTCCTCCTTTTGCATACAGTTTGCCTCGTCGAGTCAACGCACCAGACCCCATGGTGGCGCGTTCGCCAACTTCAACACCCGGGAGGAGACAGACACGATCCGCAATCATGGCACGGTCCTTGATCGTGATTCTCTCCGATCCAATGCTGTCGGAAGTAACCAAATGGGATCGCGACCCGAAGACGACATCATTGCCTACGTCAAGCAGGTGGTAATCCCCAATGACGGGACCAGTACCCGGCCAGTAGACACGCTTGCCAACTTTTCCACCCATCATACGTATAGCCACTGACGTGGCTTCGTAGTGTGAGCCAAAGAGACCCGTGATATCATGAAGACGGGCACCAGGGAGAAGTCTCCTCATAAGCGCTGCCCTCCATGTCTCAATGCTGCCGCGCCCCTTGTTGGCTCCAGGCTTCAACGGCCCGAACATGGCGTCCAACAAAAGCTTGACAAGGACTGCGAAGCCAAAGACGAAGAATGGACTTAACATGGATCGAAGCACCAAAGCAAGATAGTGGTAGCCCACTCGATGGCTGTGAGTGAACCATTCCAGAATGTCTCTCATAGGAGACTTGCTGGTCAGGGGCTGGTTGAGAACCATGCCGATGAGGCCACCGATCCAGGGAACTAACGACAATACCCATCCGATAATCAAGAGCGGTATGGTTCCCAAAATTGTTAGGAGCCAGTGGGGGTTCGGCGCTTTGGTCGGCAGGATATCTCTATTCGATTCGTCCGCGTCATGTAGCTCCCAGCTGGACGAGTTGGGACCGATGCAAGTGTTGGGCGGGATGCTAGAGCCAGGAGCAATGATGGACGCAAAGCCCACCGAGGCATTTTCGCCGATGACTATGCGGCCAAGATACATCGAGGTGTTCCCCTCGACCGCGAAGGGCCGGCAAGTACACTTGGCAAGGACCGCGCCGTCGCGAATATCTAGGAGATCCCATTCTCCAAAGGACACTCCAGAAAGCTTCACGTTCTTCCCTACTTTGGCTCCCAACATGCGGAGATAGAGACACATCGTGTAGTCGGACATGCCGAACACGCCCTCCCCACAAAGACTCACGATCTTCTGCGCGAGCCACCAACGGGTATGATAGAGACCCCACATTGGATAGATACCTTCTCGATAGCGTCCAATAATTGCCCACTTGGCGATGACGGCGGCAAACGGCATAACCATTCTCATCACTAGCTGCGCAAAAACGATAGAGGCTGTGAGATTGAGAAGACGTCCTGGGACCGACTCGTTTGTAGGCCAATACTGGGTTTGGGAAAGGGTCACGAGAAATATGGTCCACTGAAGCGCCCTACGCATGGGGTAGAACACGACAAGAGGAAGCAGCTGGAGCGCCATGAGCCAGGGGTTTGTCGAGCTCCTCTGGACAGTGTTAATCAAATGGTCATCATTGGACTTTCCATCCTCGTCGTAGAATATGGAAGCCTTAGTTTTCTCGATATGTGCTGCTATCGCGGTAACTGTTCCGCTGTTGAAGATGAGACTGATGGGAATGCTTGTGTTGAGTTCTGAACGGAGTGCCGACATGAGTTTTCCGGCGCTGAGAGAGTCTCCTCCGAGACTGAAGAAGTCGGCATCTGGCCGTATATCGGATAGGCTGCAACATAGGATATCTGCGAAAATTTTGGTTACTTTCCCCTCGGTGCTGTTTGATAGCTGTTGAATCTTGTCTTTGACGAGTTCGTCCAAGTCCTCTTGAAGCTTTGCCTCGTCAACCTTTCCAGCTTCAGACATTGGAAGAGGTAGCTTCATTGCATGAAACCTGGTCGGGATCATGTAGTTGTGAATTTGTGTCGACATCTCCTGTCTGACGTGTTCCAAGAATTCAGAGCTCAACGGTTCTGTACCGTCAGCGGTCGGCGCAAAGAAAGCTTCTGCCGTTCCGGCTTTCAAATCGAAGCGGAGATAGAACTGGAAGCCTGAGGGTGTGGTAGAAGCGAAAGAACTAGCCAAGGCGTCGGGATTGATGATGCAAGGTTGAGATGGAATTGACACGTCGAGGGGGGTATCTGGGGGTGGGCACTCTGCTTCCCAATGTCTTCGAAGGTATGGGGTATCGTCTGTGAGTTCGGGAATCATGAGTCTATCCGCTAACTTGATGCGTAAGATCTTGTTGTTTTTCTTTGGTAGATCCTCCATGTAAGTGACACACACGGGCCATTTGGCTTGCTGTAATGACTGTTTAAGGGCGCTCTGGATGGCTTTCAAATCGACTCTTGGCTTATCTGCTGCAGGGACAATGGCAACTGCGACAACCTCCTGGAGGACGTCATGGCCGACGGAAAACGCCAGTACTTGCGTGATGCGACCAGAAATAGGCGTATAAGGTGCCATAGAGGCTGCCATAATTGCGTTCTCGACTTCAAATGGAGAAATGAGTTCACCGCCTCTGTTAATGACTTCCTTACTTCTACCTGTGATGAAAAGATATCCGTCTTTGTCAAGGTATCCGAGGTCTCCAGTGTCAAACCAGCCGTCTTTGTTGAATGGGGATTTGTCAAATGATCCGTCCGGTTTTAGATAGCCGGCAAATACGGGCTCTCCTCGGACGCATATTCTTCCTACTTCGCCGGGAGGTGAAAGTACATCAGAATAGTCGAGAATAGCCAAGTCTGGGCCCGTGCTGATTCCCGACGTTCCTGGGCGATCCAGTTTGTAGTCCATTGGAGGCGTAGATATCGGCATGCATCTGATTTTCGTCAGCTCTAGACTATACAAACCGACGTAGATGTGCTTACTCTGTCATTCCATAGCTCGGCAAAACGATGCAGTTGAATGTGTCCCTGAGCTGACAAGCAAGCGATGGCAGCAAGCCCCCCGCTGCATTACACGCCAAACGTATCTTGCTCTTTGCCAAAGCGGTGGGTCTTGATTCTGCCTCTGCCAAGATGACAGAGTGCATTGACGGAGACGCATAATACCAAGTTGGCTGAATCTCCTCATTCATATCCCAGAAGAGACTGGGGTCAAACGCTGGGCAGCAAATCGTAGAGCCACCGGAGAATATAGGTGCGAAGATATTCCTCACCAACCCGCCACTGTTGCTTATTAGATGGGTGCTAATAGGTTTCTGAGAATGCACTTACACGTGGAACAAGGGCATCATGTTTAGACAGACGTCGTCAGACGTCAGACCCCATGAATCAACCACAAAGGCAATACCTGCAATCATGGAGTGTGTCGTCAATGGTACTACTTTTTTTGTACCAGAAGTGCCACTGGTAAACAGAATCAGTGCGACCTCGTCGGCTGTGTTGGGTCTCGGGGTATCGGCAACTGGCAACGAGAGTCCTAACGGCGTCTGTAGCGTAATGCCATCGTGTTGGTCCCATTCTGCAAATACAATCTGAATGCCAGCACCTGCGACCCAGCTTCGGTCCAATTCCAACTTCCTATGATCCTCAGCTGTCGTGATAATACATCGTGCTCCAGCTTGGAGAACGTCTGCTTGAAACTGATCGGGGCCAACTGCTGCATTGATCGGCGCGGCAGTATAATATGTCGTTACTGCAAGAACTGTCGCAGCCAGAAGCGGTCCGTTTGGGAGTGCAATAGAAACAATGGGCTTCCGCTTGCCATGTTCAAGAGGAAGCCGAAAGGTCTCGACAAAGTTACGTAGCCCGCGGTGGGTGATGAAGCTATTGGTCTTGGTTGAACGCAAGGCAGGGCTCTGATCTTGACGGATAAACTGTCCGAATGAATAATATGACTCCTTCACCAAAGTCCTTGTCTTCTCAATGAGCCATGCTGAATCCTCATCTGGGTTGGTTTTTGTCGTCTCGGGGAGGCATCTTGACAATCTGGTGTGGCAGTCGATGAGGGCCAAAGGTGGCCAAGGACCAGATATCTCAGTCAACAGGAGATAGAGAAGATAGAGCGGTCTCGTATTAGGCTCATTTGCTGGAGGAACTGAACGAAGAATTTCGGTACGATCAAGTGCTGGGTTCTGCATAGACAAGAACCGTTCGTCTGTCTGTATAAGGTCCGGGGAGAGCTGATATAGAGACTCAAAAACATCCCGCAAGTTATCTTTCTCCAGGTGAGCCATTGTGAAGTCACACTCTCACTGTAAATTCAAGAAGCCAAGACCGGTCTTCTTTTCGCATACTAAAAGAACGGAAACCTCGTAGAACTAGATTCGAAATCGTTGAAGAGGCGCTGATAGGCTTGCAAAGACCGAGTTTTCAGAGTGACACAATATGTAAAATGAGTGTGAATACTCCCGAGGAGTCGATAAGGAACGTGAAGATGGCTCAAAGAGCGCACCGTTGAAGAAGCCGCCACGACGAAGGTGAAGGAGCGAAGAGGACGTGAAGATCCAAGATCGCGACAAGGAGCATCATCTCCCTGCATCACTCAGGCGACAAACATAATGCGGAATGGCCCCATATGAGCGCCCTGCATCTGCCGTCCACCCTTCAGGCCTGGAACAGCCCATAGTGTCGCCATCGCGCTCACTAGAGGTAAGTGCAAATTCAGCAAGTGTCTCTTCCCTATTTACAATCTCGCCCAAGATCACAATAGGCTAGGGATAAGCTTGACTCGGGTAAAGCTACGCCACGACCCTGTTGGTCCTGACCCTTGGGACGAACTATTGTTGACGATAGAAGATTTAGCTGCATCGGGTGAGCTTAGCGTGAGTGTCTTGTATGTTAAGGGATGTACGCGCCGGCTGGAGATGAGTGTCTCCTGTTGGTTGCCATGTGGCTTGATAGCTGAGAATGTCAAGCTAGAGCGAATTAGAAATTTAGGTCGGCATCAGCCGGTGAGCTAGGAAAAGTACAGCTAGCCTGATTCTGGACACATCGCTTTTCCAGTTTCTCTTTCCCCCTTTTCCCCACGCCAAGGCTTTGTCAGTTTCTCGAATGGAAGCCTACTAATGAAATTCTGCTGAGAGTGAGAGGAATCCTGTCCTTGCAGCCAACATACAGCCTGATCGGTGCTATACGATTTGATCATTCAGTCAACATTCTATTCATTTTCACGTTGGGATAGCTTTCATTAAAGTGTCTGTGCTTTCTGAAGATCGACAGATATCACAGACCACATCAATTTGGTTGAGGGGAAAAAGCAAGAACTTTGGCTCACGCGGGACATGATCTGTAGTGGTACAGCAAATCGTAATGATATAGCAAATACTGCGATGAATAGCCCTTGCATCTAAACATTCCTTCTGATATTTATTGCTCATTAACATTAATCGAAAAGTTGCTTAAGGGTTGTTGATCGCCCGTATCCCTTATCCAACTTCACAAGTCATGTGGTCATTGCCGGTGCCTAGCCTACAGCAGACCTCAAAATTGTTGCTCTATCGCCCCTATGCTGCTCGTACTAGCCTTTGTCAATTAGGGTTGCTCTTCAAGAAACTATTCAGTTCACGGCATGTCAAACACGCCCCCCTTTGATCACTAATTGTTCCCATGTTTGCGGTATCCAATCGGTAGTGATTGCAGATTATTTGGGATGTTAGGTGGAGAAGAATCTGGTATCGTACTGGGATGTTACTAGGGAAAACGGACGAACTCGCCTCGTCTACCCCTTAACATGATTCAAGGACGAGCATCTACTCACCCGCATATGCCGGACCTGGCCAAACTTTATTACAGTCTCAGACAGATTAGAAACCGTATCCCACCGCTAGATAGTGCAGTTAACCTGAGAGCTTCAACATTCGGTTCTGCTTTTGATTGGATAGTAATGACGTTCCTAGAAGTCCGCCGTACTAAGCTGGCTACTGCTTTCGCAATTCCACATCAACCATGATCCTAAATGAATTTTGGTAGTACTGCCCCAGTAATTGTCACAGTTGTCAGCAACCTGCATTCGGTTTCAACGAATGAGGGAGTCGCGGACGACAAGGCAATTTTCTGATTACAGCCGACGGGATACCGAAAATCGGCATGTTATAAAGTCGGACATACTCTACTGGTAGTTAAGCCGAATCGTTACTTCTCTTCATCCGTTGCCTGACGCCCTTTCATCACTTTCATTCGTTGTTCCGTTCGATTCGTACAATCTTTCTATTTGATTTACTGTGTCATTCGCTGGGATTATGTCCAAAATCACAATGCCTCTCTTTTCTACCGTTTACCTCATTTTTGCGATGGCTGGTGCCATCGATGCGAAAAAGTGTAACATCCAATTCGACGGCAGAGTGCCTACCGCTTTCACTCCTGCCGACTTCGATACTTCAGCTAGTCCCTTCAATAACGGTTTTGTCTTTGGAAAAGGCCTAAAGGCTAGCGATGTTGTTACGATTCCGAACCTTCCGCCCTCATTGGTGAGAACCTCTCACCCTTTCTAACGAAGCTCTCCGCTTACTCTAGCCAGTTTGATGGCACTGCCGGCAAGCCGTTTCAAGTGAACATTGACGATAGGTCCATCTTCGCTCCGACTGAAACCAATGTGCAAACCGGATTTCGTCGGGCCGAAATGCTGCCTATGAGCAACAATGGTACCGATCCTTCAACTTCAGGTATCAAAACCGTACATTGGAGTATGATGAAAGACCCAAAGAAGCCCTTCAATCTGACACATGAGTATCAAATGGTCTTTCTGGAAAGCTCCATCTTCAGCTCGAACCAGTTTGCTTTGAAGTACGGTGATCTTATTGGAATTCATCCTAAGGACTCGGATGTTTTGCATCTCTTTGGCAACTCGAACACTCAACCCTCGCCGGAGTTGTTCACAACAAAGTTTACCGAGGGAGTTTTCCACAACTTTGCGCTAACTTTAGACTTTACCAAAAAGTATTTACATGAAAGCTCATCATTTAAGAACTTTGCTAATACTTGTCTGGCAGTCTCACCCAAGTATACTACTCCCAAGGTTCCGACCCGCTCGTTCCCCAAGGCAAGCCACAAGTGAATGATATTCAGGGTCAAGGCCAGTTCCATTTTGGAGTGCTGAAAAAGTCAATCAATGGAACTGGTGACCTAACAAAGTCTGGATTTCACGAGTCTGGCATCAATGAGGGACTTATCTTTGGAGGTATTTTCCAGGAGGACAGCGCTGATGGATGTGTGACCTTGTCTCCTTGACTTTCATGATTACTTCATCAGATACCACCACTTCCAGACGTGGTAAGTTGCCATGTGCTAGCCTAGCTAACACTATTGGTCTTCAAACCTCACAGGAAATCCTGTTGATCATACAGCGAACCAGACGAGTACTATCTATCTCTCAAATTTGACAAAAAGAATTATCTCTGCAGGCTAGAATACTATTACAAGTCAACCATAGCAAAGGCAGGTGATTTATCACGTCAGATGGCAAACTCAAGCGTCTTCCCTGGTCAAGGTAAGCATTATATCTTCCACTTCAACTCCTCCAACACCTCCCGTGCAGCTCTCTGTCCTGCGAACACTGCTCCTTCCATGTACCCAAAGTGCTTAGTGGAAGTTTCCGTGCCCGCCCAGTGAATGGCTCCAATAGGCTTCCTCATCCACTCCCCCAACGAGGTCCACATTCTTGGGGCTGGCGTCGCAAATGGACAACCAGAAGCCCATTCCTCTTCCGCCATCGAGTGGTAGAAGAACTCTTCAGGGTCCAGAGCTTCTTGTCCAAAGACGGAAGCAAAGCCTGCAAGGGCGACATGTCGGCGTTGGTCATTGCTTAAGCTGGTAAACTCTCTTGCTTTGGTGCCAGTGATAAAACCCATGAGCTTAGGGGTGCATCCCGGATCCGGAGTGGCATCAAATGTAACGTTTAGGAAACCCGTTGGGTTAGTGCTCTCTCCCGTCAAGCCCTTTTCCCTCCAAAACGGCGTCTTGTAGGTCGCGAAAACCTTTAGGTATGCCCCCATCGGCATATTTTGAAGTAAAGTGATTTTTTCAACCGGTAGCCTTGGCTCGAAATCAATCTTGAGAACGAGCGGAGGCGGTACAGCCGAGATGATTCTTCGTGCCCGGTACGTCGCCTTCGAGGTTTGAATGGTCGCCACGCTTTCTGTGTAAGATACGGCTCGGACAGGCTCCCCAAGCCGAATCAAATCATGCCCAATATAGCTTCTCAACTTCTCGGCGATAAGCTGTCCGCCTCCTTTGACAAGGTGTTGCTGCGCCCCGCCGTCCGAACTGAGTGCCGAACTGAAGCTAACTGCCCCCTTCCAAAAGAACATGGCGTGGAGCATCGATATGCAGGACGTGTTTTGCCCAATAACCCCCTCAAATGCTAGGCTCCCCATGTCGATTGTGGCCTGTGTCCAAGCCTGCTTCTTCAGCCATTCATGCACCGTTATCCTGTCAAGCTCGTCCGCGTTCGGGGTCTTCCATGGCTCCTCAAGGTTGACTGTGTCGCAAAGTTTCTCAAAATTCCGGACAAAAAGGCCCATGTCGAGGACTTCCCATGGTCGCAGCGGGGGGATGAGACCGCTGTATCTGTGAGCCTTGCCTCGATATGCCAGGACGATCTTGCCATCCGCCGGGGGTGAGAAAAGGGTCACATCGAACTCCTTTGCGAAACCATACATTAGGTCTTGCTGGTCGCCGAGAAAAGAGGCTCCAACATCCCAGTAATCCCCTTCTTTCTCAAGACGAATAGTCTTCGCTCGTCCGCCAACGCGGTCGCGTGCTTCGAGGACAAGTACCTTTTTGTCCGATTCTTTGAGAAGTCGTGCGGCGGCTAGCCCGGAATATCCCGCGCCGATAACAATGCAATCATATGTCGTGTCATTTTCTGCAGAGTCGCCCATTTTGTTCATTCCAGTAAGAAACGATGTTTGGATTAATCGTTTGATTGAATGATGAGCGCACTAGGTGAGGCCTCGCAAGTGCAGTGGACGGAGCAGATCAGATAAAGTCCAAGTCAGAACTGGCGTGCTAATTAATGTGTTGCCGTGCTGTCAGCACTGGAATAAGCCGCAGAATCCTCTTCATCCAGGTTGGCTGACAGGAATGTGTTTAGTGCTGATGGGAAATTGGCTGACAAGTTAGCCACGGCTTGACCACGGCCAATCAAGGACGCCTCGCAATCAATCAACTTTCAGGCCTTGCCCAGACCGGAAGATTAATTTGCTCTGGCGTTTTGGTGTATATGCTGCTAGGGTCCTTTTCAAGCCTCACAATAATTTACTCGGATGTGGCAGTCATTTCTCAGGCTAAGTCCTTTTATGCGTTGCCTCTTTGAAAAGGACGAAATTTTGGTTGCGAGCGCTAAGGTTACTGTCAGTGTTGGCAGCACGCTTTCATCTCAGTAGCGGGGTCATTAGACGTATTTGAGGAAGGTGTAGGGCGATCTTTTGGCATTATTTAAAAAGACTGTGTAAGTAGAACTCATTGGAAGATCAGTACTCTTATATATCGATGAGATGGGCCAATCTCGAGGCTTTTTACACACTTTGATTGCTCACTATTAGGGACGCCTGGTTCACCACGCAGGATTGGAATATCCGCCCGTTGCCATCTTTATTTACAGAAAACATTGAGGTTATCGAAACGTTGTTAAAAGTTTCTTATTACGCCGCGGCATAGGCTGTATGCTACCATGTGTAAAGTGTTGTATAGACTTGATGCACATAAAGCTATTCCAGTGAATAGCAGGTGCACAACAACTTCAGGATGATACCTTAGATGATTGAGTAAAACTAAGGAAACATAACCTCGTACAGTTAAAATGATTAAGTAGAAAAATCAAACAAGGTCTCTTGCTTAACGGCAAGAGACTAGCAAAAAGTCTCAACTACCATGCAAAGTAAACCCCTGTAGCAGAGGAACAATCCAGTTTTTAAGATAATCGGCGTCGAGAGCCCGTTCGTAAACATGTCACTTATCGGTTGTTACCCAAAGAACTTCTTCAAACGATGTGAAATCTATCCAAATTTATTCTCAACGTGCCATTGAACTGTAATTCTATCTTCCAAATGCATAATAAGTTATTGTATACTCAGTAGCCTGCTTCCCAAGAGCCATAAGTGCCACTACAGTGAGAGTAGGCTTTCCATGGCAAGGCCAGAGAAGCAAGACCTGATCACAGACTACGGTTCTTTCAACAGGATTCTGCCTCCAGACATGGCAAATGTTACGATTGCCGGATGATCTTGTTTTAACAGGAAACATTCGCTTCGCAGGATCTTTATAACGCAGATAACACTTGGCATTGGTTCCAATCATCCGAGAAAGTTCAACATCTACTATGAAGTGTCCTCAGTCATTATAGCTAGGCCACAGTACCTAACATGAGGTGCCATACCAAGTTTGGATTGGATGTTGCAAAGTCTTCTTTGGACTTAGTTTTCCTGTCCCAGAGCTTTGAATAATGACGGTTCTCCTTGTGGTTCGTAATGTATACTAGTCTTATCAGGGTCGATGGGATAACATTCGCAACCAGCATACTACTGAATCCGGGTTCAATCTCAACGGCATTTCTCAGTTGCCTTTGCGTTTGAAACTATCTTATTTAAAGTACCCGCGCCAATCCTTAACAGCCATATGACGAAGTCGCATGCCTGGCTACCAATATGTATGCGGATTGAAGAATGCCCACCACAAAACTTAGTGTTGATGCCGATGCCGATGCCATGCTGCGTTAGCCAGGTAGAACTTCTAAATTGAGTGCTGTCAAGCGGCTTCGGTTCCAGGAGCTTGCTTCACTCGCCCAAACGTTGCGGTGAAGTGTCAGCCCACAGGAGACGTCAAGCTCCGTCCATCTGGATGGCTTTACCAGCTTCAAATCCCAGCTCTAATGCAGCAGCACTGAGTGGTGTCATAGGCCTGTTGGTGTGGGTGATCTGTATACAATGAGAGAAGCATGCGTGAATGAAAATCCTTAATACCTACCGGTTACGGCATCAAAACCTAACAAATGTTTGAAAGAGCTCGACAAACACTATAACATCATAACTTTTCGTTGAAGCTCTCATTCTGAGATCCTGTTCAGGCGGTCAACTCCTGTCTTCTATAGTTGCCCTCTTCCACCTCTAGGCATTTGTCGAGTTGTGCTACACCAGGGTCTATAATCTGACCTTCAGTTACTCTCGAGACGCGCAAGGCCACAGTGCCATGCAAAATCAACAAATGCAGCAAACTTTTAAGCAAGGGCTAAGACCGCCTAGAGAGAGTTCGCAAAGATGATCGAATCAGGCTTTTAGCTTATCAAAAGTCGCTATAATGGTATGCTCCTGTAGTATTTTGGGCAACCAGGAAGCGCATCCGTTCGCTGCGTGTTGGCAGAGAACTCTTTACTCCGTCAATGTTTGACAGACACTTATCTTACACTCGATCTATATCATCATACCCTGATTCCAGGCGTCTAATGACCACCGCGTTTGTCGTCTCAACTTTGCTCCACACCATTCGTACAACCAGATAACGCGTCTTATTCCTCTCCTTCATCGTCGTCCATCTCCTCGTCACCATCTCCTTCAGCATCGTCATCGTCATCGTCGTCGTCGTCATCACTGTCAGACCCAGAGCCCTCGCTCTCTCCATCGCTGCCAGGGTCGTAGTCCTCTTCATCTTCATCTTCATCATCCTGAAGCTGTTGTTCTGCCTCAAGATGCGCCTTCGCCAGTTCCGACAAGCCAGTGCCGGCAACAGCGCCGTTCGCAGCGGCCTCGGCGTCCTCGCCCTTTTTCGCTTTCAGGTTTTCCGTAAGCTCCATCTTGGCTTTCCTCTGTTCCGCCATGCTGCGGTCCTGCAGACCGTGACGCTTGACATACGACTCATCAATGCCAGCGTAGTCCTCCTGGTCCAGCATGCCAAACTCAATCTCTTCTGTCGCATCACCTTCGGCGAAGACCTCAACGACCATATTGAATGTCCGTTGCAGAATGTTAGTATAGCTTACGGCAACAATGCGGTCGGTAGGCAGGAACACGAGCGGCTTCTTGAAGCCATACAAGATGCCGTTAGGCAAGAAAAAGAGGTAGCCGTCTTTGGACCCCCGGAAGGCCTTGACGTGTACTGCCTTCTCGTTTGGCCTGTGTGGCTGGCGGACAAGGCTGTGGAACTTGGCTGGATCTGCGGAGACAATCTCCACAGCATTGCCTGCAGAGCTGAGGTGAGTTGTCAGAGCCCAGTCAAAGAGGCTGCGGTACGTGTCTGAGACGGCAGCAGCAGCAGTCGCTTTTGGCCCAGCAATTGTGCCTTGCTTAGGGGGCGTAGAGGGAACGGTGAACACCAGAGCCTCCTTTTCGGGGGCTGTTTTTGTAGGGAGGCAAGTTCCTCGGGGAAACAGGACGTAGTTGTGCTGGACTTGGGTTTTTTCAGGTACAGGCAGGTAGAAGGCGTACTCTAGAGGACATTGTTAGCTTTGAGGTTCTTGTTCCGCCTGAAAATGCCCTTGAGGTCATACCAATATCTTCCCAGGGATAGATGATTCCCTCTACGGGTGTAGTTGTGCCTGGCACACGCGCATAGAGATGATTTGCCGTAAAGCAGAGTTCGTACTTCTTGCGCTGCGGTACCGAAACAGATATCTCTTTGATCTCAAGGAGGACATCCTCGTCCGCCGCATTGCGTGGCCCAGAACTCTTGGATGCGCCTACTGCAGCCGTACCATTTGTCGCCTTGAATCCATTTGTGGGACCACCGTCGACTCGCCTGCGCTTCGATGCCGGCTCTGGTCCGTTGATTTGTTCGTAAACGAAGCTGGCGATGTTGTTGAAAAGTGCGACCCGATCGGGAGTGTCTAGAATAACCAATAGTCAGTATGTCTTCGCTAAAAGCTGCTCAATTGCGCCTGAAAGCATACCGGCTGCTTTTTGAATCCCCTTCAAAATGTCTGGCCGCGACTGGAAGACGGCTTCCAACCGCTGGCTATCAAGACCAGCGGACATGACGTAGAGATTTCTGGGAAATCTAGTTTGGATTAATGCGCAGGTTGCCCAAGCGAAATGGGCGAGATGGCAGAGCTGTCGTAAATTATGGGTGAATAAAGCGTCTAATTCCCTTGATAGAAATGATGGTGTTTTTTTAATTTATTTATTTTTAAACGCGACGTCGATGTAATTTTTTGGGCTGTGACGTGAGCTGGACGCACTGAAAGCGCACTGCCCAGAGCCCGTCGTTGGCGCGGGCTTAATTCGGTTAAAGTCCCTTCCCAGTTTTGCTCATCTAACGCCCCCCCTTTTTCCAAGTCACAGCTTGCCACTGAGTCGACCTATCAAACTTACACCGCGAAGAAGAGCTTTTGTAATGTGACATGCGGAAAAATGCTTTTGAGCTAGCTGAACTGTCTCTATCAACACACACACACACACACATAACCTTCCAGGCGTTTTGCATCCAAAGTCTACAGAGTTTTTGATTGATACCCATGTTTTTTGTTTGTAGCCAGTTCCCACACATCCCACCCAGATCTAACCAGTACTCGCTCTCATTAGCCGTTTCCCTTGGCTACCCAGGACGCCCAAAATCATTTTTCTGCCATGAAATACCAGACTTCCAACTAGTATGGAAGAGCTTACTCCAACGAGGCACGCAGGACGGCGATCTGCTCCAGGACGCTGGACCTGCTGGTGCCACCCTTGGCAGCCCTCATCTCGACACTCTTCTCGTAGTTGAATGTCTCGGCAATATCCTCTTCGAAGCGCGCATCAACACCCTTCAACTGCTCATACGACAGCTCGTTCATTGGGATGCCCGTCTTCTCAGACAGGGCGACACAGCGACCAGAGATGTGGTGAGTCTCGCGGAAAGGAACACCCTTACGGACGAGGTAGTCGGCCACATCGGTGGCAAGCATGAAGGGGTCGAGGGCGGCCTTCATCTTCTCAGGCTGAGTGTCGAGGGTTGCAAGAACACCCTCGGCGATCTGAATACTGTCGCTCACCGTCTTGACGTGGTCAAGCATAGGCTCCCAACTCTCTTGAAGGTCCTTGTTGTAGGTGCTAGGGAGACCCTTCTGGGTCATCATGAAACCGGCCATTTGGCCGAAGACACGGCCACTCTTTCCACGAAGAAGCTCCAAGCTGTCGGGGTTCTTCTTTTGGGGCATCAGAGAGCTGCCGGTAGAATAGGCATCGGCCAGGCGGACGAAGCCGAACTCGCCGGATGAGTAGATGATCAAGTCTTCGGACCAGCGCGAGATGTGCTGCATGAGAACCGAACCCCATTGCAGGGTCTCGGTGACGAAGTCACGGTCGGCGACACCGGCCATAGAGTTCCAAAGAAGGCCCTCAAAGCCGAGCTCCGTCGACATAGCCTCACGATCAATGTTAAAGGGGTTTCCAGCCAGAGCACCGCAGCCCAAGGGGTTCCTGTTGACGCGCTTGATGACCTCACGAAGACGCTCCAGGTCGTTGACGAAAGCCATGCCGTAGGAGAGCATCCAGTGACTCCAGCGAACGGGCTGAGCGCGCTGCAGATGGGTGTAGCCAGGCATGATATAGTCGATCTCCTTCTCAGCACGGTCAGCGGTGACCCTCAGGAAGCTGATCAGGTGGCCCTCGAGCTTGCGAAGCTCGTCGCGGAGCCACATGCGCATGTCGCAAACGACCTGCTCGTTGCGGCTGCGGCCGGTGTGAAGTTTACCGGCGATATCCTTGCCAATAATCTCGCCGAGCCTGCGCTCGTTGGCAGTGTGGATGTCTTTGCCCAAGTTAGTAAGTGTGTTGTCGATGCTGTTTGGGAGCAAGCATACCCTCATCGCCCTGAACGATCTTGAAGCTGCCGTTCTCCCACTCCTTCTCAACCTCGAGAAGGCCCCTCTCGATTTCCTGAAACTCGTGTTGGGTCAGAATACCGTTGGTGTGGTTTGCGCGGGCGAAGGCGATGCTGCCGTAAATGTCCTGCTTGTAGAGGAGCTTATCGAAGTGAATGCTCTCGTTGTACTGCTCCATGAGGGGATCGAGGCCACCTATATCTGGTCAGATCTGGACAAGCAATTCGGCCTAGCAATCATGCAATGACAACCTCATTGTAGCTCAACATCAAGGAGGGGCAGCCATGAACATACCGGTAAAGCGACCTCCCCACAGCTTGTTCTCAGCCGGTTTTGAGCCCGAAGCCATTGTGACAGTTGTACTCGAGGGTTTGTTGGATAGAGTAGTTTTTCCAATTGGTAGAGGTGCTCAAAGCAAACCGAAGGAATGAGAAAATTTGGTCAAAGTATGTCAAGAAAGAGTGACTCAATTGACTTCTTGGACTAAATTGTGCTGTTCAAAGAGAGGGGGAGTCAGAGAGCATTGCAAGGTTCTTGAGTCATCTGTACCCGCAAAATTTTAATTATCGGAGCTCTTGTCGGAGACGAAAAAGCTCAGCCTTGCCTTATCTATGACCTTATCGCAAGCTAAGGGAGCTTTGACCACCGGAACGGCTCAGATTTCCCCTGAAAGCCCGACGTCACAGTGGAGGTCGTGCCAATTCAACTTTAACTGATTCGACGTCTTCCAACCCCACGATTTCCATCCTCTCCAATTCCACCGCCTAAGGCCGGGGCGTCCCTTGCCCCCACCAATACTTGCTATTGTCTACTCGGCACCGCTACCATCACGAACATTCCCATCGGTTCCGGCGCGTTCTTGGGCATTGTCCTTGATGCCTACTTCCTTCTAGCGATACAAGTTCTTCGGCCTGTTTCTCTGTACATCGTCCAAAACACTTCTGCAAGTTCCGGCCCAGGCCACCGCTCGTCAACGCCATGTCGTTCGCAAACGTCTATACTCACCGTAAAGTCGCCGAGAATGCTGCCAAGGGCTGCGATGTCTGTTATCGCGCCACTAGTAGCGTTCTTGTCGCGGAAGAGAAGAAAGTAAATCAAATCCTCCTGGCTCTTTGTCATTGTTCGTCGCTATTGCTAACCAATCAAGGACTTCTTCTACGTCTGTCCTAGTCACTTGAAGGACAAGAACTTCTGCTCTCCCATCATCGATAAAGAAGCCGCCGAAGCCAAGAAGAAGAAGGAATTAGAAGAAGAGATTGAGCGTGTCAAAAAAGAATACGAGGAGAAGCAGAAGAAGAAGAAAGAGAAGGACGCGAAAGACAAGGACGCTGACAAGGAAAAGGAGAAAGAGAAAGATAAAGATAAAGACAATGACAATGACAAGAGCAAGGACGAAAAGAAGGCTGAAGACGAGAAGAAAACTGATGACGCTAAATCCACCGACAAGGTATGTTTGCTCTGAGTTGTTGGATGCTGGAGTAGACTCCCGACCGGGACTTCTATTCGGGGGCTTTGACTAATGGGCCATCAGGATGGAGCCGGCACATCAACCCCGTCTACGGATGATGAACCTCGCGTCTTTGCACTTCATAAGTAGGTGACTCTAGGACACTTATCCGTATCGAGCGACGTTAACCGCGAGCCCCTAGGAACTTTTATGGAATGCGCCTTGAGAAAAAGCGCCAGCTGGAGATTGCGAAGAGAAATCGGGAGCGACTTCAGCAGCCCAGTTTCTTCCCATCAGTCCCTAAGGGTGCACCAGGTAGCTGAAGAACCTGTTGCCTGAGACCATAGGTACGGTGTCGCATGAGTAGACTAGAGCATCTCACGATGCCATTCACTTTCCAACAACGTCATTCGCCTAACCCCACTTACCAGCAACATGTTCAAACTAATGTAAGGCCCCCCTTCATTTTATCTCCGCTTGAGGGCCTGAATCACTACTGCGCCAAGAAGTCGGAAGGATATTCCTCCCCTATCAGGCATAATGTACCATGTGCTCCCTTATCAAACCGACCACGGCTACCATCCGTTTTGGCTCGGAGCAGCGTTGGGACATTACATCCTACCAGAACGGGTTCCGCTATCCGAGGGCGCGCCTCTGATTGGCTCAGCTACGTGTGTTCGGATAGACGGTGTGCTAGACAATATTGCTTGTATGCAACGTCAGACGACCTGCAGTAGCCCTAATGGGCTGCTGGTACGGTGCGGGAGCACGAGCTGCCGTTCCAAGGTGCAGTTCCGTCAACATCCCTGCTGGAGATCGTGGGTGTGTCATTATGGTGACTGGCCAACTCTGCCAACAGCCTGACTAGGGACTCTTTGAGAGATCCAGGGCTTCGATCTCATGCAGATGGTCGTGGCCTTCACACTAATTCAAGCCTTATTCCGAATATTTGCCGCACTATCCTGAAGTCGCGAGAATTTGTCTACATTAATCGTACAGGAGAACCTCAACTGTGATTTTCTTACGTCGATGCCCGCTATTGCTACCGCTTCCTGAGGACACTCACCTTGAAAACCTGTACTTCCCCTCAGCGTACCATTTCGCAGGGGATATGGATCGTGTTACTCATGAGCCAGAACCACAAGCGACGGGCACGGCCCGAGCTCATCAGCCTCTGCTGTCCCTCAAAGCGACGGCCTCGGCTATCTACGCCTCCTATACCGCCTTGTACGCCATATACGCCCTAGTTTTCTACTTACTGCGTACAAACTTAGGCAAAGTAATCCATGGTTATTGCTGAGTGCAACCACAGGAGATTGGCAAACCGCCCCTCACTTATGCCCAAAGATTTTCCAGCCATCATGCCTCCTGCCATCTAGCTCCCGTGTCGGGCTTAGTGCTGACCATGCTTACGCTGCTGGGCGACCTCTGCATGAGTCCCACGCTCAACGAATGAGAAACGGTTTAAAATCACGGACCACACTGCATTGAGATGGCCAAGACAGAAAACTGCGGATGAATATGATTGATCGTGGTGTTTTGCAATTTGAAGGTCTCCAACAGCATACATGCGGCCGTCACGTTTTGCGCGAGATATGCAGCGGATGCCACCCTGTACCGCCACCTCACGCGGACATGGCATGGAGCGGTATTCCCAGCCTCTACACCAAGTCCAGGATGTCCTGCTGTTGGTCAGCATTATTGACCCTCAGAGCCAAGCGGACCAGGTATCCAGCCGGGCTGAGTGGTTTTTTGTTTTTTTCCCGGGAAACGAGGTTAGCGCTACGCGGGGTGGCCATCGCCAGGTCAGTTTCATAGACCCTTGGTCCTCGGAAAGCGCACTTTCGTGCCACAGGGCCGAAACCATGCGACCGCATCCCAGAGAAGCTTAGGGCTGACCTTAGGTATCGGCTCCGCGTGCTCCCCCCTTGTCAATCGGACGGTGATCAATCGAACTGCCTTTAGCATCGCGGCTGCGAAACAAGCCATTTTTAGCACTCAGTCCCGAAACTGTGGCGTATACGGAGTCTTCCGTTGCCTCGGATAATGCAGTGGTCTGTTCTATAATTGCTTTTCAAACACCTGCCAGCGTCTTCTCAGTTTTGAGGCCTACGAGGTCTGGCCAGCTGTCTTGCGGCCGATCCATTGCTTAATTATTCTGGTTGATGAGAAAACGTCAGCACTCTGAGGCGCAAAGCACTAAGCCTGTCGATAAGTCCGGTAGGTAGGCTTCGTGATGCCAGTTGCACACGTCACCAAACATGCGATGGTCAACATGAACGAAGGAAGTGTATCAAATGGAAAGCTTCAATTGTTGGTCACGATGATGCATACGAGTTTCCTATTGCAATACAAAAACCGTTCTACCGGACAGACGGTGATCATCGGCGAAGATGCGACTAGGCATCATCAGGTGACTCATCTTTACAAAGTACCTAACGTTTTGTGGGGTAACAAACGCAACTTTGCTGGGTATTTCTCCGTTTAGAGCCTCCAGTGCGGCACGTACCTCTTCGGTAAAAGGACTTTGGGAAAGCTTTCTCAATGGGGGCCACTGCGGCTGGGCAACAAAAGTCTCAAGAATGGAGTTAATGGAGTTTGTAACCCATGTAAGAACGCGTTCCTAGTCTGCCTCGGGCGGCCGCCGCAGACTTGCAGCAAGTGCTGACAGGCCGTGGACACCAAACAAGAAAAAAAAAGCAAAATGCGGTCGGCAAAGAAGGAAAAAATTGGAGTTTTTGCCTATTACCAGCCGTTAGCCGAGTTGCTGTCTCTTTTCAGAAACACTCCGAAACGGAGGCGAGCTGAGTCTAGGAGGCAACTTGGTGTGACCAGGCTACTGATACACACCACATATCCAATGTTGTGTCTGGTATGGAGAGGTCAGAAGTTTGACAGGCGGCGGCACTATGCCGATTAGCCTCACGCTAGTCTCCAGCAATGGCGTCTCACGGTATCACTACTCTCGTCACGTCAGAACTACGCCATGCGACAGTCCACTTTGAGTGATTGAGCTCTCATCAGCACGCCCGACTTGAGGTTAGCTTCACCGGGGCGAGATAACTGCTGTTCTTTCCAGATCAGACCGTCAGCAACACGCGATGCCGGACAGTTTCGACCGTCCTGGAAGTTCTCGACAAATATGATCACACAGCAACATAATCGCTGACGCATGGGTTTTCCAAGGCCAATGAGAGAGTGACAGCCTTACGGTATGGTGGTGGTCCAGATATGGTTTCCATTCGAGGAAGTCTTGCGCTGTGGCTTGTGTCATCTTTACTCTCATGAGCTTTCCCTGTAAATCTTGGGTAAGCTGAGAACTCGAACAATACAGGCTTCCCTTGAATTCCAATAATGGCACCTTACTGAAACCCAGCCGTTCTAAAAAGGTCTAGTAGTAGCACCAGGCCAAGGCAGTGGTAGGGCGCCACACTCACGTCTTATGGGAAATGCTTTTCTCCATATGCTCTCAGGCGACGATCAGCGATCAGATAAAAGAAGTTGTTTCCGCATCGGAGGCTTAATTGGCTAATGAACAGAAGCGAGCCACCAACCCCCCTTCCAACGAGCAGTTTCCCCTCCCACATCCAAGGGGCCCATTTGAAGGGGACAGAAGTCACTTCTCAACGTCTAGGATAAAGATACTTCTCCGACTCCTCATGGAAGTACCCAACGCAAGCCAGGGTTATAGAGGGGGGGGGGGGGGGGGGGGGGGGTGGTTGTCAGGATCTTAGCGGCTTTAGTTCCACACACCACGGGGTAACACTTGGCTTGACAAGCTCGCCCCGTGGGCGTGAAGGTAATGTGATGGCGCCATGGTCTGGTGGAAGGCTGGAGAGGAGGGAGTAGTGTCCTGCGTGTGGCTTAACGTGGATGAACGATCTGTCCATGCTGCCGCCGCTGCATGGTGAAAATTCTTCTATGCCCCCCTTCTTGTTCCTGCCGGCACACAAAGTTGAAGATCACTTATTTTAGCTTCCTAGGCACAGCCGGGTATGATGCGACAGCGACGCGATGGACGATCATTGTCTCCCTGCCGGCAAGTAAACAAGGAAACCCTCGCTTGGGTTCTTCAAGCCTGTTCGGACTCTTCGTTCAATGCCTTCAATGATGAGAAGCCATCGACTTAGGGCTGAATATGCCTCTTGTCTTCTAGCTCCCGGGTAATGTCACCTCAAATCGGGACACAGGGCATGGAGCTTGGGCATGGATGCCAGATGATGCTCCTTCCTAGCAGCTTCTGTTTAGTGCCCGGGAGTTGATGTTAGTGCCGGCGAGCGATGCCTTCTTTGCTGCGAACCCATTGGACAGACGGACCAAGCTGTTAAACAGAGTGTGGGGAATCACGACAGGGTTGCAGAAACCGGGTGTCCGTATGGAGAGGGTTACGCAAGAATCCAACAGAGCGTTCAGATGATATCCACGAAAGACGTCTACGTTCAAGCACAATGAACACCAGCTAGCGCGACTTCTTCTTTCCTAATCACTACAATCTTCCATGCGCATTGCTGTAATTTTTGACCGAGTTTCATCCAACTCTTTGTGGGTTCTGCTTACGACGCGGGGCTTGTCGCCGACGGCGGGCATTGGCTACGTCGGACTTGCGGCCTGGGCGATCTCGGGTGCGGACAAATTGTGGCGTCCGGAGCGTCATCAGCTGACTCTGAACGCTGTGTTTTGCATTTCATTCTCTAAAACGGGCTTGAGAGGCTGGCTTGTCTGTTGGTGTGGGCTGGGAATTTCGTTTTTGCTGATCTCTGTGGCTTCAACCAAGGCATTTCTCCTTGAAACCAAGTGGAAAATCCCCGCTTCCACTGCTCCCCGGACTGTCAGCATAATGGGGCTTCTGGATTGTTTTCCTTGTCATGTACTTCGCTCTCGGCTTATTTGATATTGCTCAAGAGGGTCAGATTGAAGCAGTGACATGTCATCCCATCCCCATGCCCGTGACAAGTGCGGGATACCCAAGGTACTTAGTATGATGCATTACCTATTGACTTCAAGGCGGGGGTAAGGGTGGGAAACTCTACGCGGAGGATCTTTGGCGAGAGGGAAGGAAGGCATCCTACCTTGATGAGCCAAGATCGAGATCCACTTCATCGGCGAACACACAATCTTACGTGAGAACTCTCTTGTGTTTTACCGAGGGCCTGATAGTATCCGTGTGTTAAGCTGAGCCGCGTTTAGGAAATGCGATGACGTGGTTTTTTTTATATTGCAACAGATCAGCAAACCGACCTCTTACTTCTTTATTCGGATAAAGGGCTTAAACGTGATATCGTGTGATGTGGCTGCTGACCGAGATTTTCGTGGTCAGTCGCATGGCGTACTCGGCGATGATGGTTACTCGGCCCGGGGAACAACTTCCCCGAGCCTAGCGCCATGTTTGATTTTGCCAAGAGCAAACCGATGCCGGCGTCTGAAAGTAGTATACGGTTTGTGAAGGTGTAGGCTATTATGAACTGTTGTGGTCTATTTATGGGGAAAGATTGATAAGCTTTCGCAGATAGGCTATTATCAAGCCTGGGATCATGAAAGCATGCGGCAACCATTGTTCAGCTTTTAGCAATTCCAATCGTCAAATGGGAACGTAACGTGAGAATCGTTTGGTTGTCTAGTAACGTCATGTGAAACAATGTAACTCTTGCAAAGTAGAAAAGACTCTTACGAGGTTCTTTCCGATATGTTATGGTACATGACGCAGACGGCTCTTACAGTGAGTCAATACCTCAACCTAAAATTTTGCCGTGAAACAGAAATATACGCCCAGTATACGCCAAGTCCCCTTCTAAGTAGCTCCTGATAGCGCCTCATTGTAAAATCAGATATTTCTATGCCCGTTATGTTTCACCAGGTTTCTCGCCTCATGAAGAGCCAAATCAAGTTCGTTAGCTTGTGTTTCACTTAGTCTAGACCGATAACGAATCAAATCATGGTCTGGTATAGTTGATCCATGTCTGGCAAGCAACACGGCGACTTTGAACTTGTCGTTGGTTATTGTAGCCGTCTCCAAGCATAAGTCCAGTGGTGACAGGCCCCGCGTGTTTCGTATATCGATATTAGCTCCGTTTTGGATGAGAGTCGTAAGCATTCGCTCATCTTTCTGCCCCGCTGTTCTGAACCTAGACAAGAGGTGATGGTGCACTGCCGTGTTTCCAGTCACATCCACCACGTCCGGATCGACCTCCACCCCCTTCAAGAGATACTCTGTGACTTGAAAGTTTTCGTAAGCAGCAGCTTGGTGAAGCGCATGAAGCGCGACCCCTTTGTGAGTAATCAACGATGATCCCGCCTCGACCAGTGCCGTCACCATCCTCAAAATCCTGTCTTGGCCCCCAAACCCCCGGGTTCCGAGTAAAAAGTACAACGCATTTGCCCCGGTAGGACTCAGTTCTGGCCGGAAACCCATCGTAGACTGTAGCGCCTCGCAGGGAAAACTGGCATTGTATTCGTCGCAAAAGTCTTCCACGTACCGCAAGGACCCGTAGTTGCCAGCATCAAGCACATGATGGACCGTCGCCCTCTTGTTAGCGTCGGCCCCGCGGCTCAGTAGCTGCACAAGTATCTCTTGCCGGCCACAGATCGCAGCCCAGTGGAGCGCCCCTAGATCGAGCCTTCTAGGCTCCCTCCACCAAACCTGATATTCACACTTCTCGCAGTTCCGGAAACACTCATTCGTCCACTGCAGCGGCATGGTATGATCGTCTGCGTCGGCATCGGCCCCGTGCTCCAGCGCCAAGCTTACAGCTCGCTCATTGCCCTCTTTGGCCGCGATCAACAATGCAGAGGCGTGATTCCTCTGCGCGTCACGACGGTATAGCACGGGCGTCACCAGCTCGTAAAGCTCGCGGCATGTAGCAGCAAGATTGGCCACGTCCCGCCAGACGTCGAAGCGGGGCTGCATGCAAAAGGGGCAGATCTTGTCCGTCTCATAGGGCAGACAGGAGGACTCCCAGTACTTTTCGTAACCAAGGGAGACCTCTTTTGCGTGGATGTCAAATAGGGCGTCAACAATACAAAGAATGATTTCGGAGGGAAGACGACGGGTGAGGCCCGGCGCGCCAGGCTTGGCAAGCGCATGATGGTAGACGGGGCGTTGCTTTGCGGCGCCGTAGAGGGGGACGTGACTCCATATACAAGGACATCCGAAGAGGGCGGGCACCTTTTCTGATGACGTAGAAGACGCCATGCCCGATGATGATGTCAGTCGTCGTGAGGTCGTTGTATGTTATAAGGTAGGTTGTGAGGAGGCTGACTTGGGTGTGGCTATGTGGCGTCTGATTAAACACTTCGGAGATATCGGGGAAATTGTACAAGATCGATCAATCCCAGCTACGATGCAACATTCATTACCAAATCTTTGTAAGGCTGAAGTTGTGCAACTGGGGCGCCAATGATTGTGGGGTGAGATCAGAGTGAGTGAAGTAGAGAAAGGAGATTGGGTCGACACAGAATCTCAACAGTTGTCTTTTTTTTTTTTTTTTTTCACCTGTCCCAAGAGTCATTGACGGAAATTTTCTCGTCTCACCTTTCCGACCCCTATTTTATTTTTGACAGTCTCAGGGGTAGGCCTGTTTGTCATCCAAAGTTTCGAAGGGCCAGAATTGGTGTCACTTAACGACTTGAGTTGAAGGGGCATTCCTTGCTTGAAGCATGGCGCATTGCTGCTTACTCATTCATAACCTCAGTTGTTACCCAGCGACTTCTAGGTCCGCCGTTCTTGGATTCTACGGAGCCTGCGGACCTTTACAAATTAAAGACTCCTGGTTCAGCTACAGGCTTTAAATTTATCCGTTGTTTATTCGCGAGGGGTCGTGCTTGGCGATATGATGACACGAGGTGATACAATTTAAACACAATCAAGCTCAATCTACTTTATAGGTGCAGCCCACCTCGACTTACCAAATTACTCCAAACCGAGGAAGACATGGGGTGAAAAACTCAAATGAATTAAAAGCGGTTGGCATGGGCGTTTATATTTGCTCTAGGTGACAAGCTTGCGAGAGCCGTTGAAGCTGATTGGTTCGGATGTTGAAGTGCTCTTTTTCGTGTAAAGATGCTCTATCTCTCAACATTTGATCGATATAATGAAGTAAACATCCCTTGTGAGTTGATTATCTTAGATTTCAGGTACTCTTGAACTGCTTTTCTTTAATGACTATCAAGGTTCATGAAAGTGCAGTATATAGACTTTCATTTCTCAGACCTTTTTTTCAATATTTGGGTGTAAATGTATCCAAAGTAATTAAACGTGGTTACCTGCAGATGTTAGAACCGCGCCTCATTACCAAATCTCAGTTGACAAATCAAATCCCAGTATCGTGTGAAAAGGATTACTCATTCGCTGGGATACCAGAATAGGAAATAGTACTAGAAGCTTTAAAGTTCCTTGGGGCTTATCAAGAATTCCCCATTACGCACATGAATGTAACCCAGGTGAGAACAGCAAACTTCCGTTTCCGAAGATGCCGAATCGGCTCCCTTGCAAGCGGGAGCGAACCAAGGACATCCATGACGAAGGCCCAAAAAGAACCAATGCAGTAAAGCGAAGAAGTTTCTGCCTCTTTTCTGTTGCCCGAAGGGGGGTGGGTTACGCCCTGCTGCTGCAGGCATCCGGTGCAACAAGTGGTCCAGGGGTGCAAAGAAAATGGATGCCTAAACGCACCCTGCGGCTTACGGCAGAAGCCTGGGATAAGGCACACACTTGCTCTGTGATGCGCAGGCTGGACTGTTGGTGCTAGCTGATCGGGGAGAAACAAAGTCCAAAAAAGTTTCTCATACTGCGCAAAACACGACAAGAGTAGAGCCAATCCCAGTACCCTGCCGGATTACGGAGCAGGCTGTTTGCGTCTGAGTGCAGGTAGCCAACATGATGCCGTTGGACGTGATCACCAACCCGCTCGATTTGTGTCAGGAGAGCTGGGCGAGGTATCACACCATGATGGATTCATCGTATCGGAATCCCGCTACTGTGTCCATGCAAGTGTTTGTTTAGGCGACATGGCCACCACTCGCCTCGGGACGACTGCAGCTGGGCCTTTGTCGTGTAACCTATGGCATTCATTCCCTGATCAACCGTTCCTCGGAAAGATACGAAAATGGAAGAAGTTGTTGAACGCACATAATCTTAGCGTTGTTTATCCTTCGTCTTTGTATGAACCAGAGTCTTTGTACCCCAATATACGACCGCATCTCACGGCTCTCGTCGTCGTGTGTAGCCATAACCCCCCCATGCAAATCCCCAAACTCCAAGTAACACTACGCCCAGCCGGTCCTCAACTTACCCCCCCCCCAAAGGATCGAGCCGTCCTACCTAGAGCCGCCCAGTCCCAGGAGGCATCCGGATACCCAGTGAAGCCATTCCCTTGGGTCCCGTAACCCTAGCTGCAACCTCATCCACCCGTGCCTTCTGCAGACTGAAGCCAGGCGTAACCCACCCGCCACAGTTGCACCTAAACCCCCTCCAACTATACCTGCCGACAGCCGCGCCGCACTTCCCGTTGGGGCAACTCAACCGCCCCTCGAGATCACCCTTCTCTAGCTCATCCCTCATCCAGCTCAGCGGCTCAACGAACAAGTGCCCGCACGCCTGGGCGCCGGGCTTACCTTCCGGTTCGTGGTCCAGCACGAACCTTGGCGTAGCAAGTGTCCGGCGGCACTTCTTACACCGGAGCTCCTTGCCCTGAACTTGGTCATCACCCCCCTTTGCCTCCTCGTCCTCGAACCGTAGTCGCGAGGGGGCCTGGCCCGCGGCGACACTCTCATCGATCTCCCTCTGGAAAGCCCAGCGCTGGTAGATGGGATGCGATTCGACGTCATCGGGGCAGCCCATAGCCCACCACATCTCGAGCTGCTGCATGAAACCGGGGTTCGGCTCGGCGATCTCACGGGTTTTGCGCACCCACTTCACCGCTGCCTCAACAGCCGCAGTCGACCGCTCTTTGATCGCCGCGGCAGCCTTGTCGTCGAGCTTCTGTGTCGCCGAAGACTTCTGTACCTCGGCGGTGGACGCGGCGGAGCGTCCGAAGCGGGATGGGTACTTCCAAAGCAGGTACGCCACGACGACGCTCACGGAACGAGACTTGCCCATCGCGCAGTGTACGAAGACAGCGCCTGGCGAGCTCCCACCCGCCCTCTCGGCCGCGGGCCGGAGCTTCAGGTCCTTGAATTCCGGCACGGGCGTAATCGCATCCTGATCCTCCGACTCCGATGACGACGCCTCCTGGTCACGTTCAACAGCCTTCTTCAACTTCTTGACCTTTGCTTGGAAATTCTTCTCTCGCGTCTCTTCATCCTCCTGGGGCGTCTCCTCGACATTGTCGGGATAAAGCGCGTTCTCAATAAAGCGCACCGCCTGGGGTAGGTGAATAAGCAGGTCGGAATCCTCTACATCATCAATGTCGATGACCAAGTGCTTGTAACTCTTGCCGTAGTTCTCCCAGGTATCCGTCTCACTCTTCAGACCGGCGGGGTCGAAACGCAAGACAGAGAGAATGTGGGAGATGTTACGCTCCTGGAGGGCTGACGGCCGGCGAAGAGCCCAGATGCTGTTCTGCATGTCAGCGGAATGGACCCCCGGATCAAGAGACGTCTGAGACGGAACAAGGGTATGTATAGAGGAAAAGCCAAGGCTCACCCGCCGACGTAGAGCTCCTCCTTCCCATCAATACGGTTCAGCGCCATTTCAACGCAGCTTTTCCTGATGAGCTGGTGTAAAGCCTCAGCTTGTTCAGAGCCGCTCAAGTCTTCAAAGGAAATCCCTCCTCGGTTGTTCAGCGATTCCGCGCAGTGGCGCTGTTGCCTGACCTCACTCGGTACCTCGACCTCCTTGCACGTCGTCACGTTCGTATCCGAGATTTGACCAGGGCCCATGGAACGACGTCGTTGACAAAAAGTACGTAAATCGCTAAAACAAAAAGGACGTAAAGCTTGTGGGCACCTTTTCTCTGTTGCTTTTGCCTAGCGTCGTACTCTACTACGGTGAGTGAATGACGCAGTCGAATCAGCCACTTAAAAACCTCAAAGGAAGTGAGTGTTTCTGTTCCAACTTCTTGGCCCAGTACCAGAAAGAAAAGTACCAAAAAAAAATCAAAAAAAAATCGCCGTCTCCGAAAAGAGTCACGTCCCCACTTCTTTTTTCTCCTCCCCCTCACCGTTAGCTAAGGTCAAGGTTAGAGGCTTTAGGCAGGTGGTCAGGCCCTTGAACCCCCCTCGCTAATGTGGGAAGGAAGTCCAGCACTCGCAGGACAGGCGGAGATGCAGTTTCCCCCTCACTGCCCCTCACCAGGGCCTTTATCCGCTAACCGGCCCCGCCAAATGCATCGCTTTTCGTTTCTTTTTGGGGAGGGAGGGGGATTTTTTTTTTCTCCCAATTCTCATTCGCCACATTTCTCTCAACTGCTCGTAGGGCTGAAATCATGTGACGCCTGATGGCCTCACTCATTATGATGAAGCAAAAGAATGAGGACTAATGGAGATCACGTTGGTTTCCTGCGCTACTCCTTACTGAGCAGTCAGTTTAACCTACATGTCGTTATGATCATGACTTTGCCAACATGAATGTCAGATGTCACAAGTTCTCACAAGGGGGACATGGCACAGTTTGCTCGAGTATTCGTTTGAAGGCACAGCAGAAAATGATCCTGAAGACAGTTGGATTTGTAATACGCTCATATTTTCTTTCCCAATTCGTTTGTTTCTCAGAGCCCGTACAAAATACAAAGCCTGGCGAACTTGCCGCCAAGCGTTTACACCTCTAGTGCTGTCGTGTCATCATGTCGCTTCCCCAGTTCTGTACGGCCCAACAATGCCTGGTATACCCTCCAAATGAAAACGCGCGCAACTAGACAACCTCCGTCACAATATATATCCTGGTGCCTGAAAGCGCCCAATCTGCAACAACCAGTACTCCGAAAGCTCCAAAATGGCAGACATCAACCTGTGGATGCCAACCAGATGCTTGACTCAGCTGCTTTTGAATTTTGATTGCCCAGGCTGTCGACGAACTGTCCTGTTCCCAGCCAAGAGCGGGTATTATTTTTCCATCCATCAAGTCGAATAAACGAAATAAAACCAGACGTGATGTGGCCATCTCTCAAAATGCTAATCCAACATCGCTTGTAGCCGTTGCCGAATCACAGAGCCTCTTGTTCGTGTTATCCAAAGCAGTGGATGATTTCACCATCACAACTCGATAGTAAATCTTATCCCAAGCCCGACAATCCCACCACTCGACCCCAAAGGAGTTTGCAGCGATCAGGAATCATTCCTCGGGTCTGCGAGGGAACTTCATTGACCATCTACCTAGGTGTAGGGTCCTCGTCCAGCATGCAAGCATTCTCCAGCATGTTGGTCCATTTGCCGCTGGTTCCAGCATGACTGTGCTTGAGATGTTGCCGGAAATGGTCTGCACGGTAAAACTTCTTGCTGGCGTTGCATTCTCTGAACTTGTGAACCTCTTGGAGATGGCGGATGCGCTCTTCCCAGTCCTGATCCGTAGCGTGGCGGGGCGCGGTAGCTCCAGGGCCTCTGCCGCTTCGGGGAAACTCTTCGCCACAGTAACCACACGAATCAGCCTCACCTGGGCGGTTGGTGCTGTCGTGGAAGGCGCGGTCGTAACTATGCAGAGCCGAGCAGCTCCAGCTATGTCTGCGGACGTGGAGACTGTTCTGATGACGCTCCGCCTCATTCTTGTTCTTGAATCGGTTACCACAGAATGAACATTCATACTGCTTCTCTGCCTCATGTGCGCTACGTCACTTTAGTTGTGTACCAACAATTTGGGAAGCATGCCAACTTACGCTAGTTCTTCAGCTGTCTCGAACTTCTTTGGCTTTTTGGGACAGCAATCACACATAAAGAAGCCTGAAATCTTGGTGCTGCCAGGCTTGCTGACCTCAGCGAGTTTACGGGGAGAGGCGAGTGGCCGACTGTCGCTGATGTTCCGTTGGTGTGGTGCACGGGAAAGGGATCCCCGAGGGGAATGATTTAACGACATCGACGCACTGTAGGGCGAGCTGCAGCTAGGATCGGTACCATTGGGGGAGATACCACCGGGTGACAAACCACCAGGGGATATGCGTCCATACGATGTACCCAAGCTAGCGATGCTGCCAGTGAGCAGAGAAAGGTTCGAGCTATACGAGCCAGCACGCCCGCTTGAAGATACTGATGAAACAGAGCCCTGTGGGATGGCGCTGAGACGGGGCGTAGGAGACCCCCTTGAATTGCCATCCCGTCGACGCATCAAATCGCTCTGGCTCGTGAAAGCCATTGGAACATTGTCGTCGGGGTCAGCAGATGCGCGACGCTTTGTCCCTGCACCATCGTAATGGGCTCGCAAGGGGTCCTCAATGCGCAGTCTCTTCATCGAGTTGGTCTCCTCCATCTCCATGTCTTCAACTTCGTAGCTGTGTGATGATGCATCGTCGCTGTTGTTCCTCCTCGATCTCTGCGGCGGCGACCTGTCAAGGTCTGAGCGGGGCGAGCGGTAATCTTGGCTTAAATGGTAAGGCTGGCTTCTGGGAGAAGGCGACACAGCAGAGTGTGGGGTTTGGGTATATCTATCGGGAGAATCCAACACATTCGTCTTCAGGTGGTACGGCAGATTTGTCGTAGGAAGTGAAAGCTGAGGCCCCCGCTGTTCCCCGGACAGTCTCCTCGAGAATGGATCAGTAGCAGAGGCACTAGAGGCGCTTAGCAGAGACACGCTCGGTCTATTGTCAAAAGTCTTGAGCGGGTCAAGCTTCTTCTTCATGTCGGTGAAGGCATCGGCGCCAGATTGGAACTGGAACTTGTTGTGGTGTAGCCCAAACCCTGCTGAAATACTAGGCAGGGAGCATTCGGATCTGGAATAGGGTTTGATTAGAGATGGGAGGTTCGGTGGCAAGATGACTGGCAGTAGCTTCGTCAAATAGAGACTGCCTATTAGCCTGTTACTTACCTGGACGAGGCCGAGCCCATGCTCGCGTATCCTTCATCTCGTTCGTGTCTGTACCCAGCTCTCTTGTAGTTTGGGCGGTCGTCGAAGCTGCTCAGACTTTCATAGCCACTGTGTTCTCGAGGGCTGTAGGAGGACGGTTCACGGTGATAGTGTCTGGGTTCCTGTGGATGCATATGGCTGTCTTGCTCAAATGGCATTCGTGGAGGCGGTAGTGGAGGAGGCGCGTTGACTCTGTCTGTAGACCCGGGAATTGATACGGCAACTGACGAGGAGTACAAGCTAAATGGATCCGATCGGTCGGAGGATCTGGGGTTAGAAGAATCTATAAGGATGCTGGGGAGACCCGCAGGTTCCCTGTATCGTGATGGCGCCTCCATGATGTCGGCGAGTATCTGTGCAATGCCAGCTGAGAATTTCTGACAAAGTTACAGCTGAAGCGGAGAGCCACAAGGTTTATAGTGACAGAGGGACGGGCGTCATGAGTGATACGCCAGGGGGAAAAAAATAAGAAGAATTGAGATCGCGACGGGATACGAGATGTATCCGAGGCTAAGGCGGTGGTCTTGCAGGCGGTGGGTGGCAATGACAAGTCGGGTTCGCCGTTGGTTGGGGACGGGAGCCAATGCCAATGCAGGTCGAGGATGTTTTTGTCTCGCTTGTCGGTCTCCCACGCAGCGGACAATAAAAGGCGAGACACACAGACGGGACGGAGGGAAAGGAGCCGGCGCGGATTGGAATGAGAGTCTGAAGACGAAGTCGTGGTGTTGTAGAGGTGTAGGCGAGCCCGGCGATCTGTTCGCGGACAAGCAGAAACAGTAGAGTCCGGTTGGTGTCGTGGAATGCGAAGACTTAATGTCGTCGGAGGAAGAGGAGTGGCCGGTGCTGGGGTGAGCAGAGTTCGGTCGTGGGGAGTCGACAGCTGAAATAAGAGGCGATGTGTGACGACGCCGCTGAACACCCCGGGACTTTTAAGGCAAAGAGGCGACAAGGTGCGGGCGGGTACTGCTCACTACCCTTGTCGAGCACCCTACCACTTTAGCACAGGAATATTTTGGGTAAGGTACCTGGGATGAGGTACCTGAGGAAACGCTATAGGGGTGGAGAGGAGCAGCTGTCGGCAGCGGCAAGAGGCAGCGCCCAGCGGTAAGGTAGAGGGGGAGGGGGGTGAGATAGGGGTGTGTGTAAGGTATAGGATATTATGCGTAGACAGGTACCCTCCAGCCAAACAGGGCAGAGAGTTACAGGGGTCAAAGTACCCGTTTTTTTGTTGTTGTATTTCCCTTCCCCTTCCTTAAGGAGAATGAGTTAGCTGGACCAGGGCAGGGTAGAGCTAAGGACGATGACAGGAGCAGGAGTAGGAACAGAGGAGGGAGAAAGAGAGAGAGAAGGAGGAGACGAGAGGACAGGAGGGAGTGGATGAGGGACAACGGGTAGGGTAGCGGGACGGTGTCGGCGAGCAGCCCTAAGAGGAATAGAATGCGGAAGGACTGACTAGCAGCACGCCAGGGAGCCCGACGGTTGGCGTGTGGCTGTTTCCTATGGCCGTCTAGTGTGATGCAAGCACACCAGCAGCGATGCAGCCCTGTATGTCAATTCTTTTTTTTTTTTCTTCGAGTCGGGGGTAGAAGGTGGATTGCAATGGGGCTTGGGAAGTGGTGGGACGGGGGATTGGGATTTGACGAGGACGACGAGGATGAGGACGGGGGACCGGGGGGGAACGGGGGGTACGGGGGGTTTGGCTCGGATCGAGGGTTCGCGAGAGGGGGCTGTTGATATTATTGTTATGCTACTCTCAATGGCCGGGCCACCCAGGCGTACATACAGACCGACAGTAAGGTGTGAGTGAGCGTGAGTGAGCAAGTGATGCGCATGTGTGTGGTGTGTATGTGTGTGAGAAAATGCGCGCGCCAGAAGGTGTGTGTGTGAGTGAGTGAGTGTGTGTGTGTGTGTGCCTGTCTCGTTCTGTATGTGTATATATGTATGTCTGTTCATCTGCATGTAGGCGTATAGTAGGAAAAAGTACCTGAGAGGAGGTATTTTGAAATGGGACTGGGCGCCGGGTGTGGTGTGTATGCCGTACTATGGATGTAGGTAGTATGACAGCAGGTAGGGAGAAGAGGAGGTCGGTGCGGTATTGACAGACGCCGATTTTGCAGTGAAGGGGTTGAGGCAGGTGCTGGTCGTACTTTATTGACCCAGAAGCATACGCCGCTTGTTCCGCGGACAGCCCAGGCAGAAGAGAGTCGCCCGAAAGAAGAGGGAAAGAAGCAGCGGGGGGGATGGTGGCCTAGAACTTGATGCAGAGGTTCAGGTGACGAACCTCCGATGGTATTTCTTCGAATCCAGCCCGTTCGGTTTGTTCCATGAGCGGGGGAGAACAAAAAAAAAGGCAAAAGAAACAACTATACTGTTGGAGTAGCTGCGGCACGGAAGAGTAGAATCGATGCGAGGCAGGTACAATGGAACGAATATGGAACGAATATAGACTTGCTACCTGATTTGGATAGCAGGCAGACGGAAGAAAGAGTTGTTGCTGCTGCCTTTACGAAGTGGTGCCTTCTTTCTGTCAATGATAACAGGACCAGGCAGGCACGCAATCGCATGTACCTCAAGACTACAGAAGACAGTAGATCCACAGGCAGGCAGATACAGGAAAGAAGCAATAGAGGAGAAGAAGAAGGAAAAGAAGGAGGAGGGAAGATGAAAATAAGAGGCACTTGATGTTGTCCAAATGACTGTAAACATGAGAAAAAGCCCAGCCTACAACTCAACACTGCCCTGGTCTTGGCCGTCTTATGGCCAGTCTGCTCACTTCTCCTCATCTATCTAACGGCGACTTCTCCTTCCTTCCTTAGATCAGAGGCCTAACAATGCCACCAGGTCAGACCCAAGAGAATGCCCCGTCGTAGGACTCAGTATCCATTCAACATACGGTAGGCAACCTGGAAGGCATTCCTCTCAGGATGGAGAATGAGAACGAAGCCAAGAGTTGTGCTGGCAGGGCAGAGCAGGCCCGGCAGCTTCACTCATTAGCTCCAGGGTGCCCTATCGGGCTTAGTGGAGCCCACGGGGACGGGGTGAGAGAGAGGGAGGGGGAGGGAGAAGCAGGAGGTACAAGGTCACAATGGGGATGAGCAAGGCAGGTAGGCAGGGCAGAGCAAAGCAACGCACAGCACAGCAAAGCAAAGCAGAGAGGAATACTATAGAACAGTGAGCAGAGCAAGGATCAACGGCCCTGAGAAGAGGGAGGGTCCTGATAATGGAAGTGGGTCCATTTTCGTTTCTCTCCAACTTACTCGCCGCTTCGGTCTCTGCCAGAACCTCTGCAGCAAGATCCATAGGTACGGAGTACGGGTAAGCAGCAAGGCAAGCAGGGCAATTGCGGACACGACCTTAGGTAATAAGGGCTCCTTCTTTCCTGACGGGGAGATAATGCCCAAAAAGACAAGAGCTGACGGTGGTAGGCATTTTGTGTTGCCTAAACCACTGACTTGCGGGGGACCGGGATGATCTTACTCACCGTACTCGCCGTGCTACTCTATTGTCTGCCTACGGCCAAGGTGTGGGAAGTAATTCAAGCACAGCTGCCCCAAGGAGAGTAAGAGGTGTTTTTAACCTACATGCTCGGCAAAGGTGAAAAGGGAGAAGCAGAAGACTGACTGGAAGCAAAAGAACTACGGGGAGGGGTGTGACCATGGGACGAAAGGGAGGGGTGTGGACGGTAAACGCCATCGAGCCAAGCTTGGGGGGCGTGGCCCCAATTCACACACACCCCGCTTTGCCAATGAACGACAGCATGGAAAAGGGGGGTGATGTGGGATGTGATGGGGAGTGGGCGTCGAAGTGGGGTGTATTCTAGCCCTGCTGGCCCTGGCTCCCACACACGGGAAGACAAGAGCGAGGGTGGGAACCAAAGTGGGATTGGTGATGGGGTACTTCGGCTCAAGTAGCGTCTTTCTTCAGGTATCTTGAGTACCCGCCCTTGCGACCTGCTGTTGCCGTACCGTACCCGCTTACCACCTGCGCAACTGGACTGAACTGGGCTGGCTGGGCAGACAAGACCAGTACGTATCTTTTTCTCCCATTCACCATCCATCCACAGCGATTACGGATATGGATACTACAAATTTCGTACCTACCGTTGCTCCTACCACACTACCTGTCTAAAACCACCACTACTACTCTTTCCCCTACATACGCAGAACAGTGTCCGAGAACGAGCGTGGCCGTGTTTTTTTTTTGTCCAAACTCCCTGATTTCAAAGTGTCATTTTCTGCTCCACAACGCCATCACCGTTATCCAACTCAAATCGTCGAATCAAGTCTTTCAAGTCCATTTTCATCCACTTACGTCTGTCTCCTGTCTCGGTTGGTAGCTGCTCGCCCTTTTTTTTTTTTTTTTTTTGCCTTGTCGGTATGATCCTCTTTTTTGCACCCCTTCCCCCCTCTTTCTCCTCATTGCTGGGTCCTTACGAGGCAAACACCAAGAGTCATCATCTTCATCATCAGCATCATCGTCAGCGCCATCAGCATCACTCATCACCCATGACCCATGGATAGAAACCATCATGGACCTTTTTCACACCCACCATACCACTGGCGCGACTCGGGCAGACCCCACAGGTGCATGGTTCTCAAAATCATCTGCCCTGTACCCTCCTTGAGGTACCCCATACTTGGGCACGCTCCGTCTTCACCGCTCCCACCGAGTACTGAGACTTGAGTCTTCAGGCAAACCTGACCCTTCACCTCCACAACTTCACTGCATTTCCCAACCCTTCTAACTTGACCATTGGTGGATCCTCGACATCAACCCTAGGACTGCGCGTTATTAGTCGTCCATTTCTTTTTGGATTGGGATCCGACCCTGGGGCCGGTAATCTTTGACGTACTGCACCACGGTGACCACCTACCAAGAATGAAGACAATCGTCTTGAACCTGCAAGCTCTGTCCTAATAAGGCGATTTAAACTGAACCCGGACATTGCATGGCAGTCACATTAACGATGGATGGATATCCCGAATGCGAAGTCAAGTTTTTCGACGGCCCAACACCCACCCCTGGACCTGAACTGCATACATTAGATAATGGTCACCATGCAATCATGACCGGACTCGGCGAGGCTGACCTACGGACGAGAACCAGACGGATTTGCTGTCCGTAGATCATAGGACATGGCTTCGTCGTGGAACATCTAAACGTGCAGCTATGCAGTTGTACCAAGAGGCTTACGATGCTGCCGTTAGAAATGCTCCGAAACTACGTGCATATCAAGCCATGAGCCTGCCAATAGGTACCAATAAGACACTTGAAGTTCGACGCCATCCACAGGCAGGGCTGGATTGCCTGCGGCTCCTCTGTTTTCGAGTCCAGCAAC